CTAGATTGATTACCCGTACTCAAGTGGTCATCAATGCACCCACTTCCCCATCCCTTTCGTAAGTTTTACGCCCACGCACATACGAGGAAAGCAGGCTGCGGCGGCATGGTTTGGCGGTACATACGAGACGGCCAAAGGAGACAAGACAGGACAGGTACGAGAAACATCCAACATCTGTACTGTACCAAGCCTAAATGCGTACGTATTCGATTTCGCCAATGACTGCTGATCACAGTCCAGCCAGCTCGCTATAGGCTTTGTATATACCGTACTTGGGCAAGTTGTCCGAGCAGCCGGAGATGTCGTCTGGACACTACGGGTGAGGAAAAAGAAAAGACAAGACAATACAAGACAAACGAGTCGTTCCCTTATCATATACTGGGGCTCTCATTAGCGGTGAATTCATGGAAGGTTCCTGCCCTGCGAGTAAGTGGTATAATTACTGACATACTGTGTCTGCGCTTGTCTCTTGCTTGCATCTGAACTCATTTGCTAGATCCGTGCCTGAATCCAAGAATACGATGTAATTATTGAACGCCATCATAGCGTTGCTGAAGGCTCCTGGACTAATGTCAACACGTAAAATAATGAATCAAAAAGTCTATCCAACGCATCAGTCGATACATCATATTCGATGGTCGGCAAGAGTGTAAGACAGCAGCTCGAGAGTCTCGGACACAGCACAACCAAGAACAAAACTCTTCGGTTTATTGCGGATTACACACCAAACATTGTTGAGTTCAGATGCAAGTACCCCATACGCAGAGATTAATCAGGCTGGTTACCTTGGTAAATGTCTTTCTTGGCCTCTGTACGAAATTGCAATAGACACGCCAATTTTGTCCACCAGCCTGTATGCAACCAAGGTTTGTCCATGTCCTTTTGGTCCCTGTTGGGCACGCCGGATGGTTTTGGCTAAACAAGGTTACAGCCAACGGAATGCAGTGACAGGCTTTGTGCACGACTGACTTGCTTTCTAACGGCAACAAGCCTCTTTCCCATCACGACATCACAACTTGAAAGGCTTTTCTTTTTCCCTTTCTTCCTCTTTCTCGCAAAGGTACCTTTGGTCTCGGCGAAACCAACACATTTTACATTGCAAGATGCCATGTGAGGTCCGAAACATGTACAGTACTTGCACCAACTTAACAAGGACTTTGTCGAAAGGCAACCAACCCGTCTTGGACCATGTGTTAATTGCTGAGTGCTACGACTTGAGGCTCGACTACTTTACTTGGCGCGGACGTACCGGTATTGTCTTGGGCTGGCTGACACAGCTTGTGGTTGCGAGATGCAGATTTGCTGTCGTCAACTGGCTAGACCCTGGGTTGCCCCGGTTAAGTTTTTAGATCATCATCCCTAGCCTCTTTGTTGGAAGTGTGATGACGGGCTGGGCTCCTGGCTCCGTACCATGGGTGCATGGCGCTGCACCTCAGGGCGAGGGAAGATGCCCGTAGCGGCAGGGATTCCCACCGTTCACTGCCAGGTTATCGGATGGGGCCAGACGGTGGCTTCAAACTACGTGCTATTTTCTTCGATGGTTGATAAGGCGAATTGCGCGCCCTTGTTCCACTTGGAAAGAATTTTGATTTAGCGGGCAGGCACTGTAAGAAACGAATTACGACTCAGCACTATGGATACCAAGGATCCGGAAGAGCTAACAAGCGTGCCGAAGAGACGCTGGTTCCCAGTGATCTCCGCTGGTTGCGTGAGTGTGCAGTAGAAGGCCCAGTGCTACACTATCAAATTCGTACGCCAAAGGTCCTCATGCTCATCGCCCTGTCTCAGAATGTCATGAGGACTCGAGATTGAAGTAAAAAGGAAGGATGTTGAAAACACGGCGCTTGCATACCGGGTGACAAAGTTGGTGAGAGTCGCTTTATCCGTTAATAGTCAAAGGAGCGGCACGGATTTGCAGCGCCTCTCGGCGAATGCATGCTGCTCCCACTGGGAGGACCCTTGAAGTAGCAGAAAAGTTGACTTCAACAATACAAGAAACGATATTGTTCCGTCAACTCCCGCTGTCTCGTCAGGTGGGTAACAGAAGAATTGTCCTCTATGGCTTAGGCCACCAAAATAAAGTCGCCTAACTGCCAGTCTAAGCCAGCATAATGCGACCAAGTTATTTCGTCTCTTATGCCTCTAGGGGTCAATTCTTCTGACTCCCTGAGACTCGTATGAAGTGTCTGCTCATTTATTTTCTGCACTCCCAATCTAGATCTCAAGTTTTCTGCTACCCTGTGAGTGGAACGGACGGCTTGTCGGGGACATGACAGCTTTGCTTGATTTAGTCGCCCAACGTTATTCGTTCATTCATTCATCCATTCATTCATTCAAGCTGGGGCCTTGTTTCGCTCGCTCCATCCTCATACCGGACATTCTGGTGCGTTTCTCCTCTTCATTGTCCTGAACGGTAATAACTAATTTTGTTTAGTAGCGTACTGATGGTTGGCGCCTCATCTATTAGGAACATGGCCTAGGCCAGCCCGGAAAGCATAGCATAGGCTGCACAGCATAGCACAAAGATGCAAAGCAAAGACAGTACAGTACATATGTATCAACAGGGCAGAAGGAATAACCTGGTGATTTCTTACACGCGGCCGACACTTACACTTACGCTTTCACGTTCCTAGCAGGGAAAGACAAAGTGGAGTAAGCACCGCGGCATGGCTCATCTCATGGCTCCTCATGGGTTGAGGTTCAGACTCATGATTGATGGATGGCTCATGAGAAGACAATCCAAAGTGGCCGTAGAGTTGCACCGCTTGTACAGGTATGGTAAGTATTTGAAGGTTCCAACACACCACCAAAAGTTGTTGGACAAGCGAAGATACGACACGGCCGAGATAGATAGGCTGTGTTGAATTCAGTTCGAGTTTGACAGCTTCAAGGCTTTACGCCTTGATCAGACAAATAATCGCAGCACTGTAACTTACTGTATCCGTCCACAACCGATGAATGGGAAGCTTTGTGCCAATCCTGAACCGATGTGGCCAATGAACTTTTATTAATGGTTAGTACTCCACAACGAATGTGTTTGTGAAAACCTCCTCTTACACTGTACCGAACGACACCTTCAGGGATCTTTCATACAAGCCCCAGCTTCGTGGATGGCTTGGAAGGAATCCAATCGTGCATAAGGGTGTGTAAGTCGAATTCGGATGCACTCTCAGGGACAGATCGCTCATCAGCCACCGCATTGGTATCCCGCAGCAAATTCGCCATCATTTCGATTTTCATATCTCCATCTCACTATCCATGTATGAATTCAATACCGCAACGTAGTCTGGGTATCCCTTCGCAAGTCCCGCCGCCCTCGGTCCTTCGAGCCCCGTCAAGCCCGCTCAGAGCCCGGCGTCAAGCACGGCACCGACCGGGCGACCCCTAGGGCGTTCCAGGGGCGACTTTGCTCGAAATCGATGCTCCATCGAGTTGCCTGGGGGGCTTAAACTGCAGTGGGTGAATGGTAGGTTCCAGCACCCAAGACTCCGCTATCTAGCGGGCTTGGTCCCCATTGAAGCTTGCTTGGGGATGAGTGGAGGAAACTTGAGGGTTTTAGCGGCAGTGGAAGTGAAGTCAAGTGAAGTGAGAGAGGGGTGGGTGATAGCGATGAGATCCTGGCCTGGCTGGGGGTGTACGGTAATCATAATAATAGCAGCTAACACAGGGCAGAGAAAGGCAAAGCACCTCACCTCACCTCACGGAAACCGGGGGTTGTCGCTGGGTGCGGTGTCAGCTGGAGAGCGCCACGATGGCCCTGGTCTAGTCCGTAAGAGCAGGTCTAGCAAAGGCTCGCGACATGACGGGCTGAGAATTGCCATGCCCGTGGTACCAGGCTTTGTGTGGAATTGTTTGGGAAATAATAGGTATCGCAATACATGTTCGGCTAGTACCACACGGCGCGCAGCCTGGCCTACCCAGGGACGGCCGGGCGGGTGTGCGTGTGCAATGTCTTGTCTGAGACTGAAAGTGAGTGCGTGAGTGAGAGAGGAGAGGGACTCTGTCTGCCATGGCTCCATTAAGCCAGTGGCAGTCCAGCCAGCAGCCCATCCATGGAGTATGATCCAGGGCATCACTCCAGGGAAGGAGACGTCCTAGTCCACTAAAAAGTACTTGCGGATAGTGGGCGCTCAGGTGCTGCAACCAAGTACCATTGGGAATGGACGGGGCTACCAGGTATTTGTGGGACTAGACCCGACGGACACCCCTACTCCTCCTACCTTACCCTTACTCCCTACGCTACGCTACGCTATGCTATGCTGCGTCTAGGAGAGAACCACACTTGACGAACAACCAGACTACCAAGTCCAAGTGAATGAAAGTAAACTACCTTACCTTCCAGGACTTTGTACATACACACACAACTACCAGCCATGGACTGAGTGACTGAACCCATTCGTGGTTGCTTCTTTTTTACTCTTTCCTTTTCCCTCCTCTTCCTTTCTTTCCTATCCAATCTTCCTCTCTTAGACATCCATCCTCAGCCATACTCAACCACTATCCTCCCAGCGAATACAATTGATCTCCAGCCTTGACGAATTTACACTTAGCTCTGGGATATACCTCTACTCCTCCTCCGATATCCTCGTTGAACACCCGGTCTGTCGCCGAGAAAATCGAAACGGTCATCCTCGAAGTCGCTTGCAGCCGGTCTACTGCGAATTCTTTGCACTGCCTGTCAGTGCTGCTCGATAATGGCACTTGCGCTCCTCGAGGTCCTTTGAACAAACTCTACGCCCTCTCGAACAAACGAACCTATTGAATAATACGAACGAATTCAAGTTCAAGCCTTGGTGGGGTACACTTGTATTGTTACTTCACTCGTACAATACATCAGTTGTCATTTACTTGACATAACGTTCTGGCTTAATTGCCTTTTGTGCCTGCCGTCTGCAGTGGGGCTTTTGCACATCAAAGTGAAGCCTCATAACATCAATCTCCCGGCTTTGGTGCTTCACCAAATCTTTGATGATTCACCTCGGCAATACGCATAAGTCTCCATGGTCGGTTCTTCGCTTGCGATCTTGAACTTTCCTCCCTCGCCTCCCCACGGCTCTGGTAGTCGGGAATCAAGCTTTCCCTCAAGCATTAAGCTGCCAAAGCTACCCTCTCGATTTCAAGATACACTAGCGCTGGGAGACGGACTTAGGACTCCTCCTACCGACGACATGAGTACCGTATTCCAGCCTCCGGTGGCTTCTTGGGATAGCCATGCTATTCACAACTACACTTCTGCTGTTCCTCAAACTGCTCGAGCTCCAGCTACGATAAACGACACGGGGAAATCACAGTACTACCGATATCCTGTGCAACAACCCGAACAACAACATCAACCACAACCGCAGAACACATATAACCACTACTATCAACAGGAGCAATCCACACATCCGACCCATGAGCTACACCCCACCTCTCAAGTTTCTCAACACCGCAATGGATCAATTTCGACAGCCTCCCACACGGTCCCAGTCGTTGGACAAACTGCCCAGCCTTCAACGCCTGCTGATTCGACATCCACTGCGACAAGAGATGACGCCGAATCTCTTGTTTATCACAGCCTTGTGATCCCCAAGTGCATCAGTCCTGCGGGTGGAAACCTGGCCGATTTCGCTGCCCAAGTGCGTATTTCGCATAGTGATGGAGAGGACAAATAACTAACATGTTTTAGATGACTTGCTTGTTCTGGTTTGAGTCTATCGATGAACTCAAGCAGGCTGGGTCAATTCGTGCAATGGGCCCCAATGCACTCGTTCCCCGGTTACCACCTCTTGCCAAACCTCTCGACCAATTTCGAAAGTGGGTGTACAGCGTTCTTTCGACGACACAAGTGACCCAGAATGTCATTCTGTTGGCTTTACTTTTCATCTACCGACTGAAGATGTCGACACCTCAGATCAACGGTCGCGCTGGTAGCGAATATAGGTTGCTGACGGTGGCACTAATGCTCGGGAACAAATGTAAGTGAAGAGCACTCCTATTGCTGGGCGTCAACTGACCATTTGACAGTCTTGGATGATAACACCTACACGAACAAGACTTGGGCCGAAGTGTCATGCTTCAACGTGCAAGAGATTCACGTCATGGAAGTGGAGTTTCTGTCTAACATGCGATACAACTTGGTGGCGACGAAGGACCAGTGGAATGACTGGTTGGACAAGCTTTCCTGCTTTCACGAGTACTACGAACGAGCTGTACGATTGCCAGCATCACCGGTTCACGTCCCTTCTCCAGCAAACAAGGGCCAACACTCACCTATCGCTTCACCGACAGCTGCTATGCAGCCCACCGTTAACCTGCCCCCTACCCCGGCTGTTACAACAAACTACTCACCCACGTCGAGTCACTCACAAAACTGGTCTGCATACCAAACTAACATCATCTCCCCACTCTCCACCAAGCCAAACCTCCAGTTCCCTCCTGTGTCACGGAAGCGAAGTCCCGAGGGAGAGATCATGGAACACCCCGCCAAGCGACTTGCCCCTCAACGAGGTGCTGCTCCCACTATGCCTCAGGTACCGCGATCCAATGGAATTGTCGAGCCGGCAAGACTGCCTGTTCCTCACCTTTCTGTCATGACTGGACATTCTCAGGCCCAGCCTCAGGCTCTACCTCAACCTGCGTTGACTCCCTTCGACAATCACAACATCAATGTCAGCGGGTACCCTCAGCCTACACAGCAGGTAGCTCAGCCTGTTCACGTCTCGCTTCCCCCGTTGCAAACTGGTATGCGCGCTATGTCTACAGTCTATCCTACTGTCCCCGCGGCTATGGTGCCGAAGCAATCGCTTCCTCCAACGACGGGTGTCACCATGGCGCAAACTGGTTTCCCTACCCAGGCGCCTGTCAGCTACAGTAACCCGAGCAAACAGCTTAGCCCTGGACGTCTGGGTCCATTCAACTCGTCTCCTTTAGCTGAGGCGTACGGCCAATCCTCCGTTGTCCATACACCTATGGCTCACACTCCCATCTCCAACTCGCCGAGCGTCTATCTACAACAGCGACCCAGCCCATACAAGCCCGTGCGCCACGTCAACACGCTCTTACATCCCCCACCTTCGGCATCTTTGGAGCAGTACCATCTCTCTGTACCTGTTCCCCCAGCCCAGATGCACTATCAGCCCATCGGGCGACGGAACGATCTTCGAACTGGTGTTGTGCCTGATTTTGTCGTTTACGACCGTGTTCACCCTCAACATCAGCCTCTCGCCCACGGGCTCTCTCAGGGACACTACCCGTCTTAGGAATGGCAGGGTTATCCTTCAATCAACTAGAGTTCTCATTATCCCGAACCCCGCGAGCATTGTTTTCGGTGCATTCATCGCATTTACAACTCTATTCACAAATTCTTTTTCTCGCAACGCTACTTGTTTGTTTTTATGAAATTAGATTCTTTTGGCGTCGGATATACATCCAAGGTATCGCATGGCACAGGCGTTTGGACGGAAAGAAATAAGCCAGGGTTCAACAGTCTCCCGGACAGGACTACATAGGGAAGGGTATTGGAACAAGGGCCACGGTGTGCATTCGGTTTGGAGTTACTTAGGCTTCTTTTTCAGCGACGGTCGCTACGAAGCCCCGCAGGGGCTACGACGAAGCATATTCACGATGCATTGAGCCTTTTATAAAAGAGGACTCAGAATTCAGCAGTGTCCATAGTGCGTCGGAATATCACGGCGTGACATCTGCATTAGCACCAGCTCTATATAAAGATGCGCCATAACGTCATTCATGACTATTAGAATAGATCGCAATCAACAGCGGGGTTCTGCCTGCAGCGTCAACTTCTTAAGAATGCTTGTCTTGTTGTGTAAGAAAAGAGTGTATCGCCAGATATAGGGAGTGGCGTTGTCACAGAATATTCGTCTTAAATCTAACTGCCAACATGAGCCCATCTCTTGTTACGTGGCCAAGTGACGATATTATGAAGCAGGTTACATTTGGGACCTTAATTATCATAACAATTACATCACAGTATATTGCTCCAGTGATTCTATTCTGTTGCAAACCTTGATGATTGTGGCTATGGTTACAGGGTATGCCGGTACTGACTGCAGTTGACGCATCAACGGAACTGAAATTGAATTTTATTCCAAACATTACTGTAAATGGCTTCGTGGTGGTTTGAGTTATCTTTCAGCGGTTTTTGGGATGTTTAATAATCGTGGAGGGAATCGTTTATATGCTGAGTTACTTTGTCATTGTGAGAGAAAGTTCGTAGCCAAGTTCAAGTATTGTAAGTGGCATATAGACTCGCAACCTTAGGAGACAACTATGACAGAACACTTATGTAAATGAACAACATGCTCAGAAACCATGTTGCTTATTGTACATCACCGCAATGTTTAGTAGGAATAAAGTTATTTTCCCTTTTACTTCCTGTGAATTCAATAGACTTGGTCATCGTCATGTTACACGATCTTATTGTTACAAGGATCGACTACCCTCAAACAGGGTCGTTGGCGCTTTCCACGGCAACCAATTAAAAGTAACCAATCACATCTCTCATTAGCCACTTTCCGACGCCTTACCTCTCCACACTCTGCCACTTTGCCTTGCACCTGCCCATAACGACGGCACAGCAACCAGATCCCTCCGCTCCACTTTGTCTCTCTCTTTCACTCATCTCGTTGAGCCCAAGCCCCAGAGCGCAGTAGAGGCTTGCAAGACATTCGCTTTTTTGTTGCATCTCGAATTAATCATCGCCTTTTCCGAGCGACAGTCGTTAGTTGCTGGTTGTTTTTCTCATTCGATTTGGGCCATTGTCATCTGTGTCGTTTGGATTTTGAGCCGCTGGGCTGAAGAAAGGGGCGTCGCTGAGCCATCGGTCAAGAACGAGACATTTGGCACCGACCAGTCGATATACTCCTTTTTTACGCTTCTAGGGGACGATATTGCATTCCGATCAAAATTGAACCCCTTGTAATTGGCGACTTGTCCTAAGTTCGCCCTTTCAAGTGGTACCGACGATTGAAAGGTCGAGTTGGCGGTTTAAACTCGCGACGACGCCTGGACGGTTCGACGACATCAGCGACGGCAATCGATCAATCGCTCGTTGTCGACCTTTCGATTTGTCGTTCACTGCACACTCGCTTCAACGATAAGCGATTTCACCTAAAGTTTTCGACGACAATCGGGCCGTGATCCTAACCCGCCATCATGTCTGGCTTCGGCGACTTCACCACGATCTGCGAGACCGCACCTCTGCCACTATGCGCTGCCGTCGGGCCCGTTCTGAAGGCCTCTGGCCGTACTGGTATCGAGCCAGAATGCTATGCTCGTAATATCGAACTCGCCAATACTATCATTTTCGAGGGTGCTGCGGCTGTTATGCACATTGTTGCTCTCGTTATGACTGTCATTATGATTCTGCACGTCCGCAGCAAGTTCACTGCTGTTGGTCGCAAAGAGATTCTGAGCTTCTTCTATCTGTACATGCTGCTCTCTGCTATGTCTCTCGTTGTTGATGCTGGTGTGGCACCCCCCGGAAGCGATCCGTATCCGTATCTCGTCAGTGTGCAAAACGGTCTTAGCAGCGCGGTCATCACATGCCTTCTTATTAATGGCTTTGTCGGGTTCCAACTGTACGAGGATGGCACACCTCTTTCGGTCTGGATGCTGCGAATCAGTTCTTTGGCTGCTTTCACCATCAGCTTCCTCGTCTCGCTTGCCACCTTCAAGAGCTGGGCTGGACTTGGTCCTACCAACACTGTCGGATTATTCGTTGTTCTCTACCTCTTGAACGCAATCCAGCTTTTTATATATGTTGCCATGCAAATTCTGCTCGTCACTCGAACGCTGCAGGACCGCTGGCCTCTTGGAGATATCGCCTTCGGTATCTTCTTCTTTGTGGCTGGCCAGGTTTTCCTCTACGCCTTCAGCTCAAAGATCTGTGTCGCTATCAGCCACTACCTCGATGGCCTTTTCCTTGCGACCGTCTGTAACTTGCTGGGCGTGATGATGGTTTACAAGGTATGTCCATTTCCCTAACTACTATATCTTGATCATTGCTAATGTTTACTAGTATTGGGACTCAATCACCAAGGAAGATCTCGAATTCTCTGTCGGCACCAGGATGAACAACTGGGAGGTCAAGGAGCTGCTGCCAGAAGAGGAGCGAAGGGCCACCGTCTTCTCAGAAGACCCCTACGGCCAGTCCAGCTCATATGATATGCCTTACTCGCCAGGCGCAGCGCGATACTCTTCCAAGTACTAAACCCTCCGGCCTACGGTCAACTTTGACGCTATTCACGAGATTTGCTTTTCTTTTGCTTTAATATCGCACCCTGGCGTGATATATACGACCCTGAAACGGTGATAGGGAACGAGGGGCTGTTTTGCTTTGGATTGTTTACATTGCGAGGCGTTTTCAACGGGTTATTTCTAGGCTACTTGTCTAGATGCGAGGCAACTAGCTGTCATGAAAAACGACGGGCAAAGGGAAGACATAGGAGAAGGAGAAGACGCATGTTAATACGTGGACCTTGTTGGTCGCCACGATGTAGGATGGACAATGGCGATATGTCGTTGTTATTTGCTTTTGCATATACATATATTTGCATAGGTAGTTATATATTATTCCTGGTATATTCGAGTATATTATAGACATGGTGCATCCTGTGTAACAGTCCGAGTTTGCGGCAGGCAACCGGCATGTCCAATCTATCTAGACGATCGAATCAGCTGATAAGTAATAAGAACAAGTTTAGCGAACTGCGTTGGGATTGGTAAGATGGAGTCTCGTGTTGGTAAGAGACTTTTGGGTTGATAGCTTGGCAAAAGATGTCAGTGAATGGACTCTGTCACTGGACGAACTGGTACTATCAGCCCCACTATGCACCTCGGCCGCCGCCGAAGTATATCGGCGATATTGCGATAATAAAAGCCAAAAAGGTGATATTAAGCGTAGGTTACATACAGTATCAATTGCTGCAGAGCATGACAGGACGACACGTCTTACCGGGCATTATGCGCCGCACGCGGGATAGGCAGCCATAAGGATAGAGTAGTATCGACAAGGAGCTACTCAGCTACACTACCTTGGTACTGTGTGCATGCATAGACAAACCATGAAGTTGACATAGACTGAGGGTCCCCTTTGAAATACTGCCTATCTACTATCGTGTCAGCATGGCAGCCGACGCCACGGTGCAGGGGGGCGTGGGATTGATACTGCGCTCTGCGCGAGAAGCTACCTGATATTAATTTATGGTGTCACCGTGAATGTCATCTCTGCGTGAAGCAGACTCGTCAAAGATGCGAGGCATACCTAGATGGCCGACCGAGCAGAAAGGGTGAAGGATGGATGATTGGAATTGGAGGAAACCAAGTTTGTAGGCTTGTAGCTAACCAACCAGGGCCTGCTTGTTTAGTTGTTGCGAGGGTCTCTGCTCGTATATCGTCCATTCCTTAAGTGCAATGTCATACACCATGGTCTAAGTCGCAGGGAATAAATAAGCCTAGTCCGCGTATTATTACCGTACCCATATATCTGTCTCGGGCCCAACACTACAGTATGTGTAATTTGGCGTAGTGATGACATGAGGGTTAGATAACTGATTAGTACAGTACAATTATGTACAATTACCTACTCCAGGATACCTTGACGTGTACTAGGTACAGTACCTACTATGTAGTAGTATAAGTTTCTGTTCCATGGTGCTAAGACTGCGGGTAAAACACCCAGGGAACTTTGACAGGGTCGCGTATGCGTGTTGCTGAGAACGGATGTCCTCTTTTGTCCTCATCAATCTCGGATCTGCTCAGGGGGGACCACAAAAAAAGGTGAGAGGGAGCAAGCAAGTCTTGAGAAAGCGATGGATCATGGATGGAAGCATGGAAGGATGGATGTTGGTTGATAAAGCCGCGGACAGCTCGCCTGTGATTATCATTACGATCTCTTAACCATACATTGACATTCTCCTTCCTCGTTTGCACAAGCTAATCAGTTTTGTCGTTTCCTCGCACGTGATGAACCGCTAGAACTAAATAGGATGCCCAGAACAAGGGTAACCCTGTCGGCTTTTACGTTTTGCTCGCTTCTTGCATGATTCGGTACCGGACGCTGGGTAGGGTATGGGTAAGGTACCTTTTATGATGGAGAATCAGGACGGTGGAGAATGTGAGCAAGTCCTAGGACTTTGTGTCGCAGCAGAATTGAATTGAAGGAAGTGAGTGAACAGGTCAGATCAGATCAGACGATGCGCGTGCTTGGTATGAGTAATGAGGAAGAGTTGGATATGCAGGGTTACTGCTGATAGGTAGAGCAACCTAGTACTGTACGGATACTCATCTGGGCTGTCAGGATCTACGGCACTGTGTATTTAAACGCAGTGGCTTTGGCGAAACTCAATTCTTATTTCCTCTGATAGTCGATGTACAGTACTTGTACATTTTTACGGAAACGTGCAAGACAAGCTATTGCTAGGCACTTGTCCGACCACTCTCAGTGGTCGATCGGAGCAAGGGTCCACGAGGATCTAGCGGAAACAAAGCGCGCAAACGCAGCTGAGGAGACCAGGAGAATAAATTACGTAGCGAAAGAAAACAGAAAAGACGGCAGAAGGAGAGGAGACCAGAGAGGGTGGGAAAAAACAAAAAACTTAACTGGTATCCATCACTGCTTTCGTCCATCCGGTTGATAGTCGACGCACGTCCGTAGCCGACCTGCACGGAACTACATGATGCTGCTCATACCAGAACCAGCCAGACTTTTAGTAGGTACTATCTACTATGTACCTAGTAGCTTTAATGCTTTCTGTATCCGCATCCGCATTCACACCTCATTCGTCCTCTTTCTTTCATTTGCCCCAGTCGTGGTTTCGGTTGGTTGTTAGTTTTAGCACCGTAGCCGTCCGTACCTAGTGCTCCTTCCTAGGAGAAGACCAGCTACCTCCTTCCTCCTCGTGGATGCCATGCCATGCGATAGTCTGGTTGGTAGGTACGACGTACGGTAAGGTTAGTAGGTACAGTGCAGTAGCACTTTCCCATTCATCCCCATCAGAGGAAAAATAATAAACTCACCTAAACTTTCTTTCCTTCCCACCCTTCCTTCTATAGGTTCTCATTTCCCGTTCCCGTTCCCGTTCCCATTATTCCATTCATTCCCTTCCTTTATTTCCTCCCACATTGGAGTCCATATTTCATGTCACGTCACTGCGAGTTACCCTCCTCCATTGACTTTTCCCTAGTAGGTATCTGATGTGATCCGAGCTTACTCTACCTTTTGCTCTCTCACATCCTTCTGTTACTTATATCCTACCTACTACACCTTTTCCGCATTGGCACTTCGCCCTTGTCCCCCCAACTTAAAAAATCATTCCCCCAAATTCCTACCTGGTCTGGCCTATCGCCGAGAAATTTCTATCTTTCACACTCCTACATATACCCACCCAACTACGTGCTACGCCTTGTGCAACGTAGGTACTTATCCTTTGATCTTTATTTCAGCATAAGACACAAACGTATGTATCCTACCTGATCGCGTCCTCTTACTCCTCATTGATCCTATATGAGCTAGCTTTATTAATGAGGTTGTACTGTTAGCAGGGATATTGGTCAACAGCACAAACTCTTGGGCTCATTTGCGCGACTACCACTGCAACTACGACTGTGACTGTGACTGCGACTAGGGTGGTGGAAGGAAATTCGAAGCAACTCTTTCAAACCCGCTTCTTTTTTTCGAGACAGATCATTTACGGCGTCGCGAAAAACAGGAAGCAATTTCGACCATTAACGACCTTGAGTAACAGAGCCTGGCACTTTCATGAAATGTGTTAGGGGAAACTCACTATTACATCCCCAACCATTATTACCTTGACCAATACACGCCGGTCACAACACGCTCATCCTGAGCTTCGAGACAATTTTTTGCCTTACGCGTTTTCCGCCTACGTACTCATTTCCCCTTCTCAGTCTATTACCTCAGATTGTCTCTTGGGGTGTTTTAGTCCGATTCCAACCCGCTTTCAGCACGCGCCCCACGACTTTATTTCGGCCCTCGGACCATCGGATTCGAGCCACTGGGATCTAACAGTTCCTCATTCGACTTGGTCATTCCTACTATATTCTGCAATTGGTAGTGAAACGCGATCACTCATTACCCGTTCGATGCTCATTTCCTTCAAACAGACACTGTCACTTGCAACCTTGTAGCCAGGTTCATGCATCCTATCATCTAGTTTCTTGCAACTATACTTCTATTTGACTTGGAATAGTCATTGCTTCTGAGGTCCTATTGTTATCACTCACTCGTGTTAAACAGTTGCTCTACCGACGTGGCCCATGATGGCCACAGGGGAAGAAGTCTGGGATGCTCTCCCAGAAGGGGAAGCAAAGTCTGTTTGGGATGAGACAGAACACAATTTTTGGGCGAACCTTCGCAAAACTAAGGAGGCAGAGAACCGCAAGGTGGAAAAGGATTTTCAGCATTCACTGAACGAAGTACGATTAAAGCTTAGTGATCTCAAAGGACAGCGAAGCCAATTGAAGGAATCTCAGAGTCGTCTGGCCAGGGAGCTTGCCAAAGTCGAAGCCGAGTTGGCTCGCACTACGGATGAGTGCGACGAAAAGGCAGAGCGATTGGTACGTATCGAACAAGATTACCACGAGTCGCGCAGAAAGCGAACAGAAGCGCAACATGAGATCTGGGTCAAAATGCGTCGCTTTTTCCGGGAGAAGAGAGGAGAGGATCCGAATACACCCGACACCAGGAGGCCTGAATCAGAGGGACTTGTTCTGCCTGATGCCTTGCCAGAGCTTTCGTCAGCTTCCAACGGGCTGGTGCCGCAAAGAGAACCCATCAACGGTTCTGTAGCGGAAGAAACGAATCACGTAAACCACGAAGACCGTATGGAGGGCGTTGAACACCATGATCACGGAAACGCCGAGACCCTTGTCGATGTTGTCGATGCCGATGGCAATGTGATCGGACCCGTGGAACATATCGAACCATGGAATCAGTGGGTGGAGGGCATCCAAGAGTTAGAGATTCGACGGCCAGTCAAGATACGCCGAGGACGACGGTTCAACACAACGCATCTCTCAACTATTTACGAACGAAGCGAAGCAAAGGGAGTCAAGTGGCTGTCATGCATGATCCAAGCCACAGGCGAGATACAGTCCAAACGATGCCAGTCCTGCGACAAGAACCAAGGTGCTTTTGATGATTGCATTATTGTAGGGGGAGATCTGTATCAGAAGTGCGGCAACTGTGAATGGAATCGTCAAGGATGCCACGGTGCTTCTGGGGACACAATCGACATAATAGCCTCGAGAGAGAGGGCACGACAAAAAAAAGAACGTGAAGAGGGATCAGACGAAACACCTGCAGAAGCTCCCCGCGAGGAAGAACCCCAAACAGTTGAACTTCAGACAAGATCTGTGTCCATTAACCAGCCTGCTCATCACACTACCCACCGAGTTGATGAACAAGTATCTGTTGATGCTCGGCCCCGTTCGCCGCCCTCTGTTATGCAGCGCCCGCCCGAGCGATTTGCCGGACAACAACCAGGGAAACAGGCCGAAACAACGTCTGAACAAGTCATCGTTCGACAACCTGACCGAACGACTGAGCCTCAGCCTAACCGAACAATTGAAACCCAGCCAGAAAGACGATTCGAGCGAGTTTCTGATCGCGTCCCAGAGAAGCTTCATGATGTGATCTCTGCCAGGGGCCCAGAACGAACGGTCGAGGTAGCACCTATGGCACCAATGCAGATTAACGAACATCCTCATGGGATAACTAACAAACCGATCTACAACTCTCCTCCTGCGCCTCACAGTCGCCCTAGCACTGCCCCTAGATCAGACTATGCTCCAGAACGTATGATAGACCCTGTGGATACGCCTCTCCCTAGACCTGTTCAATATCAGATCAGGCCTCCTCAGGACGCAACGCGAGCTACACTTCCACCAACTGCGCCGCAACACCTCCCTCACGATATCATTCGCCCATCAGCAGAACGCGATACCCCCATCAAGGACCCTCGTGGCTCTGAAACCATTCAAACACCACGCGAGTCGGACCATGTGCCTACTCCAAAAGAGTATCGAGTAACTTCAGGGTTCACACCGGCCAATGTGAGAAGCCGCCCTCCTTCGAGTGAACGAGGACGACCAACCCCGCCTTTGTTGCCACCAGACCCTGCTTCTCAACCCCCAGAGTCCCCTCCCGCAGCCGCTGAGGAAGAGATAACACGCGAAAATATGGTTCTCAAGAATGACGGAGTAGTTTACACTTACCCTGAGTGTGTGGAAGGTGTACCTTTGGCAAAGATCAACGAGAACCACCCTTACTGGGAGCCCAACTGGCAAAATGTGAGGACGCTCATCGAGCCTCAACTTGCGCGATGGCGTGAGAAGCACCAGGCTGCCATCGACGCTGGCACCAAGCAGGAGAAAGGAGGTTCTTCTAAGTACCAAATTGGTAGACAGGTTAATCGTGGTATAAAAATCCTCGAATTCCATGAAACCGGCCCCATCAGTCCCTATCAGTTGCTCGGCAAGAAATACATCCAGTCTGGCAAGGGTGGCATCACCTCGTATGACACCCTATTCCGTCTTTCAGAGACGATATCAGAACTTGAAAAGTTCAATCTTGATATCTCGCCAGTCGACTGGATGCGGCAGCGTCTCCACGAGCTTATGCAAGCCCGGGGCGCCAATTTCAACCTACCAAAGATAATTCATGACTTTTATCATGATTCCAAGCTGACGGCCCTCCGTTATAAACATGGTTTCAAGAACATTGGCCGCCCTTCTGGAGTTATGAAATCTCGCCTGAGCCATGGAAGTCCTAGCGCTACACCGAAACCTCTTCAGAAGCGAAAATCCATGCACTCGGGTCCCACTACTCCCCGCGAAGATTCCTTCATCGAACAATCTCCATTGCCTAGCCAGCTACCCCCAGCCCTCCCAGGGATAGTCGCAAGTCCTCAGCCAGTCTTCAGTACCCATCTGAACAAGCGGCCCAAATATCTGCCACCTGCACCGGGTCCGGTCCATGACGAATTCCACTTTGATGCCTGGTCCGATACAGATTCATGCAGCGGCGGTCAAATTAGCAAGTATGACTGGCGCCTTGCGAAAGTCAAGACTCGTCTATATACAAGCCACAGCAGCGTAACACAGTACTGGACCTGGATAGAGCAGCAACAATGCTTTCAACACCAGGTGCTCAGGGACTTGCACCCCGCCAAGTGGGGATATTTCAAGGACGAGATTGATTTCCATGTCTACTTGGACGAGATCCAGGAGATCTCATGGAATATCGAGCAGTGTTATGTTTACATCACCGTGAAGGGCGAGGCCGGTGTTAAAGCACCAGATGGCAAGCCTCGAGGAGATGTGATGGCGGTTTTCGCACGAAAACGAACCATGCGTCGATTCTTGTTCTTCTGCAGAGAAAAGGGAGTCCATATGAACAAACGCTCTGGGTAAGTAAACTTTTATTATTATAGGATCCGACGCTAATGTGATGATAGTGCTGAACTGGACAATCTTTGGCAAACAATGATTTCCGAACAATTACCAGGTCGTGGCGATTCAAACCAAAGACTTGTGGAATCCGTTTAGGCAACGTGAGAGGAATAGTCAAAAGACGTCCACGGCAATACCCCCTTTTTTAATCATAATATCTACCAACTTTTGTGTTTTTCGTTTCTAGTATAGAAGGAATCGTTGCATGCAAGCCAACACTGGAACTTGCGTGCTTACATGGGAAAAATGCTTCGTTTATTTACACTTTCTTTTTGCTTGGGACTTGGGACGGAAAAGCGCCGTTGATGGATGGGAGGGAAAAGCGGTACAGGGGAGGAGTTCTCTCGTTATATATCGGCTTGAATCATCAAGCGTTGAAAAGATCGTCACCAGATTTGACAGTCTTGGCTTCCCATAGAGCGAATGCTTCACCTTGAAACAAGTATGTCCTAATAGAAGAAACCCAATCACACCAGCAAAAAAGTCCTGTCTACAAGGTTTCATTAGACCGGCCCAGATTAGAGACCATATTATCATCTATGTGTACACCGTTTTCCTATCTGAAGAGCCAAACTCGCTTTTCAAACCACCTCAGCAAGTTATATCGCTGTATATAAATTACATAATTCCAAACACGTATTTACACTTATCGCTTTCTCAGCGTTCGGGTCGCCCCAGCAATCATACTCAGCGTGGGGGCTGCAGGAGTAGGCGCAGGCTTAACCTCGCCACTGCCGCCCATCATGCGACTCATCAATGCAGCTCGGCACTCTTTGGCTTTATCATCGCGGTACTCTAGCTGCGTTGCGGGTGGTTCAGATTGGTTATCTGCTTCCTTGTCCTCGTCTGCGAATACGTCGTGGAGCTCAGCAGCAGAGCGTGAGGCGACACTGCTGGCGTTGGAGGCGTTACTGATAGCGCGCCCGAAGAGCTGACGTTTACGAGGACGAGCGGGGGCGTGGTCTGTGTCGTCGGAAGCAAACGAGGGGAGGTTCGGCGTTGTTGTCTCGATGAGGGATGTTAGTTTCGAGGAGAGAGCCTGCCGTTCGGCAGCCTTAGCGCGTAGACGAGCTTGCTCAGCATTGTGTTGTTGCTTCGCCTGCTGGGGATCGTCTTGCAGATCCGAAGGAAAACTTTCCGTTTCTTCAGTATGAGATTTCGTAGTGATGGGGTCGGATCGAGTGCGAGATAATGCAGATTGTTTGACAGGCGACGGAGACCCATCCCTACGTGCCTGAGGGACCTTGGACGGAGGCACTTCCCCGAGGGGAGCATCGAAGTCTTTGTCTTTAGGCAGACTATTTGTAGTCACCGGGTGCGTACGAGCTGTGACGAACTCCGCTGATATGGCAGAGTCTGCCGCCGCAGCAGATTTCGTAGTGGATCTTCGAGCAGATTTGACATTTTCTGGTGAATCATGAGCAAATGCGGAAGTATCAACGCCAGCGGCCGGTGGAGGTCTAGGCGTATTGGTCTTTGCTGGCTTGCGAGCAGGTTCTGAGAGAGTGCGCTGTATCGGTTTGCTCTGTTCTCTAGCTTCAGGGACACCTTTTGCTGCTGCTTTAGACGCTGGTTGCGATGTTTCTGAATACCTGCTCTTTATCTCAGGGAAGATGTAGTCGTCGATAGGCACTTTGAATCCAGTTGATATACATTCCCAAAACCAGTCTGCTGATACCACAGGCACACCCCATCTTAAAGCCATGCGGAGCTTCTCCTTACGCATCGAAGCAAGGTCCTTACATATTAGAACACTTGTAGTCTTGCGGAACTCTCCTTCATACCTGGCTCCCAGCTGAGCAGCAGCACGTGCCACCTGATTAAGCTCTATGCCGGTGAAAGCGGCACTGCATATAACTAGGTCGGCAAAGGCCGGTATAGGAAAGAATGGAAATGGTCGACCTAGGACGTGATTCGTAGGATCAAAGTATTGCTTGTTGTGTAAACATTTCTCAATGTAGTATTCGGTGACGACATAGAGGTTATCGTAAGATTCTTGAGGGTGAGTATCTGGTTGGGAGTTTTGAGGGACGATCAGAAAACGGCTACGAGGCGGCTGCGGGGTTCGCCCAAGAGCAGCTTCGTGTAGTGATTTGCATATAGTAGCGCCAAGGGTAACGAGTGTTTGTTCGAGGACAGAAGTTCTTTGCGCATTGAATCCGTGTATATAAAAATGGCAATTGGCGAAAATCCCCTGATTTTCTGGGACTAGAGGAGCAGGTGGTGGAGGCTGAGCTTCATCCTGTTGAGGTTGTGGCTGTTGATTTGCATCTTCTGTCTTATTTTCTTGCGCAAATGAATACTCTCTTGACGTTGATCGTCCGAGGATATCACCCCACATACTATTGCGCTGTGAGCTCAACTTCATGCTGGCGGTCTTCCTGAGCTTCCTGGGGCCCTCTTCAGCACCGATCCCCATAGCAGATTTCGACCGTTTGCTCAATGAACGTTTGAGTTCTCTTGTAACCCAAGCGCCTTTCCCTTGCTCTTCCGGAGGTAACATAGGGTCGAATTTGCTTTCCTCCAAGATCATTCTTCGCGCGATGGACTGGTCGAGCCATGCAAGTGTGACAGGATGAATACCCCATGCCTTGGCTGCAGCATATTTCTTGCCCTCCGGTTTGTTGACAATAAGGTGAGTGCATCGTCTCGTCAGGTCACCGGTGTATAAACCTCCGTTCGATGTGATCTTGCTTGCGATTTCGTCCCTTTGGTCGCCGAATCCGGTTAAACAGATGAGCAATGAATCTCGTGCTGCCTCTCCTTGTACTGGTAGAACTGTCGGGTCGATACCTCGCTTCTCTAAAGGTTTAAGCTGATATTTGTTCTCTAGTTCTCGGTAATCGATCTCATCGTCGTTCTTCCATATCTCGCTAAGGGTTTCGATCCAGGCGGCGTCCATAGCCTTAATATCGGGGCGTTCACGGGCGACATGACGGTATTTAGGTGTGTCGTAGTCACCGACGATAAGGTGAGTGACGTCGGGCGTGAGATCGTATTTGTGAACACCGCCTAGCTCGGAGACTTTGGCTGCGATGCTGGTCTGAACATCAACCATGATACATTAGTAAATAGAACACATGATGAGGATAGGACAGACTTGAACGGTTACTAACACGATGCTCGGCAGGAATACTTGTACAGCAGACAACGATACCCTTAAGAGGTTCTGCTGGATCAAATTGTATATCTTCATCTTCTTTTGCGTGTAATGAAGCCATGTTCAATCCCTCGTCTTTGTTGGTTGCTGTGGAATTGCAACCTGGACGCTGAGGCTTGTAGTTTTAATTGACATCAACTTTTTTTGGAAGCGCGTCGTGAACCGCGTCAAGTGCCTAAGCTTAGACGTCATGACACTGGCGGAGCTGCTGTAGGATGCGCACTGTACATGCCCCTTAAGCTGAGATCCGAATGGCAGGGCGCTAATCCATGCTACAACACAGTGAGTGTTCAGCAGTAGTCATGCCCGACCTCCGTCCGCATAACTACCCGTTGACAGGAGTAGACGCATAATACTGAAGACGGAATACATGAATGACCTATTCGTCTCCTCCTACCATACCTAAGTAAATAAAATCGAGAATATCATAGCTTTCTACACGGGTAGTTTGCGTCAAGTATCTTGTGCGAAATCACCTCTTTGAGATCAGCTAAAAAGTCCCCATCAGCCACAGTCCAACCAGCTGGGGGCTTCGTTTACATCATTTGAGGGAATGGCATCAGATAGAGAGTATAAGAGATGAAATAATATATACACTTCATGCCAGCTTAGACTAAAATTCAATTGCTTTGTTTTAACATTCTAAATCTTTAGAGAACCGTTTTCCTATTACCCAGTAGCAGTATCTACCAATGGGACAGTCGTTTCCCATACCAGGAGAGTTGAGTTTGCTGCGACTTTAAGACTTACCTATGAGCTCCAGCAGCAAGAGAAATATCACCAGACGCCAGATGAATCGCCCAAGGGTCGATCTAGAAATTACATCGATCAAATTACCTCGTTTATGGTGCTCTCATTAACCAACCCTTTTAACACTTTGACGGCGTGACGGTGGTATGGATGGATACTGAGGGCTGCCTACAGTGATTAAGGCATTCACGAATAAGCCCCGCTCATCACCTAACGTTGCCTACAAAATCCAACCCCACCATCAGCTACCTAAGTTCGTAGCCTTGTCGCATCCGAACCTAGGGAAAGTTCAACCCCTCCATCTGCACTTGCTTCGTCTTGAACCTGAACTTCTACCTTCCGTTCCCTATATTTAAGCTTGCTTCGCAGGCAACTTTGGCGATCAACGCGATCTCAACTGGCCAACTATCAAAATACATACCGCCTCGGCAGCGACAGATTTGTCGGAACAAGAATACATTACCATCCGATTCACGGCTCGCTAGACACTAAGCTGTATTGCGTTTCCATCATCCCGACCGACGGACGTTTGATTACTCGAAGAACCAAAGCCCACGACCCGACTCGATATACGTTTCAGAACTCCAGCGATCCCTCTCGGGCCAGGATTGTTCAAGATGCCTCCGCCATCTGCAAACCAGCAGAAGGTGCTCATCGCCCAGTTCGTATCTCTGACTGGCCAAACCGAGCGACAAGCCACCCGCGTACGTCTTCCTCATGATCGCTTCTATTCTTCCTAAGATCCAGCAGCCGTCAGTCCTGGATACGCATGAAAGTTATGACAATATGATGCTCTGCACAATCCGACTGGGGCCACAAAGCGTAGCGGTTCGGGTTTTGGTGGTGACACCGCTTAGACCAGAAATAGCTGGAACATGATGCAATTTGAGAATGACTGTGCTAACTTTAGTCAACAGTATCTGAAGAACGCGGGTTTTAAGCTTAACGAAGCAGTTGATGCGTAAGTTCTTTTTATTCAGTTACTCTCTATACTTGTCATGATATGCATATGGCCCCCGACTACTGCCATCCGACTTCCGCTATGGCCCAATACGGGAATGTCTGTATCGAGCATCCTCCGGCCGTTGTTTGCCAGTATCCCGTCATGGTGGCCTGGTCCACTACTGCCAGGCTCAGTTTGGATACACTGCAGAGTATGACCGACAGAGGCGCCGATAGCTTGAGACAAGGTTACTTGGAGTAGCTGGCGTTAGTGAGGGGTCCTGAAGACATTACCTCGAAGACATTTCGTTCCCATGTCTATATGGAATTCCCGACTGTTTCCATGGGCCCTTGGATAGCTGGTATTCATGACCAAACCTGTACAAGCATTCTTTGTTCATCATCCTCATAACACAATACTCGACCTTGCCACCCTGACGGGGACTTTCATCAACCTGACACCTTGACCTCATACAAGCCATACACCATCGCAAGCCTGAGAATGGGGTGGAGAGGTGTGAAGAACCGTATTTCGACACGGGTCCCTATCTGGTCTGCATCCAAGAATAGCAATGGCAACACTGACGGGTCTGCACCATTCTATCGAGAAACACCCACAAAGCCATCCAGGGATTCATCGTTCCGGTATATTGCCTCTATTCATGGAGCAGATACTTCATGCTGTATAGCGGCCAAGTTGGTCATTGCTGATCCGTCCACTACCAAGCCATGGCCGATACACTGTTTGACTTTCTTTGCGAATTTGATCTGTCATCAATGAACGACACTAACATATGTGGTATAGATACTTTGCGTCCAACGGAGATAGCAAAGGACCGTCACCATTGGAGACAAAGTTGGATTCTTTGTTTGACCAACTGCAAGGTATGTATCTTCCCAACTGTACGTCGGGCTTCTGGGCTTACATCTTCAATTAGACACCAAGGATGAAAAGGATAAACTCGAAATTGATTCCACAATGTCCTATCTCGACGATAAGTTGAAGGTCAACATGGAAAACGCAGAGTTGCTTGTTGCCCTTGAACTTGTTCAAGCTCCCGCGGTTGGAGTCATCACCAGAAAAGGCTACGTTGACGGCTGGAAGGTGGCCGGGTAAGTGCTGACACCTGAACTGCGAACGCCTTATAGAGATGGCTTGGCTTCCTTAGTGAGATTTATTGCTAATTCTGTAACAGAGCTGGGACAACACACCAGGAGCATGCTGCCCACATCCGGAGACTTATTAAGTCCCTTTCTTCTGATCAGGCCCTTTTCAGGAAGGTCTACAGACATACTTTCGTTGCTGGACGAGAGACTGACCAGAAAGCTCTCAGCCTTGAGACAGCCGTCGTATATTGGGACATCCTGTTCAAATCCCCAGGCATGGAATGGAAGACGGCAAACCACAACTGGCTTCAACTATGGAAGGATTTCCTGACGGCAAAGTGGACCCGCTCAGTCAACAAGGACATGTGGAACATGACCCATGAATTTGCTGTCAAATCACTCTCTGATGAGTCATTGTCATTCTGGAACGAGGATGGTGCTTGGCCTAGTGTTATTGACGATTTCGTGGAATGGTGTCGCGAAAAGGGCATCGGTAAGGCCGATGGAATGGACGTTGACAACTAGAAGACTGATACTCCAGCGGGCACACTGGAAAGATCGATTAGGAGAACCACGCCGGCTTCGCTCGGAACCTAGTCGGTTCCAATACGGAATAAGCGCACATAGAAGGCGTAGATTGCGGCTCTGGTTTGATTCTTACATACGATCTCAGAGGGCACATCGTTCAGACGCCAACCAGAGATACAGATAGCGGGCTGCGTTTCTAGATAGGACAGCGTTGACCAATGGCACTCGGGCCATTGGTGTGGCCGCGATTGATGACTTATGATAGACATGTAGCAATAACAGAAAGCGTATCCAACTGCTGCGTATCCTTGGTCTTGATGTTCTTTTTTTTATACGTCGAGTCAATCTCCAACAACACGAGGCAATATCATCAAATGCAAGTTTTGAACTTCTATAAATTTCATTTAACCGTGATTGCTGCTATCTTTTTTGGCGCAGCATGCCTTTTATACACGGCATTGAGTGATGCCTGAGCCAAGGACTAGACTCTCTTCCAAGTCATATAGTCCTTGTTCCTCATTGGGTTCCCCCTCATATCATACAACATGCCATTTCTCACCCCTTCGCTGTTGCCATTAGAGTTGATTCCGTTCCGTTTTGATGCCTAAAACCCTTCTCTTCTTTATGCCTCGCTGCCTGTCGTCTTCCACTTGGGTGGGCCGAATCTGGCGAGGGACTCAAGCTTTCCGTCTCCCAACTTGACATGTGCGGCACGGATCATACGGGGTTCGAGACGTAGTGTGTTGCGAACATCGTGGTGAACCTTTGCGGCGGCGTCGTATCGCATGACGAAGTAGTGGCCGTGGGTGTGCTTCATTTGATGTACTGAGATGGGCTTGGGTAGCGAGAAAACGCCCCAGTTGGCGAGACCGCGGACGACACCGCCATTCTTGAGGACGAGGGAACCGACTGTTTGGGCGATTCTGCAATAATTAGTTTAAGGCTCGGTATCGGTAGATGGCTCGATGTTGAAAACGTACTCCTTCACCTCTAAGAGGCTGCCCGGTCGGACCTGTTCGCAGTTAGTTGATGCTCGATTATCAAGGAGGCATTGGATTACGTACAATGGCAATTAGTTCGTAGAGCATCTTGGTGATGGCATCTACGATTAAGATAGTAATGTCGCGGATTCGAGATTGAATTCGCCGTCGCTGGAGACCCGATGAATTTCTGGCGGATCTCGAATTTTGGATCCCGAGGATTAGCCACTCCGTCTCGGCGGCGGGAGCTTCATGACAAGTGGGGCATTTCATAAATGATCACTCAAGTCTTAAAGGCTAAGGGCGTCAGAATAAAGCAGTCTAGATACTCCTCTGAACTGGCACAAGGTAACCAGATTATTTCGTCATCTGCTCTCAGCGATCAGTTCTTCTGAAATCCTGGTGTGACTATTAATTTTGAGGATCTCCATAATTGAATTATTAATGATCATTTCTATGCATTGGTTTTCTATAGTACAGGGTTTTTATACATCGAGAATAAATCTCAGATAGTCGTAATTGAGAAAGCTTAGATTCGTTCCTTGGACAAAGCCTGCCAGATACTCCAGGGCAATTTCCAACCTGCTGTCTTCACAGCAAATGGATTGAAATCGGCTTGCTCAAGGCGCTGCAAGTACTGAGCTGAGGGAATGGCTTCCAGTAGCACACCAAAACCTTGGCGAATTTCGTTTATTGTGTCGCTTCCCTCGCCATAAAAATGTTCGCCTTCACCCTGGTGCTCAAACTCATGACCAGGGTCTTCTCCAGCTTTGAGCCTCTTGAGCATCTCTCGGGCTGTAATAAGATGATCGTTGGCTCGAGTTGCAACCTGGAAAACAGCATCTTGTAGGCCAGGCGCATTGGGTCCTTGTCTGAAGACTTCCTCCTCCTTAACTCCAGCCTCAGCCATAGCGTCTAGCGGAAGAAGGATTGCAGGCTCCCGCACGGGAGGAACCTGTCCAGAAGGTGTGTTGACAGGAGGAGGCGGTGCTGCTAAGACTGGGATTCCGCGCAAGATTGCGGCAATACCGCAAGCTTTTCCGATATGGCTGGCGAGATGATCGACGTGCATCGACCTGAGTGGTAGAGACGCTAGTGTCGCATACATAAGCGTCGAATATGTATTCTCAGCATACTCTTCCAAACTCGCCAAGTTGGCAAAAGGTCGATTAGACATGTGCTTTTCTCTTGTTTTTATTAATCTGGAAATCCAGAATTTAATCGACTTCTTGGTTGAGCTGCCATCCCGGGCCTCAAGATCCTGCAGGCTCTTGTGTAAAAGAATGCAGATGGGCTCGCGAGGAGGACGACCCGCGAAAGTGTTGTCAATGGACTCTTGCCAGAACTTCATCCGGAAGGATCCAATTGTAGGGTTAGAGACGAGCTCGGGGAGACGGACGAGCTCAAGGTTGAGAGTACGTAGAGCGGCATAGGTATCTTGGATTGGGGAGGGAACGAAGCGGCGGATGAGATGAGCATCATAGTCGCTATTTCTAAAAGGGATTAGAGTAGGTTCAAGTTTCGGTGCGCAATTGACTCACTGTAGTTGTGTAAGGCAGTATCGTCGTGCGGATTCAACATCAGCATCGGTGATATAGGTTCGCCGACATGTTCGGGCATAGGCAAAGCCTCGAAGGCCTTGGCCCAAAACTCTGGGACGATACATAAAGGTGCCAAATTCTCAAAACCTATATATTATTTATAGATTTTGGGAACTGTTTTCGCCTGGAAGTGATGGAATTGACCTTTGTATAACGAACATTGAGGTCTGGCGACTTATACAGGGCCACCCACATGTATCGGATTTCCAATCGCCATGGGGAAATTTTTCATGACGTCGAGCGTTTGTACGCCACAGCAACAGCCACATCAATTAACACGAAATGACGAGATGAAAAGAACCACTTAAACACGGGATCAGGTGACCCTTCTACGCGCCGGTCGCGCTTGCAGGGGTTTTGTCGCGTCTCCCAGAAAGTCCAGTACATTTCAGGAAGGGTCATTACTTGGGAGTACCAGATTCTAGACCAAATCTTCCATAAGTGATCTTTCTCAAAAATGACTTTGTCTTTCGAAAATGAGCATCCAGATGATCATGTAGATCTACAACCTCCTACCAAAAGACGGAGGTTTTCCGCCAACCCTGAAGAAGCTTCCTCAGATCCAGTTGCGCATGATAGCTCCCCACTACCGCCACCAAGACGATTCTTCAAAGATGAAGACGAAATCAAGCAAGAAAACGAACAATTAGAAACAATAGTCGAAAACCCGAACGATGAACCAGCGAGGTTATCTCCTACAGAGCCTCCGGCGCTCCAGCAGGAGTCATCCGTATCTTTCGACCAGGAAACATTCGAGGCCTTCATTGGCGACAAGATCTCGGCCGATATTCTTTCTGCAATTAGAGGCAATTGTGGGAATGACCTCGAGCGAGCTGTAAACATGTACTTTGATGGAACATATAAACAGTTTATGAAGAAACCGTCAAAGTCAGCACCGTTGAGACCCGCTGCCAGCTCAATTCGCTCTCCAAGTACCTCCAATGAACGAAAACTCCCCATACAAACCTCGAAAAGGATGCCGAACGAACGATATATAGGCGCGTTTGGAGTTGAGGGGTGGGCAACACGAAGTGGGACGAATTTGATAAAGCATGCAGACATTGTCAAGATCGAACGACAAAAACGAGCACCTCAACCTGTAAAAGGCAAAGGAAAGGCTGGACCTGTCACCCCTTCGAGAGGTTTTGGAGCTGCTTCAAAACGACAGGATGTTATCGTGCGCTTTACGACCCAGGACGGAACGGAAGTTGGGCGACTATCGAGAGAAGCGGCGAGCTGGGTTTCAGCCTTGATTGACGAAAAGATATGCAAATTCGAGGGAACTGTCGTCTATGCTCCCGAACGACTTCGAACAAACGATACGGTCTACCTTCAGTTGCGATGCTCACTTCTCAACTCTGCTTTCTTTAGCCGAGCGTTCCAGCTCGCTGACGATAGATCAACTGCCTTCTTTGAACAAAACGAGACAAACGACGAGAAGACACTTCGTTTGAGACAAGTGGCTTTAGTTAAGCTGTTCCAGGAAATCAATCTGCACCCTACGCTGACGAATTCTGCTACCAAGGATGGCCGCAAAGGATTGCTCCAAGCTGCCGAGCAAGACGAAGAGAAACAAAAGGACGCCGCCAAGAAAACGAATGGGAATGGAAACGGCAATACTAAGGAAGCGAACTCGTCCCAATCCTCTGACACTGAGGAGGGAGAAGAACTGGAGCAGGATCAGCTTGATGCGTTGTACAAAAAAGCACAGTCTTTTGACTTTGATACCCCCGAAGCGGAACCTGCAGATTCCTTTGCCATGACACTTCGCAAATACCAAAAGCAAGCGCTGCATTGGATGATGTCCAAGGAGAAGGACGAGAAGGGTCACCGGGAGCTATCGATGCACCCGCTTTGGGAACAGTATGATTGGCCATTGAAGGATGTTGACGAGAACGAGTTGCCACAAGTTGAGGGGCAGTCGAAGTTCTACGTCAACCCTTATTCTGGTGACCTGTCACTTGACTTCCCGGTACAAGAACAACACTGCCTGGGTGGTATTCTTGCCGATGAAATGGGTCTCGGCAAGACCATCCAGATGCTGAGTTTAGTTCATTCGCATAGGTCCGAGGTTGCTCTTGAAGCTCGCCAATCAGCTGCTGCACTGGCAAATGTGAACCAACTTACAAGACTGGGCAAGAACTCAGAGTCGGTTCTTGATGCGCCATGTACAACACTGGTGGTCGCACCCATGTCGCTGCTGTCCCAATGGCAGAGTGAGGCTGAAAAGGCTTCCAAGAATGGAACGATGAAGGTCGAGCTATACTATGGCAACGAAAAGTCGAGCAACCTACAAGCACTTTGTTGTGCGTCCAACGCAGTCAATGCACCCGATATTGTCATCACTAGTTACGGTGTTGTGCTATCCGAGTTTAGCAGCTTGGCTGCTAGAAATGGAGACAAGAGTTTCCATAATGGACTCTTTTCGCTAAAGTTCTTCCGCATTATCATCGATGAAGCTCATCATATCAAGAATAGATCTTCCAAAACGGCGAAAGCATGCTATGAGATCTCAGCCACCCATCGCTGGGCACTGACTGGAACTCCCATTGTGAACAAGTTGGAAGATTTGTTCAGTCTTGTCAGATTCCTAGGCGTAGAACCCTGGAACAACTTCTCATTCTGGCGGACATTCATTACTGTACCTTTCGAGTCTGGTGACTTCATGCGAGCTCTGGATGTCGTGCAAACCGTTTTAGAGCCTCTTGTGCTCCGGCGTACAAAGGACATGAAAACGCCCGATGGCGAACCGCTTGTGCTCCTGCCGCCTAAACAAATTGAGATTGTTGATGTCGAACTCTCGGAGACAGAGCGAGACGTCTATAATTATATCTTCAACAAGGCTAAAAGAACTTTCTCACAAAATGTCGAGGCGGGTACTGTCATGAAGGCCTTCACTACAATCTTTGCTCAGATTTTACGTCTTCGGCAGTCATGCTGTCATCCTGTTCTTGTGCGCAACCGTGACATCGTGGCGGATGAAGTTGAGGCTGGAGCGGCTGCTGATGCAGTTGCCGGGCTTGCAGATGACATGGACCTTGAGTCGCTCATCACCTCGTTCACGGCAGTGACAGACGAAGCGTCAAAGGAGTCTAATCAAACCTTTGGAGCCCATGCACTGGAACAGATCCGTGATGAGGCTGAGAATGAGTGTCCTTTATGTTTTGAAGAGCCAATGAATGATCAGACAGTGACTGGCTGTTGGCACTCGGCGTGCAAAAAGTGCTTGCTTGATTATATCAACCATCAAATTTCCAAGGCAGAGGTACCTAGATGTTTCAGCTGTCGCGAGCCGATCAACAAACGAGACTTGTTCGAGGTTGTTCGCCACGATGATGATCCTGATTTTATGTCGAAGAAGCCCAAGATCAGCCTACAGCGGGTTGGCGTCAACGCTTCTTCGGCAAAGGTGGTTGCGCTAATGTCTGAATTGCGAGCTTTGAGACGAGAACATCCCAAGATGAAGTCTGTGGTGTTCTCCCAGTTTACCTCTTTTCTGAGCCTTATCGAGCCTGCTCTCACACGTGCGAACATCAAATTTCTTCGACTGGACGGATCAATGGCCCAGAAAGCGCGAGCAGCGGTACTTCATGAGTTCACTGAGCGGAAAGGGTTTACGATACTTTTGCTTAGTTTACGGGCTGGTGGTGTCGGTCTGAACTTGACGACCGCTGGACGGGTGTTCATGATGGATCCCTGGTGGAGTTTCGCGGTTGAGGCTCAGGCCATCGACCGAGTGCACAGAATGGGTCAAGAGTCTGAAGTACAGGTTAAAAGATTTGTGGTCAAGGAAAGCGTGGAGGAGCGGATGCTCAAGGTCCAGGAGCGGAAGAAGTTTATGTGAGTTCTATCTGTGACAAAACGAAGAGCCCGGCTAACAAGAAAACAGTGCTACCTCGTTGGGTATGATGAATGACGAAGAGAAGAAGGTTCAACGCATCGAAGACATCAGGGAGCTGCTGAGTTAAGTGAGCTATTGTTGAATTTGCTACTGCGAGTTTGTTGCTGCATTTTGCATGACGGGCATGACAACAGCAGTGGGATGCATTCAGAAAGGCGTTTACAGATATAGACGGGACACGAAAATAGCATAAACAGCTTGCTACGAGGCAGCCTGGTCGCAATAATAGACAAGCATGGCATGCCATATTATGATGGCGTCTGGTTGGCCATGTTTTAATATGGTATCAGAGAGCATCAGCATCTGATGAGCAAGCCTGACGAAATGTCAATCACGACAGTTGGGAAATTCTAAAATATAATAAAATTCAATCATACTGACTAGTCAGACCTTTATATGATGAGAAACAAGGGGATCATTAGGTACAAATTCCTGGTCACCACTATGTCTCAGCGCGGTCATGTTCCTGCATTGCCGCCTTTGGCGCGTGACCATGAGCCTAATAAAAGTATCATCTACGGTCTCAACCATCACGAACCTGACGCGACTCACCTGACTTGGTACCTCATGAGTCGAGTAGGACTATTTCAACATGTCGAATAATCTTGGCATATTTAAATAGAAGAAGGGCCGTCGGGTGGCTGCTGTCACTATGTTGGTTTTGTGTTACAGAGTATACATAGACAGACGACTGCATTATTTGCAACACCAGCTTATTTGCCCGACTGACTAGCACGTTCATTATTTTCGTTTTCCCTTCTTTCCATTAAAGCAATCCTGCTGTACTTACATCCTGGATCATCTTTCGTTCAAGTCTGGCGAGGTAGAGGGATCAAGCAACAACGTTGCTGCAGTTCACGACTCGATTTCCCAAAAGGATACAGCAATCGAACAAGGGCCTCAAGAAGAACCCGAAGAGACTCAGGTCGGTGAGGTAGAAGAGGAAGTAAAGCCATCGGCCAAAGACAAGTTCGAAGACGAGTACGACAGCGACGACGAACATCGTCTTTGCTCCCTACTTCTGTACTTTATCTCCAAGACTCTTCTCAGCCACCTGAGAAACGAACCGGAAGAACCACCCATGGACCGATTCGCTGAGCAATTATTCGGAAAGCAGGACCAGTCCTCTCGCGGTCGACTAGCACAGGAACCCAGTTTCATGGAAACATTCGCCAAGAACCTGGCCAAATCTGCTGCAAAGTCTGCTGCCAAACGAGCCATGGGCCAGACCTCCTCTGAGAAGCGAACCCGCGATTGGGCTCGAGGTACTAGCAGTAACCAGATCAACCCTGAGGACTTTCGAGGTGTTGCAGAGTTTGTGATTGGTATGCTTAACAGCAACAAGAGTGAACGACCCAGGGGTGAGGATGATCGGAAGAAGGATAAGAAGAGGAAGAGGGATAAAGAGAAGGATAGAAGTAGAGAGGCTCCGAGGAGTAGGGATGTTGAGGACGAAGGAGAGAGATATGGGTCGGATAAGGAAAGGAGAAAGAGGAGGAGACAACGTGTTACTTTTGCAGAGCCATACTATGATTCTCGTCAAGAAGAGGCTTACTATCCCCCGCCCTACGAGCCACGCCGTCGCCACGACCGCGGTCGGGAACGAGAGAAAGAACAAGATCCAAACCAAAGCCAAGGTTACAGAGAAGAACAAGACCAAAGACCAAGCCGAGGCGAAGAAGACCGCGAAGACCGCAGACGTCGTCGTCGCCAACGTCGCTACAAAAAAGGTCTGGATCTCAAAACCCTCAAGACAGAACTCGAAGCCATGTCCAGCACCATCATCTCCCTGAATGCTCGTGGTGCTCAACATCGCGACTGTGAATTCTATGATCGGTTTGTCCGAAAGGGCGGGAGGCTACAGGATGTTATCGGAAGCACGTTGGGTCAGATCAGGGGTTTGCAGGAGGGAGATGCTGAGGCTGATGAGCGGAGACGGAGGAGGGATGATAGAAGGAGGGAGAAGAGGTGATTTCCTTGAGTACGTATAGATTAGACGGTTTGTTTGGCTGTTTGTATATGGCAATCTTCTAGAATGCATTTTGTGTTACAATACGCTTGGCTCCTCTATGCCGACGGATTGGCATTGTGCAGATGTTTGACCAAACACCCGCTCGTAGCGAATATGGGAGGAAAGGCGATATGCGGGTGTTTGTGATGATTGACAAAGGATTTATGCGAAGATGATTGCTGAGTGTATCGTATATGAGGAGTGACGTCTCATGGCAGGCTCTCGTGGTGGTATATATATTACTTCACAGCGCCATTCTTTCTCTTCGTTATTTTGTTGAAGTCGAGTTCTCACAGTAGACTGCAATGCAATCAATATGCCACTCATCAACTTCACCCAAAAGGACCAACTATCTTGTGCTTCATGCCTACCTACTGCCAGCATGGCTCGAACATCAAGCAGGTTCCTATCATATAAGTCTATCGACAGCACCGACTCTGCTCTACCAAGCAACCCTCACCAACTACGCCGTCGAGATACAAGTCCCGGAATAGTGGGAATAGTAGTCGGATTGACGATACTGACCACCATAATAATAGCTGTCATGTTCATATGGAACTGGAAACACTTCAAGCAGTCCAAAGCCCGACAGGACGAAAGACAACAAAGAGAGCAACACCAAGTCCATTCTCAAACACATACTCATACCCGTCCTCATCAGCACCGTCACTCCCGTCGACATCATCGCACACTAACTCATCTTAACACCGATCTTGAAGAGAACCAAGAAAGCCTCGACTCGGAGCAGGAACAAGAGAATCAACATCAGCATTTCCGACATCATCCAAACTGTCGACACCAACGACTATACCATAGTCAAGATTCCCCGAGTTGGGGCCCACGGCGACCTGAGCCTGTGCTTCCTCGCTGGACTTCACATCGAGGGGGGATTCCCATACCGAACGAGATGGACGCGCCACAGATATATGGAGATGGAGGATGGGAGAACCCAGGTTTATTTGGACAGAGGGAGAGAGCTGCTTGTGTTTGAGGTACATATGAGAGGCGCACGTTGGAGTTTAAGAACATGGGTTAAGATGGAATGAACTTTTTGACGAATTCTGGAAACGATAGACTGTAGAATACATATGACACTATAGAGCATTCCGCCATTGACATTGCTGCCAGTTGCTAATGAAAGGAAGAGACTACTACACTCAATAGAATATACATGAAATTGGGTGATCTGAAAAGGAATTAGCCTCCATTCAATGTCAACAAACAAAGCAAGAGCATAGAATGGCTTACCAAAAGGCAGCAAGTCCATCTGCGCTCTTTCGTTATCCATCCGCCGGTTTATCTTTAGGCGGAGCATCATCAGCAGGAGGAGGAGCAGCACTCGTATCTGAATGTCTCGAACCTCCGCTACTAAGTGACTTGTGCCCAGTATGCCTCCTTGTGGTTTGGTGATGATGGTGGTGATGTCGATGGTGCTTCCTTCTCTTGGGGAAAGTAAATCTGGCAGACTTATAGTAATAATACAAGAACGTGAAAACAATGGCCAGGAAGGCAGCAAGAGTGAAGCCGACAATGAGACCGATCTTGATGTTATTATTCTTGGACGGATTATCAGAGAACTGCCTCTTTGTATGGCTTGTTGAGACCTGACTGCATGAACTGTGGAGAAGCTTCATGAGTGGTTGAATAGTGAAAACATTGGGTTGAAGGGATCCATGATCTTGGGTATCAGCCACGGAGACGTGCATATGACGCGAAGAGAGTGGGATATACATCCTTGAGCCAGCAATTCAATATAGACAATTAGAGAATAGAATGAAATAGAATAGGTATATCTGAAACATTAAAGTGCAAAAAGGCGTTGGCAACATCAGTAAACAATCATTGTGCAAAACAAAAGATGGTCATCCTCATGGATGAGGCCTCAAGATAGATAAATAGGTACCCATCACCAAGTCAGACATCAGGCAGAAATCTCAAGCCATATCAGTAAAGGGTAAAAGGAAGAGAGCGTTATTTGAGTAACCGCTGAGGATGGTAGTAATGCATATGCCGCTGCAGCCCGACGAGATGTAGTGGCTCGAGGGTCAGGGTAAGACGTGCAGACATGTTCCAATCATTGCGGTTTGAGGCGAAGATTTGTGTATGGGTGAGAATGCTGTGTAATGTGAGTTTTGAGGTGAGATAGCGAAAGGGGAGATATCATTGAGAGTAGTATAGAGGTTGGTAGTTGTACAGATTGAGTTTCTATTTGATGGTAGTTACGGGAAACAAGTGTAAAAGTCATTGAATCTATTAACCAGATATATACCTATTAATGAATTAGTGTATCCAGCTTATAAAGTGAATACATGAACTGAACATCTGCTGTGGTTAGTTGAGTTGGCAACGCAACGTATCAACCAGCCATTGAGGCATTTGAGCAACATCCGGTTACCAATCGTACGACACCATTGAAAAGTACGTGCATCTGTGAATAACACATGATTGGATACTCTATCAATTGCAGCCGTGGGGAAATGCAACCTGTTGATAGACTATACAGTACATACAGTATTATACCTAGGTAGGTATATACCATGTAGAAGCTAAGCCCAGCAATGAAGATCACATTGCTTTTTCTAAGCCTCAACTCAATGACATACAGACCATAAATTAACAAACTTAGTCACGTCACTTACCCTGGCTAAACAAACCCCTGTCAGAGAGAACAGAACAGAACAGTCAGGGGGACGGAGTAAGCGAACCGCCTCACTTTCACTTACACAAACACGACACGACACGACACGACAGGGCCATGACTCGGACTAAGTTCATCGCTAAAAGATACCGACAGTTGCATCATTACGGATACCCTTAGGATAATTAATACATACTCGGGTCGAGGTTCCCACTCGGAAGCTGGGGAGGTTCGTTCCGCCCATAGTCTGTGATAGCACCGACTAGCTACTAGCTACCTATGGTGCAATGGATCCGCCCTATCTTTAGTGTAGGTGATCACCGAACGACTGACTAACCGATACTACTGACACTGACTGTGAGTACCTACATATCTTGAGGATCAGTTGCAGAGTGGCATAGTAAATACGCGGATAGATTATTTATACGAATTCCCTACCAATAATCACGAGAAACATCACTTCAACTGGTGACAATCACCAGACTATTGGCCTCGGTTATATTGTAGTAGACTACCTAATCCACTGCTGTTAGCACTCAGCTATCGGGGCCACTTCATCCATGTCCCGTCCAGTCTTTACGAGTCAAAGCGCAATTACATACAGATTACCGAGACCTGCCATTGCCCATTGCTACAGTACGGTACATACAGTACAGCGAACCCCCTCACTCAGAGACCCAGACCAAGACCCAGACCCAGAGAAGACCCAGAACCCAGGGGCCTTAACGACATTTTAAAGACTGGCCTTTCTCTTCTTCTTCTTTTCTCTCAATTACTCTCTCTAATCAATTACTCAACTATCTATCTGTTTTTAATCTCCATTGCTCCACTCATTCTGAGTTTACCCCACGTTTCTCTACCACCACTGTCCACGATATATCACAACCCTGGGACTCAACCTCTCACTGAGTCCCTTACTCACCATAATGAAACACAACAACAACGTCAGATTACTCGCCGTCCTCACGGACTCAGAAACGGACGAAAAAAGTGAATATCGCTTCCTCGTCGATGACACCCACGTAAGATACGTCACTCTGGACGGCGGTCTCATCCCCCCTAAAGACCGCACCTACGAACCCATCCTCCTCCCACAGCTCCCCGTCTTTCCACCTGGAGACTGGAACGAAGGTCGGGTGGGTAAAGATGGACACACAGGGAAGCCATTCTTTTGCGAGACAAGAAGGAGCAGTTTGCCAGGGATTGGAAATGTTTGGCATGATACCATGATCGATCATCTCGAGCTGAGACAGCTTGAGCGTGTAAGGCAGACAGTTTCAAGGGTGATGCACCCTAAATTTAAGAAACCTGTGTTGGCCAAGTTCGCGCAGTTTCCTTGGGAGATTCCTTACTTTGCTGCCGAGACAACTTCCTACGAGTGGATTCACGGCCGGGGCATCGGACCCGAGTTTCTGGGCCATATCCATGAGAATGGAAGAGTCATTGGCTTTCTAGTCGAGGAAGTCCGAGGTGCAAGGACCGCTGAGCCTGAAGACTTGGCTGCTTGCCAACATAGTCTGCGCAAGCTGCACGACTTGGGAATCTTGCACGGAGATATCAACAAACACAATTTCCTCATCGGAGCCGATGGTGAAGCTGTCCTAGTGGACTTCGAAACAGCGCACAAGTGCTCAGATCCAGAGCTACTCGACGAAGAGTACAGGCATGTGAAAGAAAGATTGGAGGATACATCAGGACGTGGAGGAGCAGGAATTTCAAGTGATTCAAGTTTCTCGGATTGAACTTGATGAAACTTATGAAAGAAAGAGGAACAAAAGATCACAGTATTACATTGGATGTCTCAGTTACGAATTGTTTCACATAGCGGTTGCTTATTTTTTGATACCAGGCTTTCGGAAGAATTGAGTTGAATTGTCAATTGACAAATGCTATAAGAAAAATACTTTGCAAAAAATCTATCATGCCCTTTAATTTTCCTAGGGTAGAGCTGGATATATCCTACAAGCCCAAGAAACACCAAAAGCGCCATTGAAAAAGAAGAGAAAACAATACATTCACAGATCAACTTATTTATGCGATCTGCTGGACGTACTGAGGTCCGAACTGAGGCTCGCCAAACACAGAGCCAGGGAGGCTACCGACGGGCTTCTCAACAAGCTTGCCATCGGCGCCTCGCTTCAGAGCGACGAGGCCGTTGGTGCCGTCCTGGTTACCGACGAAGATGTGCTTGGCAGCCAGGCTGAAGCTCATCATGCGGGGAAGAAGACCGCCAGAGGAGACAGTATCGGCGTAGGTGAGAGTGCCACACTCGGCGATGGTGAAGCGAGCGATAGAGTCGGTCTTCTGTCCGGAGAGACGGTTGGAGATGTAGATGTCCTTGTTGTTAGGGGCAAGGATGATCTCACCAACGGCAGCTTTCTTGATGTCCTTGGCAGGAGCATCCTTGCCGTAGGTAGAGATGGACTGTTGCTTCTTAAAGGACATGGTGTTGGCCTCGTAGGTTACGGAGTAGACGATGGCCTGGTTGCTCAGCTCACAGGCGACGATATAGTGAGTAGCCTTGTCCTTACCACGAGGGTAGAAAACGCCATGACGAGGACCACAGCCGGCTTCGATGGGGATGTTGGTATCCTTGAAAGTATCGTCCTTGGAGTCAATGAGAACGATTGAGTCAGTGCCGAGATCGTTGACGGCGAAGTAACGGCCTGAAGGGTCGAGGTTGGCCTGGTGAGGATGAGGAGAATCCTGACGCTCCTTGTTAGGACCAAGCTTGCCAGGAGAATCAATAGTCTTGATGAGCTCAAGTCCGCCCTTCTCAACGTTCCAAACATCAATGGTACCGTTACCATAAGCAGCACCAACCATACGAGTCTTATCAGAGTTGAACTCAAGGTGCACTACACCAGTGCTACCAGTCTTCTTGGACTCCTCCGTAAGGGTATTTTCCTTCAGGTCAATCTTGAAGAGGCGCAGCTCGTTTGAGTTCTCGTTGACGGCGTAGACCAAGTTGGGCTTGGCAAAGGCCATCCACGAATTTCCACCCTCAATTGTCTCATTGATTGAGATTTCAAACTTGCCCGTCTTGGAGGTAAAGTCGGCGACGTAGATGTGACCAGAGTTTCCGAGGAGAATGCGGGCAGGAGAAGAAGAGGCTGAAGCTGAAGGGGCGGGGTATGAGCTGCGAGCAAACTGGGGAAGGGCAGAAGCTGAAGCAGCGAGAGAGGCCATGAGGCCAGCAGAAGTAAACTTCATAATGTCGTTGGGTATCGTTTTGGTTTTGTTCGTTTCAGATCGTGATCTTTTTGTAGTATGATATACAATATCAATCGGCAGTCAATGTCGAGTTGGGTATCAAGTGAAAGTGTTGTAACAAATGAAAAGATAAGGAACCAGTCCGATCTTTTAAGTAAGAGGTAGAAATATAAGTGAAGGGAGGCTGAATGGGGTTCAAAGGATTTTGTCTCTGTTGAGGCTGTGAGAAAAAGGGAAACCCAGTAGGGATGATTGACGGGATATATATAAACCTCTGAACAAAGTAAGCATCAGCCTCAACGAGGGGAACAAGGAATGAAGGACTCTGATCCATGTCAGAACATACTATGTAGAGAGAATCCTCCATTCACTCTGTCAAGCACATCCTTGAACAGACAGATTCAGTGGAGGCGCAGCGTCATGATTGGAACAGAACCAACGGCAAACGCCTGGAATAGATTGCTTTTTGGCTGATCCTTTGGATGATCCAGGGGTAAAAAAAGTTAAAAGCCCGCTGTAGCTGCCCGAACAAGGGGCTGTGCAACACAAGCATTGCATCCGTATGGATAGCTGCAGTGACTAGAGCGAACAACCAGAGCATCCATAGGTCACTTGTAGGGCTGTTCACCACTGGAATGACAGCCACAGAGCAACTGACTACAGTGGGCATTGGCCCGGGCTGTAACATGAAACGAAACAAAACGCGGTACTGCAAGCCAACGGTAATCCATCCTCCAATCAAATCCCTCAAGTTTCACCAACACTCCTCTCGTCCAAGGGGGCGTTTAAGTGACAAGGCTTCGCAGCGCTTAGATGCTTCGCGTTTACACAAATCTGCCAAGGAGCGGAAGGATTGGTTCAGAGGCGCTTTTGGCCATGCCCATGAGGCTTTTTTATTCCGATACCTTAACCATGGTATGTTCTAGATAGGGCTGAAATGATTGACCGCTGCGATTAAACTCGAGCTGTCCAGTCCTGTCCGGTTCTTGTTGACCATAGCTTCTTATGAGTCAGGACAAAGAATGAAAGGAAAGACAGGGACAGGCTTTCATGTCAAAAGAGAATCCTTTGGGTCCTACCACATGACAACTGTCAGATTTTAGTAGTCTGTCATCTTAACACGGATCTTCTCATCATGCCATGACGCCCAACAGAGTGTCACCGAGTTGTCAACCACAAACTTAGATATCCATAGCTGGCACATAAATAAATCCTTCAGTAGGTATGTAAGACCAGATGATCCATGATTTATAACAAACCCATCCTGCCTCACTGCATAAGAAACCACATATTTTAAAGAGATCAATTGCCATGCAAAACCCGTTTACCATTATCATCCCTCTACTATCGAAATGTACACTCGAGAAAGAAGAAGAGAAAGATTACGTACAAAATCTCAAAGCCAACGAAAATGCTAGAGAAGAGGCGCAGTGAGATGCTATATAAAATAAAGGGCGGTGAGAGAGTCAATGGGGGCAGGAATCGCAAGGACAGACATTCAGACAAATACCGAATGCTGATGACTACAGCCAGAACAGGGCTCCGCCTGCAATGATGATGGCCAACGCACTCGCACCATTCCTTGAGCCGGCGCTGGAACCGCCTTCCTGGGAAGCGCTCTTGGAGCCTGACTTGCCGCCGCATTCTTGGTTGAAGCTGCTGGTATCACAGTTGGTGGTGTCAGCGGGCTCAGTATCATCGTCACCCTCGGGGTTACCCTTAGGGGCGCTGCCAGAGCCAGAGCCTGAGCCAGAGCTACTGTCCGATCCGTCGCTGTGGTCGTTAGCCGGGGCGCCATTAGAGCCACCGGGAATAGTAGCAGGCTCATCATCGTCGTCGTCATCGTCATCCTTCTTCTTGTCCTTGTCTTTGTCATCGTCCTTGTCCTCCTTCTTCTTGTCTGCCTTCTTTCCCTTATCCATATCCTCACCGGAAGCCATCAGAGAAGCAATGGTATGACGCTTGTCACCGTCAACGATGGTGTCGTTGGTACCAGCCTCATTGTTGTACCAGTAACTCTTTCCGTTGTTAGTGCCAGGAGCAGACTTGGCATTGTAGCATTCAATCTCGACATCAGAAAAAGCAGAATAGTAGTAACCGCTCTTCTCAATATCAGGATGGTTCCAGTCGATAGGGCCTCCTGCCCAAGAGACAGTGCCCTCAGCGTTACCCTCCTTACCACCAGGCCATAGTGAAAGCTGAACTCGGGAGGGTGTCTGGGGGAACATGAAGTTCTTGGAGGTGTCGTTCCAGGTATCCTTCTTGTTCAAGGATCGACCCATCTTGCCATCAACCCACCACTCGATCTTGTCAGGAGTCCATCGGATTTCGTAGTCGTGGAAGTTGGCAAAGGTATCAGAGAGTGTGATGTTTTCTGAGTTCTCGTCTAGTGACATTATTAGCCATCCATTGTCAAGTATCACATATTGATCACGTGAGTATTCCACGCTGTGTCACAAACAAGGGGCTACCTTGTTGTGCGACCTGGGAACAACTTACAGTTGGTGATTCCCTGGAAATAATAATTTGTCTGCGCATCGCCGAGTTCAGTGCCAACAAACTCGTAATCGATCTCATCCTTGACATCAGAGAAGAGAATGAAGGCAGTGATAACACCAGCGCCACGGCTAGTCTTGAAACGAGCCTTGACATTACCATACCACATGTAGACGGTGGAAGACAGAAGAGTACCGACACTGTCCTTGGGCATGGTAAGAAGAACGTTGTCATTGAAAACAACAGGCTCACCCTGCGCAACCCAGTCGGCCTTATCAGAGTCACCCAGGTACTTGCCGATGTCAACGATCTTGTCAAGAGAGTTCATCTTCATCTTGCGATCCTGGCAGACTGGAGCAGGAACACAAGATTTGAGAGAGAAGGACATTGTAGGGTCGCAACCACCAAGGCAGTAAGCGCCGACACCACACTCGCCATAGGCTAGAAGACGTTAGATTTGATGAATCCATCAGTGTGCGGAGGATACATACTGGAGCAACAAGGAGACTCCTCGGGACAGTGGCTGCTGCGCGTACACTTGACAGCAGCGACAGAGCTGACGCCCATAAGGGCAGCGAGAACAAGAGATCGCAGCATTATGAATAAGATATAGTCGACTAAAAGATGTACTGATGCGATTCGGTTCGAATTAAGAGGCGTTGATACGAAAGCGCCTCCGAATTAACGGTTCGGTATTAAGTGTTGTGAGGTAACGACGGCTGTTCTGATCGAGAAAAACAGTCAAATAAAAACAGACCCAGCAAGCGAGCGACTTGGGTTGTTTTTTTTTTCGTTGATTAAGATGAATGCTTTGATAGCGATCGTATTGGTAATAGAGCTCGGATCTTCTGCGAGTCTATGATCGAGAAAAACGAAAAAGGGTGCTGGAATGCGGTCCGAGCAGTTTTGCGCGTCCTCGATCTCCGAAAGATAATCCTTTTCCTCCCTTGACTTGAATTTATCTGCAAGAACCTTCTTCTCAACGAGAGCAAAAGAAGCGAGCGTTGTCGAGAGAAATTATCGCGTAGGGTTTTTTCTCGTGCTTCTCTCTGATCGGTGATCGGTCGATTGGGACTCGGTTTTGTGTGACAGCGAATGGAGTTGAGTAAACGATTGATAAGTTCCACCGATACTTATCTTCCTTTATTAACGAAGAAGGAAGAGGGTAAAGGATGGAATAAACAAGTAAAAAAAGACGAGTATCTACACACGCACACGGACGGAGACGCAAGAGAGAGAAATCCGGGGAAGGAGGAGGAGGGATTAAAGATGGATGGGATGGAAAGAACTGCACCAGACTCGGACTCAGGCACTAACCAGCACCAGCACTGACTGACTGATTGCTTGCTCGCCCCTCTTGTAGCGTGCCGAGACTCCAGACCCAACTGGAAAGAGACACAGACCAGACACAAGCAACACCATTTTCGTTTAGATGCACTGACACACTAAACCACTCTGAAGATAAGACACTTCATTCACCCAATCACGTCTCTCTATTACCCAAATTTGGTGATCGGTTCGTCTGCGATCACGCGCTTCAGGCCCCCCGGCTACTGCTACTAACACTAACAGCAACTAGCCTGACCCCTGATTATCCATCAACAGGCGATGTTACCTTCTGGTTGATCTCTAGAAGACCTTCGTATAGCGACAATGGCTTAAATTGATGCAGGATTTATGCAATTGAGGCTATGTCCGAAGTCCTTTGTTCAGGACAATTACGCAGCGTTCCCCCCTTGCTTTGTGCGGGTTTTAAAGAATGTAAATCATGTCTTGGTATCTGTATTCCCGTTGGGACCTGAATCCCCTCGCTCATTAACAGAGTTCAAGCCAACGATTGAGTTTGTCTTGATCGTCAATACCCGTCGTCGTACTACATAGTTACAGTAGCCATCAAATAATCACTTGCAAAGCACTTCTTTCTTATATCAACTTTTCTAAACAATGGTTCTCTTATCAGACCACGACCGAAGACCGTGCATGAACAAAACATCACCCCAGATTTCAGGTCAGATATCATTATCCCTGCTCATGATAATACGTACCGCCCCCTTCATTCCGGTCCAGTTTTCCTCTTCCTACCGAATTGTACAGTACAGCACTGCTTTGTACCCATGTATACTCTGTACATACAGTATCCGTACACATTGCTGGTACTTCACGACTTCATGTACATGCATACTGCAACTAGCAAAACTGTAATAAATCGGCGTTTTATAACCTTCTAGTGTCCTTCGACGCCATCATGCATCGCCGTTGACACTTCTACCTCTTACATCTCATTCTTCTGTCGCACAACGCTCTCTCCCGCCGCCACAAATACCGCCGCCTGACAGGTACCCAGCAAGTTAGCCAGCCCTTCCCATGCAACACCCTGTCAGGGAACACTCAAGACATGCCATATCATTGGTCCTGGTAAAGTCTGTAGGCCTATCAAACACCCATCGCCATAACCCAACAGATATTAGACCTACCTGCTGAACACCCCATGTTCGAGCGAGGCGATTGACAATCGGAAAGGCCAGTCCAACTGTCAAGCCTTGTGTCACATATCCTGACGTCCACACCAGTGTCAGATTCCCACCCATCTGTAAGTATTCACGATATATACACAAACACGTCACTCGTTCAAAGGATCATTGCTTTACGTGCGCAAGGGTTCAACTCCAGGCATTGGGGTATAAGTAATCAAACCTAAAACGAACAGTCTCCTCCTCTCACCAAGGCAAGAAGGGAAAAGAGAAGAGAAAACAAGCAGAAAGTAGTCGTCATCTTGGCCACTCCCCGTCTCAAAACGGCTTCATCTTCCTCTCGAACATCCTTCATCCACCAATATTACACCAATACCTTTCTGCATCTGTTCTTCCATGTTTTTCCTCCTTTCCGCGCCGTACCCATTTCCCAACCATAACCAGTCCAAAAGAGTGGTAACAAAGCTGTCTGCTATGTCTCATCAAAGGCTGAGAAAGAAGTCCATAATTAACAAACATTAAACAGTTTCCCGGGTGTATCCTATGCAGACGCCACTGCTGATTTTATGATAGTTTTGTTTTTCGTCTTTTCCCTTTGCTGTAGATGTCGCATTGGGTCACCGCAGTTTTAGCGTTTCGGGGTCGCTGAACTGTACTCGGTCAAGACTTAGGTGGAGTCCGCTTCTCCTATCTTTTGGAACTGGCAAAAAGGTCTGTTTATGTTAGTTAAGTGAGTTCTTGTCAGAGACGAAGCTTCGTAGCCTTACCGGGGAAATGCTCCTTGGCATACTGCTCACAAGCCTATTTGAGAATATTAGCTTTTCATGTTCTATGTTGCTTCTAAGGTGAGTGTTTTACCTTGGCAGGCTTTCCGACTTTCGTCCCAATGGACTTCCACTTGTTGTTCTCGTACTCCTTAATTGCATTCAATAACGCTTGACTCTGATGAGGGGGAGGTCAGCTTGGTTGCTCAACGGTCGGTGCGAACAGTGATTACCTCGTCCTCAGCAAATTCCGCATAGTGCATGTCCTTGTACCAATGCTTCTTGACAGATCCTTCCGTGCGAGTGGGGAAAGTCTAAATATCTTAGCATACAAGTCATGTAAGTCAATACACAGTACTCACTTTGGCAATTTCTGCCCAGCTGTTGCCAGCATCTCGCATCTGCTTCAGGCGAAGCTCTTCTTGCGGTGTCCATGGAGTGTTAGTTCGGCTCTTCTTGGCCGGTGGAGGCGCAATTGGTTGTGCGCTCGCATCATCTGCAGGGGCTTGAGCCGGAGGTTGGGGGACTACTGCCTGTGGCGCAGGTGGAGCTGATACCGGTGGTTGAACTTGAGAGGGTGTGACAGGAGCTGGGGGAGCAACTGTAGCTGGAGGAGGAGCGGCAGAAGGTGCTGGGCGCTTTCGCTGCCGACCCGCGGGGGCCGGCGTAGGAGTAGGCGTTTGCTGGGGCGGTGCAGGACCATTAGGGGGCTGCTGGGGAACATTCATGGGAGGTTGAACAGGCGCCGGGTGATGTTGTTGCTGAGGAGGTTGTTGCTGCTGCGGTGCCATGTTAGGCTGAGGAGCACCGTACTGAAACTGCTCCATGCGATCATTGCGACGGTTCAAGTCGTTCTGGTATTGTTGGTGAGGGTTGCTATCGTGGCACCTTGGTTAGCGATTTTATCTTGTGGTAAGACCTTTATGACTGGGTAGTAATCAATGTCCATAACTGCAAGCGTTCAATCACTTCCGAGCGAGCAGCAATCTGGCTGCGCAGTTGTGCTTTGATGGATGAACAGTTATGAGGTGAGCGGAGAAGTAGTGAGTCAGGTCATGAGACACGATCAAAGGCAATGAACGTGAACCGTAACCGGACAACGATGATCGAGCGATACATGGCAGTGAAATACTTGGCCTTGTAGCAGGCAAAAGGTTCCCAAAGATGATAGGTACAAAGCAGACAATTCAAGGACAATACTCACTGCATCTCATTTGGTTGATGGGTTGAGTTGGAGTAAACATACTCCGGGACAGGCCCGACTTGCCACTGCTGCATGATCTAATGAGATACAAGTATTAGTGCTGAAGACTCTGAATAAATGAAAACAAGCAAGCAACATCATGTCCAAGTCGTGAGACGCTGACGCGACAGTATTGCGATACAAGACGACTTATGATGACTCTGACTGGTACGTATACAGTACCCAGGTGGGTCTGCAACACGCGCAAGCTGAGAGTGACGCGACCAGGGTGTGAGCTGAACTGAACTGAGTTGGACCATTGCCGACATCATGACCTCGATGATAAGAAGATATAGCTCCAGCGTCGCTTAAATGATGCGACATATCATGGTCAGATCTACTCGCACGGCATTGACGTTCTAGTCGTGTTGCGATACGGTAGTGGCTCATGGGCACTAAAATGTCCGACAAGACGCGACGGCGCAGGACGCGAGAGGCCCTCCAGAAAATTGAAGCTTGGACTGGAAAATCCAACAATGACGCAGGAATGAAAAGACATTTACTCACGGGCAAAGAAGAAAATCGACAATGACTGTATAGTCAAAAGATGTCGCAGGTAGGTATGTCGGACAGCAAGAGGTACAAGTATCGCGCAACGATTCGTTACAAAGCTGATACAAACAAGAGGTGCGAGTTTCTGAAAGTATTCGAGACGTTCTTCGCTGGTGAGTGAGCTAGGGCGTAGGGGAAACCCAACCTCGTGTTCTGGTTGGTAAGAATCAGGATAAGATAGGGTGAGATGCTGTCTTTTTTCTTGTCTCCACGCAAGTACCGACTAGTCGCAGTTTCTGCTTCCTTATTTTTGTCTTGTTGTACACTTTTGTGTGATAGCTGGAAAAGGAATATTGTGGTCAGTAGGGGCTCCAAGTAAATTAAATTAAATACAAAGTTCATGAGGGCTTGCTTTCCAAGTCTTTGTAACCGAGTGCAAGTCATATGCCTTACAGCAACGGTACAGTGGGTGACCGAGGCAAGTATAGTGAGTTTGGACGCCCCGTTGTTTTTGAGGTGGTTGGAAGACTCGGACATGGAAAGAGATTGGTGCTGGGGCTATGATAGGTACGGCAAGGCAGCTCTAAGCCAGACAAAAATGTGTACGCGTAACGTACTGTACATGTGCGATGAGGCGCGAAGCGAAAAAGGTAGCAAATAGATGGGATCAGAGATAATGTGTCCAAGAGTGACAGGTGAAAGGGTACATGGATGAGTGGATGAGGTATTGATTGAGTTCATTGAAACTTACACAGTTGCTGTATCTCAACTCGGCAACGGCGGAAGTTACAAAACGCGCAACCAAAAAACATGTACAAAGCTCATGCCAGAAAAGTGAAGAGAGAATTGTGAGTGAATGCGAGATGCGGGTGACGATGTTTGCTCTGTATATGAAAGTATAGAATAAGATACTTACTTGAGTTGATAAGAGAGACCGCAGGGGAGTGTGCAAATGCGCGTCTCGTTTGGTAGGCGACAGTGACGACACAAGCAGACGAAGCTCTTGGTCACTGTGGTTTTTCTGCTTGTCGCAGTTGATCGTAGTTGAACAAGGTCAGATCCGGGTGCGATGCAGATACAGTGGATCCACAGCTAGACAGCTTTTTTGATGGGTGTGTTTGGTTTGGTTTGGTATAGAATTGTAGAGGTAGCCTTATAAGAGGGATGTACAATCGATACCTCAGATCCGTTCCGTCAGATCGAAGGGGTTTGAAGGTGGATTGACAAGAGTAAGGGAAAGGTCTGGTCTGGTCTGGGGAAGGGCGACGATGGATGGTACTTCGAGACAAAGTAACTCGGGCAGGACCTTGGAAGTCGCTGGGACCTGGGGAGAGGGGAAGGTGGTCGTGGTTACCCTTTTTTTTTCTGTGGTGGAAAGGGGAGAATGGAATGGGCGAGAGGAGATGGGCAGGCGCGACTGAAAGCTACCGACCCATGTTCTTAAAAGCGGGCAGCTGCAAGTCGGTGATGGTAGAAGGTTCTTATTGATAAGCCACTTCGTACTGTAAGTATACACGTCTCCAGAGTGATTGTTTACAGTGTGTATAACTGCATCTGATGTACAGATTTGGCGAGGAAACAACGAGAAAACAAGTACTAAGGAGGTACGTGCTCAAAGTCCCCGCTCGCTAATGCTAAGATCGGCTTCTGTTTGGCCAACGAGTTGGTTGCCAAGCCACCGATTCTGATCAAGCCTCAAGCCTCGTCAATCAAGGTTGGTTATCAGTCATTCAAACCAAGAATTGAATTGCGATATCTCATTGATATCATGAAATCTCGATTCCTTCTCATCTTCTCAGCTCATCTCTCATCTCCCAGCTCAGCCACTTTAATCAGCCAGCTAGCCAGCAAGCCCCCATGTACTCTTTTGAGTCATCTTTGTCGACTCGACCTTGACAAACAATGTCGCTTATGTGCTTATCCATTTAGTCAATTACTCGAGTGACACAATCTCACGATGCTATTTGAAGCGATCAGACAATGCATGAATCCCTGTCTGGTTGATCGGATTTCACTCTTGTCCGTCTGATATCGAGTAATCGTGGTCCGGGCATTCGTTTATGCACGCTCTTTACAATTCACGATGGCTTGACAATACGTGTGCAGGTGTATGCGTACCTTAAGATAGCTGTCACGGCAATTCATTTGATATGGCAGGTCTATCTTAAGCCTTCACTGGGACTTTTGGGTCTGCCAGCCTTTATATATAACTTTATTTCCCCCTCAATCGTTCCACGTGTTTCGTTTGTTGTCGCAAGATGAGGTTGTCCCCGCCTCCACTTGAGATATTCAATCACAAACTCCAACGGCCCGCCTCGTGGAAGGGACGGACGGGAGCGACGGCGATAACCTAATAACAAAGTTGACATATAAGGTTCCTAGAACATGGCACCATTGTAGTTGCGACGCTGTCCTTTTGTCTTGCGGTACGTGCCTTTTTCAACAAGGCTGGCCTCAGAGCCGCATCACTCATTGTGATGGATCTGCCCCAATTCTCCACTCCACTCTCTAAGTTACCAGCACCAGCGTGAAGTACTGTTCTGTACACAATGGGGTACACCCGGCAATCTGGTCGCGTCTCGAGCTAAGATCGTGACATTTGACCGGTGTACCTCTCAAGTCCCTCCCTCGTCGGATCCGGGCCTCGGACGATCTATTTCTCGTACGGATGGCAAGTATTTTCAATTGATATAATCTGGTGCGATCTTTGCAGTGTTTCTCGGACGTAGTACAAAGCTTTTGGCTTGTTTGCATGTCAAGTCCTGCGATGCCACATTGTACGGTTTTGTCTGCACATAACAAGATTCCCTAGGTAATGCAGAAGCTGTCCTATCCCGCCAACACTCTTAACGACAGAGAGAATTTACTTTTTCTCAATGGGATATTCTTGGAAGTTCTACAGCTACCTAGCAGATCAAGTGAAGCTTTTTTGGCGAGAAAGCATACGCAATTGCGTTGGCAATCTTTTTGTCATTGAGAGGTATAGGGTAATCTAATATCCACTAGACCTGTCCTGTTCCACGGCTAAACTCAACACTGAAGATGGGACGAACCAAGAAACTCTATCTTGATAACCGTTTGAAGGATTCCCGCGGATAAACCTGATTAGCAGGGCGGGAATGTAACCAAATTCTGATCATGTCAGTGGCGATCCGGCACAGTCCAAGATTATCTTGACTACAGTACAGTACTACTGTAGTATATGCTGTAGACAGAGAGTCTATCACATCTGAGTTGCATTGCCGATCCCCACTTCGAAACACGCTTGTCATCCGCATGGCCTGACGGCCCACGTCAATAAGCACAAGAAGCACGGAGCATCTCCCCCATCCGAACGAAACATGACAAGCCCACAGGCCTTAATATGCCGGGGAAATAGATTCCGAAGCTCCAGAGCATCAGGTTGAAATTGTCAGTCACTCGAGATACGAGTTTCTTGCGGTGAGGCATCACCAGAATACTGTTCGTCCCGACTTGTTCTTTAGAAACTGCAGCTTGCATATGTCCGCCGGTGCTTTAACCACTTCTAACATACTACAACGTTTCGAAACCTCAACCTAGCCCCCAGTAGGCCGTTCATGAAACCACCCCGGTTGCAAGAACGCTGACTGAAGATTCGGACATCTGTCGAGCCGTAGGGCCAAGCGATGATGCCCTTGTGAATACGACAGCGTGATGGATGACGGATGGGTAGGGGAACTTTGAGAAACTTGCTGATGGGAAGATCCCAAACATTATGGTCACGTTTCAAGCTACAACCATATAGAACGGTGAATATTGAAACACCAGCCCTGTAGGTCATGAGCTGTAAACACACCGAGGCATTAATCAAGGTTATCACAAGATGGGACGAATATGATATGTCGGTGTGAACCACTTACTCACTTACATCACCTTTGCTGACATCTATCGGACTCGCCAAAATGCTCGGGCTGTTAAACTTTTCCTAGCATCCACGTTTAATGAAAGTAAAACCCGACGAGGTTTATCATTAACAAGGAACCCTGTAGAAGGCTGCGTACACGTGTTGTGGCGGAATTTATATCCCCGTCTTGACTGTGTCCTCTGAAAAAACTGGACAGCCCGGCTCACGATAGCTACACTTTTTACCTTCGCACACCCCTGCAAGAAGAGTAATGTTCGAGAACATCTTTCCTTCACCTGAAGCCCTAATCCCACAAGGGTCATTCAACAAACAGCTTGGACCAGCTGGGTGCACAGACTCCTGAAACGATGCCGAGGTTAGTTCTATGTTGGCAAAATGTTGCGACTGGGTAAAACATTTGACGCTTGGACGATGCTTATACAAAAGACTACTAGAGAGATAGAAACTAGACAAAGTAGAGTAGGTAATAACGAAAAATTAGACTATAGAATAGTGTATTAATGCCGTCCGTATAAGTGTCAAGTGTTATAGTCAGCAAGTTTTGAAACTGAGGTTATCTAAAACATATCTTAAGCTTTGCATCTGAGATCTTGGAGTTTCGGATCTGTACATTGTTTGATCGCTGCCTCAGACACCACCTCACACAGGAACCGCCACCATCCGGCGTCATAGGGTCTCCTGTCAGGTCGGCAGAGTGTCATAAGGGGCACCCGGTTTCCGGGAATGTTTCGATCCGAGCTGTCGAATGTGTTTCTCTTGACGCTGTTATGTTAGACGTGTGCATCAGAAAAGGCAAAACTCCTGAAGGAAGGCATTCAGAATTCACAACCAGAGGTTGTTTTGCTTCTTCCTAGCGCCACACGTACTGCAACATACATGTTCAGACGAATCTGTCCAAGTGAGATATGCGTACGTGTCAGATCTTTACCACTACTACCCTACCCGAGTTTAACGCATTATGCAGCGGACACTAGTGAGTGGTGCATTTTCTTTGTTCATTAATTAGGTAGGATTGTCATTGCATGGGGTGATGAAGGCGAAAGATCTTGGGATTGACAAGGGAAGATCGACTGCTACAACAACGCCTCGCTCGCTTGTCGCTACGAAGGGCCGGCTCACCGTTGAACATGGTGATCATCTCCCCATGCCCACTGTGATAGGTAGCAATTTGTCCTGAATGGGGCTTCGAGGGACCAAGAATAGGTACGTACGGATAGATGAAGAATAATGAGATCCGGCAGTAGTAGCCAAGGTAGTATTGCAACTGTAAAATTCCCGCAGTTGATGAGGAGAAGGCAAAGACGATCCGAGAAGATGTACGTAAAAGAAAATCGTCTCTTCCGGCCGAGTGTTTCCATCCTCGTCCCTGACCTTGCCTTACCTTGCCTTGCCTGGGGAATAAAATGTTTCCGTTGCGAGGCAAAACTCAGCTCGTTTCCTTTCCCTGAACTGGGGAAACCAGCATGAACACGGCAGATATCGTAATAACCTTGTTGATGTTTGAAGAGTTTGTTGTACGGAGCACAGAGTATGTAGGCCAGAAAAACATCTTGTGTCAAAACCCGCGTTTTGGATAGTTGAGGTTGATTAACCTGGCCAATCACGAGACGAGGCTCCACGGGTTTCGCAAATGTCTATCACTTTTGGACTAAAGTCCCTGATACCGAGTCTTGGAGTCCGGGTTGAAATTACGCCAGTGCACTAGTAGGTTTCAAGGGGGGATCCCTGAACCCTGGCCCTGGCCTTGCTTGACCTTGACCTTGACTTTGAACTCGACTTTCATTGTCGCTAGGCTAGGCCTGGGGCTCTGGGGCGGCGGCAGCTAACCTACCTAGTGAACTACGGATAGTTAGTTGGAGTTTGAAACTGACGGATAGGCAATAAGAGGGCTTTGGTATAGCTATGGTTGTATAAGCTGTCTTGTTTTGGAGCAAACAACAAGACACGCATTACGTAGAGTTGAAATCCAAAACAGTTTCAGGCTGATCAGCATCAGTATGCACCTCTCGTATGTATGTAGTGTTTAAAGGAAGATGAGATGAACACACACACACACACAGATATTGTGATTACAAAGTCGAGCTAACTAATTAATACAAGTACAAACAAGCACTGCATATCGAAATTAGACAGGCACTTGTTGTCCCGCAAATTTATAAACCGAGGCGTTCATGGTATGTGCGCATCGCCTAATAGACGGCATATCTTGCACCCACCTATCACGAAACGATAGACGACAGGGTTTCCACCCGTCAATGACATCCCCTGTCCTCCACCAAACACCGTGCAAGCCGAGAACAGACAGTACCTTATGTACCTCTTGCACTGATCAAAGATCTTCAAGAGCTACACAGCCTGTTTCAATATGTAGGTAGGGGACGAAACTCTCTTTCAGCTGTTGAACAAAACATTTCTATTTGGTTGGGTCTTGGTGTTTAACGCCGTAAAGCATAATCCTTTAGGTTCCCTACTGCTTACTACAGATCCATCATCGTCCGAGAGCACGTACATCATAAATGACCTACATTCGTTAGCTTAGAAGGCTGTGATCCGATCGCCGTGACCTGCCCTGCGTGCAACGCCCGGGCCAGATTTGGCTCTCAGACTTGAGTGAAGCCAACAGCTTGGGACCTAATCACGGTCCACGAGAAGATCATGCACACGGCACGATGGACATCTACCCAATCTAGGTCTTAGTCTGGAAGCTACTCTAGCATGATGGGAGTGTCAGATGCGGTAATAATCAAACACCACGACAACAAGACAAGCCTTTTCGCAAATCAAAAGCAGGGACCCTTCCAAGAACAAGTCATCGAGCCAATGTGATATTTACCCCTTGCTACGTATTATTCACCAGGGACATAAAGTGCTCTGCATACGGATACAGCACCTACAGTACATAGTACACAACAAGGCTATGAGCCAAGGATAAAAGATGCAAGTACGGATGGTACTTTAACTTATTACTTGCAGCATCGCACCTGAAGCTGAGGTCAATGTAACGCAACAAGACCCCGCTGTCAAGAGGAAGAAGAAACGGTTGCAAGCCGCCAGGAACAGGAATAGGAACAGGAACAGGAACAGGATCAGGAACACGAACCGAAAAAAAAAAAGGCACAGCTGCCACAACGGGAATCATGTACAGGGACAAGGCCACAACAGCAATAGAACTGCGTACGTAAAACTGAGGCTTGTGATGCTCTCCATTCTCCTCTTCAACAAACGGCTGGCCATTTTCCCCTAGAGTGATTCAAAAGATCGGATGCCAAGACTCGCAAAGGCTAAAAAACTTCGCACAGGCCTTGCCAATGTCCGTTGTACGGGGTTCGATGGATGTTTGAATCCCTTCTCTGAACACGCTACCTACGGTGGCGACCGTTTTACCAGGCATGGGTTGAGTTGAGCCACAGAACAGACGAGGTACGTACATAGTATCCCATCTATCCCACTGCCACTACATCTACTGCAATCATGTGGGTGATCGTTTTGAGCCTCTTGTCCTGTCCTCGGCTGCCATGTCAGTCAAAGGCGGGCGTACGTACTGTACTTCTGGCGGAAACCCTCGCTCCATATTCCTTTTTTGTCAATTTCCATCTTGTTTAGACCCAGCCTAGATCTCACCGAGATGGGGCTCTGTATTGGACTAATAGTGCCTGCCGTAAAGGTCCAGTGGCGTTTCTCGTAATAATTAGAGTCAGACATAAGAATTAATCAATTGTTGATCTTGATGTTGTTTTCCTGTTTCTCTTTCTGTCTCATTTGTTGTCTTGTGTTAGTCTCGTCTTGCGCCCAGCGTATGGTTAAGCTATTGCCTCTAAGAGTTAGTTTACTGGAGCTCTATAGTCGGTCTAGCGTATACAGTAGCATTTGTTTTGATTCCGAAACAACAAATGCTGGATGAATCATCTTCTACGACCGGCTCCGTCTGCGATGTTCTGTAGAGAGGAGTTTATTGTTTTGTTCCTGTTGCAACATTCACCCAGCCAAGACATCTGCCAGACTCTTGAACCCCCCCTGTCATGGCCTGGAACGCCTCCTCTCAGGCTCAAGTCAAACCCCCCGTGGAAAGGATGTTAGATGCGACAAGGGTACGCCCTGGTCCCCTGCTCACTGACAGTGAGAGAAAGTAAGGTACGGCAAGCTAAGGCAAGGCAACCCTGCCCTGTTCATCCCCGACCCCATGCATGGCCCGAACCATCACCACCGTCGTGGCCGTTGTAATCTGCCCCGTAACGCGGGTGCTGTACTGTCCAGGTTCAGTGCAGTACCTTACTCTACGTAGTCGGTTTTGCGACTTCCCTGTCTCGTAGTCTATCTCCCGTCGCTGTGCTCTGTACGTAGGGCAGGTACCTGCCTCTAAACCGCTGTTACTCTGTAGTGGAGGGAAGGAAGGATATCTACTGCCCCTCCCCTTCCAAAACTACTTCTTTCCCTCCTTCCCTCTTCCATCTTTTGGATTCACCATCCTCAAACCCATCATCTTATCTTTTCTTTTCTTTTTCTTCTTCTCCAACTGCAAGAAACGCTGTTGCGTCTTGTATTGTCTTCGCTTCTCGAGCTACTCTTTCTCATCACAGCTAGCTCCATCACACTCATTACAGTACCAACTTGGACCAACTGGTTTGGCTGCTGACACTCTTTGACCATCTTATTCACCACCAAACCGACACTCGGTTTTCACTTCTTTCTTGGATCCAATTCAATATCCTATCCCGTTTCAACTTACGAGGATTTGACTTTCTCTTCCGGTGTCTGTATTTTCGAGACAAATTATCTCGCTGGTTTAAACTGCACACTCGGCATCTCTCCAACAATCTCGATCGCTTCACTCTACTCTACGACGACTTTCGATTTATCGAAATACACGAATCTCTTTTTCGGATCTGACTTTACGACTCTCCATTGCGGAATATTCAGCAACGAGATTACTCATGACTACCTTGACAATGAGCTCAACCATTCCTTCTCATCAGATGGCTCAGGTCGCTGCGCCTTATATTCCATCCCGGGATTCTATGGACCGTCACGATTATGGTATCACCAAGAACCGCAAGGCTTCATCAACCGGTGGTGGACGTGCTTGGAGTGACGAGGAGGTTAGTCAACATGATACGGCTCAGCTGTTGAACACATTGCTAACACTAAACGCAGGAGTCATATCTCATTCAGACTCGACTCCAGAAGATGCCATACAAGTACATTGCTGCCCACCTCAAGAAGACTGAGTTGGCGTGCCGCCTTCACTACCACCAGCTCTCTCATGGCAGTAACCGCCGCAACAAGCGTGCTGCTTCCGTCTCTTCGGGTGCTTCCATGGAAATCTCTCAAACTCACAACGTGAACGTCCCCAGCCCAGCACGCGAGACTGTCTCTCGCTCTGCCTCTCCCGGTGGAAGCGTACGAAGCTACAGCCCTCCTCCCTACAACACAAGCAACAACTCCAGCCACATCCAACTTCCCAGCATCGTTGGCCCTAGCGAGGTTCCCAGATTACCATCAATCCTCCCCAAGCCTACTGGCATGCCTCTCCCTCCTCCTGCTTCCCACCAGTCGTATAACACGCCTGCCGTCGACGTTCCAGTTCAGATGCCCCATGCTTCTTTCCACCGAGCTGCATCTTATCCCCGAACAACACCTCCTCTGCGTCTTGACTGCTCAGTTGCTCCCGCGCCTACTGTTGTGCCTTCACCTCCCGCTCACAATGCTTCGCATGTCGATCTTTCTCGCCTGCATTCCATCTACTCATCCCACCGCTCATCGTTCTGGTCCACCATCGCCAACGAGTATGGACCTTCAGCATCTCCCACCGTGCTGGAGCAGGCTTGGAAGACTGGCACTTGCTGCAGTCCCTCATCTCTTACACCCATCACTCCTACCTCCAGCCCAGGACAAGCTGAGAAGGATGTGCAGAACCAGACCTACCACAAGGGACAGGACAAGACACGGATTTCATCAATCCTCGGCATTGATGCTGACCCTCGAACCGCTCGCGATCGGGATATCGTGAGACGGCTGGAAGAGGAGCGCTTCGGTATGATGCAGACCGCTCACTGAACATGGACTCCTCGGGTAATCCAATCCTGTCTTGTTCCTCACCCCGAGGTTAGATAACTCGGGGTTGAGGATGAGGCGAGACTACAGCATGATCTTGCCTCATTGTACAATACGCCTCTTGCTTTCCGCAATTCGCTTCACTAAACGGCCTTGGTGCTCTCCTGTTCTGCAGGCACACGACACGGCATCTTTGCCACTTGGGCTTTATACTTGCGCCCACACTCGTTTTCAAGATACATACATATCACTTCCATTCACTTCAGTTCGCGCGATTACCGTTCTAGCTTCACCTATTACGAACCAAGTATTGTCTAGTGGGTAGGATTCACCATCCTGTGTGGAGGAAAAAAGGAGGTAGATGCACGGCATTTGCTACACGACATGAAGAGCACTTGTCGCAGATGGAGAAAGACACTTTACTATACTATAGGGCGATTTTTGTCTTTTGCTTGGGGTTACAGACCGGCTCGGTGTATCGAGCTCAGAGTCTTTTTTTCGGGGGTATTTTGTTTGCTTTGTTTTTGCCATCTTTTTATCATTCAACGTTTTTTCTTACCTGTTTTTGGTTTGCTCCGGCAGTTTTCCTTACATTGTACAGTCCAACTTGTTTCGCATTAAGGGCTGATGAAATTACGGTGATGAAAAAAGAGAGCCAAAGCTCAGGACGCTCGGCCACATCCACTGGTTGCGTGGATGGAGGTTGCGGGGAGGAGATAATCCCTATTGGATATAGGCTGTCGGCGGTAAAAGCTGGCAGGTATCAATTGATAATCTTCTTTACCTTGAATCGTTTACTGTTTCGATAAATCAATGCAATGTGACATGAGACAAGTTGATCGGCGAATGTTTGTGGATGGGAATACGTTTGAGGTTGCTTGAGATGGTAATACATGCGGATTCTATTCTGTCTGTGCGAGGGACGATGAAGATCATTTCGCAGCAAAAGCCCGAATTGTATTGGTATAGGATGGCAAAAGCATAGACATAGTGTAGGAAGCGTACGTGTACATGTCTTGGCTTTGTGTTGCGTTTCCAAGCGTTTCCGAGTCTCTGTTTCACAATGATGACTATGCTATGTCTGTGGGTATCATAGCCACAGTATTACCATTGTCGCGAAAGCATAGACCGTCTATCATGACTTGCATGGAAAACGAGAGGAATTGGTAACTGGATATCCGAACCTCTCTACTCTATCGTTGCAGTAGGTTCGGCATGACTAGGAGTATTGCCGAGAAACTCCAGTATCTGAATCATGCATTGTATGGATCACAGGAGCGCATGGATATGCTTTAATTAGGGGTTCCAATTAACAAAACGAAACATTGTCAAATTTTTGCGGTCTCTAGCCGGTGGGATATGGAGAACGGGATGGACGGGGGACCTTTTCCCCCTGGACTTCGGATCGGGGAGAACCGAAGCCCGTAATGGTATCCGATCCGAGGTTCGGGGCGTGGTGGGGAAAAGGAACGGGGAGGGGTCCTGGACGGAGACTGAGAGGGACAGAGATCCATTATAAATTGATTATGGGGCTGCGGAGCTTGCTTGACTCAAAATGCTGATAGAGATGGATAAATTGTTATTCTTGGGGAGAGGGGCTTTAGCCGGTTGGTAAGTCAAGAGAATTGGGGGTTATAAATAAGGGTGACAGTTGACCCGGTGGTTAAGAACGAGGTTATCGTGAGAATTAGACTTTGAGTGATCATGATCAGACACAAGATGGTATCTGCTATGATGGTCAATTCTGATGAGAACGAACATGTCTAAATCTGAACACCATTGTCTTTCCTCTTACTATCTGGTATAATACGGATGCAGAGGATGATATACAGTACTGCACTACGTAATGTCTCCCATTGGCCACTTCTGGATCCGTAATTGCTAAAGCAAGAGCTGGTATTCGATCAAGCTTGAATGTGCGGGGTAGTCTATTAGTTTAGTTAGTTCAGTCAACTTACCTTAGCTGTGTTAACCGGGAAGTGGACTGTAACTAACTACCCGTAATGTTATGATCAACCTGATGAGGGGTCATTGATGAATGACAATTACCTAGAAAAAAAGAGAGGCAGTTCTCGTGACATTGTAACCGAAGCTGGTATGCTCGGTCCGGAAAAGATTGGAGCGAAGAATTGGGGTGATCAAGGCAACGCAAGCAGCATTTAAAAGGGAGGACTCTCGGTTCGTAGTTGGAATTGATTGTTGCTCCTCGTCTATTGTTATTGTTATAAAATTGAAGTTGGCGATCCACAGGTCCATTATCAGTTGCTATCACTCTGCCAGAGCCATCATCGGCATTGAATCCAAGCCTCATCGTCTCCCTCTCTTCTCTCATCACTTCATCGCTCCTCTCATAGTCATCACCCTCTTTCTCGATAACTTTCTATATCAAAACAGAGAAACAGGTAACAAATGCCACTCACTTCGAACCACGCTACAGGAACCTCCGCTTACACTTACCGTGCAGCACTAAAGCTTCTCCGCTCTTCGGCAGACGTTGCAACTGCAACTCGCACCACAATTCTTGTCTAATCCGACGCTTGTCTTTGGTCGATTTAAGTTTCGGTTTCTGGGCTGACTCTCACCTTGAGAGCTTCTTGTTTCCGGTAAGTGTCCCGTGGGGTAGAAGTGCGTGCTTGGCAGAACTTCAACTCCTCTTCTTCCTCTTTCCCCAACATCGTCTTTCTGCGATTGTACTCAACTAACCCTGATCCTTAGTCTACTGGATAACTAGCTGAGAGCTTCTTCCATACAATTGCCTCTACAGAGTAGAGATACACTCTCCTAATCAACCATCATCATGGCGGATCAAGTCACTCACGACCCCAAGCAGTCAAGCGACTACATTCCCTTCCCTTGCCTTCCTCCCGGTGGTGCTCTTAACCGCTGGTCTACAAAGATCACTCGTGAGCATGACTACCCCGGAGCTCAGGTGAGAATCTTAAACCCATTGCTCGCCCGACAGCTCGTTGACACTCGATGTACAGGCTATGCTCTACGGAGCTGGTGTTAAGAACCAGGAGCAAATGAAGAACTCTCCCCAGGTTGGTGTTGCTACTGTCTGGTGGCAGGGAAACCCTTGCAAGTGAGTCTAAAGTGAAGCTCTATTCAGATGAGATGCTAATGAGTTCGCAGTACCCATCGTGAGTGAGATAAATATTATCCGAGGAAACGCATACTCACAAACCTTTAGTCCTTGACCTTGGTCAGATCGTCAAGAACTCCCTTGAGAAGGAGGGCATGATCGGATGGCAGTTCAACACCGTTGGTGTGTCTGACGCCATCACCATGGGTGGCGAGGGTAAGTAAAGCTCATCGATCTCTTATTGGAACATACTCACCCAGCACCATAGGCATGCGCTTCTCTCTTCAGACTCGAGAAATCATTGCTGATTCCATCGAGTCCGTCACCTGTGCCCAGCACCACGATGCCAACATCTCCATCCCAGGTTGTGACAAGAACATGCCCGGCACCGTCATGGCCGCTGCTCGTCACAACCGCCCCTTCATCATGATCTACGGCGGCACCATCCGCAAGGGTCACTCTAACCTCCTAGAAAAGCCTATCAATATCAGCACATGTTACGAGGCCTCGGGTGCGTACAACTACGGTCGTCTGCACGCCAAGTCAAACCCTGGCGAGCCTGGCCGTGAGAGCTCTGATGTCATGGACGATATTGAGAAGCATGCTTGCCCTGGCGCTGGAGCATGTGGTGGTATGTACACAGCTAACACCATGGCCACTGCTATTGAGGCCATGGGCCTGTCTCTGCCTGGCTCATCTTCTTATCCTGCCGAGTCTCCTGAGAAGCGTCGTGAGTGTGAGCGTGCTGCTCAGGTCATCCGAACTACCATGGCGAAGGACCTTCGTCCTCGCGACATCATGACCCGTGCTTCTTTTGAGAATGCTCTTGTTCTGACCATGATCCTCGGCGGTTCAACAAACGGTGTTCTTCACTTCCTTGCTATGGCCAACACCGCCGATGTCCCCCTGACCATCGACGACATCCAGCGCGCCAGTGACCGAACCCCTTTCCTCGCTGATCTCGCTCCCAGTGGACAGTACTACATGGAGGATCTTTACAAGGTCGGCGGTACCCCCTCAGTCATCAAGATGCTCGTCGCCCGCGGTCTCCTTGATGGTAGCATCATGACCGTTACCGGCAAGACTCTCGCCGAGAACGTCGAGGACTGGCCCAGCCTGGACCCCGGCCAGAACATCATCCGACCTCTCGAGGACCCCATCAAGGACTCTGGTCATATCCGTATCCTGAAGGGCAACTTCGCCCCCGGCGGTGCTGTCGCCAAGATCACCGGAAAGGAGGGTCTCTCTTTCACAGGCAAGGCCCGCGTTTTCAACACCGAGAAGGAACTCAACGCCGCTCTAAACCGCAGTGAGATCAAGCAGTCCGACGGCAACCTTGTCATCATCGTCCGCTACGAAGGACCCAAGGGTGGACCTGGTATGCCCGAACAACTAAAGGCATCTGCCGCCATCATGGGAGCTGGTCTCTCCAACCTCGCCCTCGTCACCGACGGACGATACAGTGGTGCTTCCCACGGATTTATCGTAGGCCACGTTGTGCCCGAAGCTATGGTCGGCGGCCCCATCGCTCTGGTTAAGGATGGAGATGAGATCACTATTGATGCGATTAAGAACCGGATTGACGTCGATATCACTGATGAGGAGATGGAGAAGCGACGAAGTGAGTGGAAGGCCCCTGAGCCTCGTGTCAAGAGAGGTGTGTTGGCCAAATATGCACGATTGGTCGGCGATGCTTCTCATGGTGCCGTGACGGATCAGTGGTAGATAGCAGACGGGCACTTTGGATACCTGTAGACGATAGGATAAGATAAAAAGTGGAATGATAATAGAAGATTGATGATAAGCCAATATCTTGACCGTCTTATGATGCTTCACGGTGTATTAAGTGTACTGTACTGTAACTGCCTGACTCGCAGAGGAAAGGCATTATATACATAACAGCCATGATGATATATCTATTATGAAGCAGCATTCGAAACTAAAAAGAATGAAGGGTATCGGCACACATCCTCATGCTTCTTTCTCCATACCACCAACTTCCTGTTCCAACTGAGGCACAACCTCCGATCTTGATACAAAAACCATCTTTGAAACGCAAGCAATAATTCCAACACAAACCACAGCCATCGCTTCTCCGTTTTCTCTGAATGTATGTGTAATTACCAATCAACGTCTCCCCATTGCACTTCGTGCTGCGCATCAGGTGCATCAACCGCTGCCACAAATGAACTTTGGTGGCTCTCTGGCACACTCTAATCTCCCAGCGGCATGCCCTCGAGTTCATCGAGCAATCGTCGCCAGTTGTCTGCAAGCATTTCTGCATACTTGACTCGTTCGCCAGCCCAATCCTGGTTCCATCGGCTGACGTGGTACTGTGTTGATTGGAATGTGCTGAGTTCGTCGCGGATACACTCTTTGACAAAGATGGAACGATTATGTTGCTGGACAATAGATTCCTTGTCCTACTTGCTGTTAGTATCCTGTCATGCATCGCTGAAACAAGCAACTTGCCTTAATAATGTTCTCCGCTATACGGTCAATCTCACCAGCCTTGACCACACCTTCTGGTTTAGCTCTCAAGCTGGCAAGCTTGCTCTCGTTGGTCTGGATTCTTCGCTCCAGATAAGGAATGTTATCCTTGTCCAGTCTTTCCCGTCGTTCGAACAGCTCGCGCACGCTCACAAGAGCATCTCGTTGGCGCTTGAGATCCTCCAGCACACCCTCATCCCAACCACGGCTCTCGTCCTCCATCAGAGCCTGGGTTGTTCTGAGGTGCTTGCTCATGGCAACAAGGCCATCGTTAAGTAGCGGAACCTCGTTGGTGTCCGTTGCGTATGTATCCTCGGATGTTTCTGTGAGCGAAGCCAAAGACAGGGCGATACGAGCATGGTCCGCAGCCACACCCTCGGTTCGCTTGACAAGACGGTCCATGATATTACAGACATTAATGTAAAGCTCAGCAGAACGCTTGACACCACTGCGTGTTCGAGAGAAGAGCTCCTCAAGCTCAGCGGGCAAAGAATCCTCCAGGCCAGGGGGTAGCGCTCGATCGGTAAATTCATCCTGAACAGAAATAGTAGCTTGCTTGCGCCACACAGACAGTTCCTGATGCTGATATTAGCTTCAGCAGTTGATTTATACGCCAAGATATAGAAGACTTACAGTGGGGACGGTCAAGAACATAACAACGAGCTGTTCTTGGCTAAGGACCGGATGTCTAACAAGAGCGTTCAGGAAGCGTGCCAGGCCCCTTCTTCGCTTCTCGATGAAAGCGCCATCATTCGACAGATGACTGCCGTTTACGCCTACACGCTTGGGTGGAAGTAGCGGTAAGATACGGAAAGGATATCTCTTGTGCAGACAATCCAACAGCCAGACGAAGTCGCTGTATCTGCGAATCACCTTACTGCCGCGCCTCACGCTTGAGATTTCGTAGTTATGATGCTGGAACATGAAGACACCTTCCTTTTCAGGCATAAGTGTAACAAGAACATTTTCTTCGGCGCCACGGCTGACTCTAGAGCTGCTAGTATGATGTTGAAGACCTGGAGGAGGCTGTGCGTTGGGAGTCGCTCCAGGAGCGGTCGCGAAGGGGTTCTGAACAGCAGCAGTTGGAGATTCACCGAAACCTCCAATGGTGGGATTGCTTCCATCAAAGTATCCCCATCCACCAGGTCCTGTCACCGAGTTGCTGCTGGGCTGTCTGCGACTATTCGGCGAAGTCGTAGGAGGCGACGCGACATGGGTCAGAGGAGGAGCATCGATGACTGTTGTCGGAGGTGTTTGGCTGAAGCTTGCATGTCCATTTGTGTTATGACGCTGGGCACCATTGGATTTGGCTGCGTGATCGTGGGTCTTGTGCATATCGGGGCTACCCCATGGGTCATCTTCAGGGTCGTCCATAGCTGGTCGAAATTGCTTGGGCTGCTGCTGCGCAGGCGGAGTTTGCTGTTGTTGAGGTTGAGGTTGAGGAGGATTATCTTTGGGAGGCGTCTGAGGAGGTTTCGCAGAAAGTTCAGCAACTGGAGGCAGGATGGGCTCTGCAGTGAGACCGGCGAGCTTGGGTTGCGGAAGGCCTGTGATGGAAATGAGTTATTAGCTGCATCGAGTAGTGTCCCCACCAGGCACTGGGGGGATATGCCAGCACTGCTATGACATGGTATCGCATGGACCAGATGATAACGCAACTTGTAAGCCTTGGCAAACAAAGTCATTTACATGACGCGAATTCCTTCATGCGACATAGGAATTGAAGAAATTTCAATACTCACGTTTTCGTCTCTCATCAACACCATCGAGACTTATAATTTCGCCCTCTTGTGCCAGACCGACCAGGGCCAGTAGGACATTGAACTCGTTTCGACCTAGCTTGATATCCCCGCCGCTTGGGGCTACCAAGGACATGATGCGAGCTTGGGCGTCGGCTCCGAGCCTGGCTGTAGCGAAGAGCTTTGCGATACCTCCCGAGGTGACCTGACCCCCGCTCCCATCTTCGCGCACTACTGTATCGAAGGTCTCGATATAGCTATCGGGCACGTCGCTACCGGGGAGGAGGCTGCGGATTAGATCAGCGCGACTCTGCTGCTTGCGCGGCGTGGGCATATCCCAAGGCGAATCGTGGGAGTCGTCATCGTCCGCGAAGAGACTGTTGGATGGCTTGGATGCGGATGCGGACTCGTTATCAAAGAGTCCAGCACCACCACGTCGAGCAGGGCCAGGCGAGCTCGCAGCTGGACTATCCTCAGTTGGCGATGAACCAAATAGCGACATTGTGCCTTTATGTGCTGTGTATTTGTTGTAAAGCTATCTTGTGGCGCGTGCCAGTCTTGTCGATGTCGATCAGCTGAGTCGCGATAACTCGTGGAGCGATTGAGTGTAGATCCGTCGGCTCGTCTAACGTACAGTACGTAGTAGGCGACTCGTGATTGAGGCCGTTAAAAGAGAGAGGCTATTCAGCGCAATGGGCTTGGGTGCGCGATAGCGAGCCTGCGATGTAACAAACAGCGACTACAAGAGTTGGAGCAAAGCCAATAAGCAATACAAACAGCTCTAGCGACGAAATGCACGCGATTGAGAGGCAACCGGGAGGTTGGTGAAGTCATTCCAAGTGGAGAAGACCTGGGTCTGCGACATCACCTTAACCCGGCGTCCGGACAGAGCTGTTGTGGAGCATCATGGGTACGTACCTGCTTCCTCATGCGAGGGTCATGTCCTGTAACGGCTAAAGAGGATGTTCCTGGCAACGCCACAAACTGTCAGTCAATCTGTGGCTGATCTCGAACATGATGCATTCATAAAAGTTGATTGCCTTCAGTTTTAGAGATTCAATTGATTGTACATTGCTTGTTTTCACATCCAAGTGTCTATACTCGGTCATTATAATACAATTCATCAAACATGCCATACCCCAACTCTTAGAAGAGAGTCTCCTCGGTGGCTGCCTTCTCCTTCTTAACCGCGCTCTTAATCTTGTGCACACCAGGCACCTTGAAGTACAAACTGGGCGACTCTCCTGGCGCAAGCTGGTGGCTCAGGTATCCTCGGTGGGCGGGATCACGGTAGTATTCGATATCCTCACGGCTGGTAGGGTCGGGTAACCGGTATCGGAAGGGGGCCGCGCGGGCTGTGGCCAGCACAGTATCGACATGCTCGGCACCTTGAGGCAGAGGCTTATCTGTGTTGACGGACTCGCCAGTCAAAAGTCTTTTGATGGCGAGCTTGGTGTAGTATCGGGTAAGGACCTTGCCGCCGGCGTCTTCAATAGCGGCAATCGCTGAGGCAGAGATACGGGAGACCATGACGTCGATAGGCTGCTTGAGAGTGTCTGCACCACGAGACAGAATCTTAACACCGTCCTTGAGTGTTCCAATGATGCCGCACTCAATCAATTCCTTGGGAGTAATCTGTTTCGTGGGGTCGAGTCGTCCTTGATCGATCCAAGCCTGGATTTGGTCGATGTTGACTTCCGACATCTGAGGAGCCCGGCTGCAGACTGTTAGTCAGTTGAACTCTTAATCCTTCCAAAATCTTTGATTTCGTTTCGGGAATGTTCGTGGGCGCCTCACAAGTTGCTGAAACCCTTTCGACCGTGCTTGACGATCAAAGGTGTCTGACCACCCTGGAACCACGGCTTGACCTTTCCATGCTGCCCCTGACCCTTGTGACCACGACCAGACGTCTTTCCATGTCCGGACGAAGGACCACGACCAACTCGCTTCTTCTGGTGAATGGCGCCTGGGTTGTTGGCGAGGCTACCGAGGATGGACGCATTTCGGGTCTGGAGCGAGAGGCCGGCGAGGTAGGCGGTCAGCGACGAGACAGGAGCCTTGGCTGTCGTCCTGCAGCACAGCGGCGTGCTGAAGGGGGAAATTCGAGGAGGCATCGTCGTAGGAAGGGCGCCGTGGCCGTGAGTCTGAGGTTGATGCTGGCGATCTCCAAGTCGACAGTGACCAATTTTTTGGAGGTCTTAGCGCAAGAATGTCAATCCGGGGCAGTTGATGCCTCAGGCAACAACTTACTTGATATCAAGTTAGTGAATATAAGGACAAAACATTGAAGAGAAACAAAAAGAATGGAAGATAAAATAGAAACTAAAGTCAACTGCAATGCCTTAAGCGAAATTTAGTAAGTTCAGTGGTCGGTGATACGTTGAGAGTTCAGTACACTTATATGACTTATACGACACACATTGCTGAGATCCAATCAAGCCACTATTTTCGAGCAGTATTAAATGAAATAACATTTTAACAACCAGTACAGAGGTAGTCACCAAAAGAATGAACGAGCTCTTCTAATTGGCCTTCTCACGTTTCCCGACCTGTGCGAGAGTAGCTTCGCAGCTATTTCAGTACGCCGAGCTCCATTCCATTTCTGTAATTCTTATTTCTCGATGCCGAGCCCAATGGAGAACAACGAGATATTGGGGGAGTCCTAGTAAGTAGCTGCAAGCCCAGATTATGGCAAATGAAACAATGACTACAACTCCGAGTACCTTGGACCTAAGAATCGATCATTAGGAGACTCCACAGGGCCCCTGTATGGGGTAAGTTGCGTGACCAAGTATTCACTTTCATCCGTGGAAGATATATATCATACAAGGTTCTTGATTATATAGAAGTCTTTGAAAAAGCCTAAGGATGCCTAAGAGGATTTCAATGCTTGAAGTCGTTACTTGCCATCAAGGCTTCAACCATCTATATAGAATTAACACCATCACTAAAACTCCAAACTCCATAGCCATCCAAACTGACGAGACGATCTATATCATAGCTCAACAACTCTCTCGTCATCAAATCCCCTGGTATTCTCCAAAGTCGGTCCCTTATAACCCAAAACATACCCCCTCTGATTTGCAACAACCCTGACACCCCCCTTCTTAAACTCTGTCGTGAAATGTGTATGCCCAAACATCCACACTGCAACACCCGTAACAAATTCTCGCGCCTGGATAACATCTGTCGAAAACGCACTCTTGAATGGCGCATTCGCATGTTCGGGTTTGGAAGAACCGGCAATGCAGGGTGCGTGGTGCGTTACTACTAAAACTGTTCGCTGGGATTCGGTGTCGTTCAGGGCTGTTAAAGTTTCGCTGAGATACGCGAGATCGCGGGCGTGGCATTCGTTGTGCTTGGCAACGGTCCAGCCCGAGATCTTCTTGTAGTCCGAGACACGGAGAGTGACCATTTCGGCTGCAGAGGGAGGGATCTTGGACCATAATGTTGCGCCAACGATAGTGAGTTCTGAATCAAGATCGTCCCAGCGATTACGATCTAGAAGCACGAGCTTTCCCTCCAGAGCCTCTTCTTTCTCCAACTCTCTGGCTTTCGTTATGCCTTCTTCATAGGTCATCTCATAGAACTCATGATTACCGAGAACTAGAAAGACCTTCTCGAAACGGGCTGTTTGGCGAGCGAGGAAAGGGAGAAACATGTCATAGTCCACCATCCGGCCGATATCGCCTCCCAGAATGAGAAAAGGTGCTTTCACGGGAAAGTCGAAAGTTGCGTATTGACGATTGAGCTCAAGATGAAGGTCTGACATGATCTGCACTTTTCGACCACACGGTTCCCTGTGAGGAATCGTAGGACCGAACAGATACTCGGAGACACGATGTAGTGTATCCATTATGAGGTCGAATGGTTGGGATACTCTTCAAAGAGAGAGTTCGTCGGGTGGAAAATATGTATGTTGCTGGTGTTGAAGTGACCTGTTTTCCAAAACGATATTCAGGACTCTTATATAGGACTTTTAGGCAGATCATGAACAGTGGGTCTGGCGTTGAGCTGAACTTCTGAAGGCAGTGCTGTTAGTCAAGGGCCTCCGACGCCACGATCAGCCCTGCTAATCTGCCTAGGCTATCATGGAACTTAATGTTAGTCGACGGATGGCTGCATAAGGCGTTGGGCTTGCAAGCCAGCAATATCCTGAAAGAACAAGGCATCTTGAGGTCATGGTGTTTCAGTCTGTAGTTAAAATGGTAGCGAGACACAGTCCAAGCAGCCGTAAAGTATAGGAATGAGCGATCTCCCATCCTATGTATCATTAATACCAGCAGATACCCTTAGAATCTCTAGAGTACATAAACACATCGTCTATCCGAACATGTTAACAAAGACCTCCAAGTCATAATGAAGCAAATCCCCCACAATGCGCGTGCTTGTCCTGTAATACAATGACGAACGAGTGCGGAACAAAGCGTACAGGCAAAAGCCATGCAACAGCAATGCCCAACTACTCATGGTAAAACAAAACGCCGCACCCTTTCTTTTTTTATCCTTTCCCCAAATGTATAACAATCCCTGTGACCTAGTCGAATCAAAGTTGCTCATGCCCCTGAAGCGCCGTGGATAATCGAAATGCTCGAATATGGTGTTGCCTATCAGCTCATGGTATACAAATACTCAAGGTCGCTTAAGTACTTGGCCACTTTAGTATGGATGAGCCCAGCCGCCAGCAACGTCGACCCATTCAGCCAGACAAGATCCTTCCTTGCCCTCAACATCGACAACGTCTGTATCACATCTGCAACGGCAGCCGATACCACCTTCTTGCACGTCGTCCCAATGCTCCCAGTAGTCATCCTCCTCGAATCGCTTATACTCGGGGAAAGTCGTCTTCTCAAGGAAAGGCTCTCGGGCGAGCTGCTTGCCTGGTGCATTAGCAGGACAGTGCTGGATTGTCGTATGTCGGTAACCAAAGTCTCGGAAATAATGAATATCCTGGGGTCCAAGAAGAGCGCCGGCTGCAAGGGAGTGAATAGGAGCATCGCCCCACTAAGGAATGTTAGCATTGTTACGGAAGGGCGGTTTGGCTTGCATACTCGTTCCATCCAAAAGCCACCGCTTCGGTCCATCATTTCAAAGAAATCTTGGTACTCCTTGCTGCGGAACCAGCTGAGCTTTGCAATCTCGAAATTAGACCAGAAATGGCACATGTTGTACGCCTCGCCCTCCATTGACTCGGGGTCGATGGTATTCTTCTTCTTTCCTGTGAGAGTATCCCAGAAGCTGTTGTCATTGGGAGACGTATCGCTGTCTTTGGTAGAGTCCTCGTCGTCCTCCTCCGGTGGCTCGACAAACATTTCCCATAAGCCCTTGGATGTGATGTTATTAAGTCGCTTGTAGGCGGAGGCGTATCGGAAGATGTTGGGGACGGTCTCGCGAAGTTCCTTAACAGCAATTGTGAAGCCGTATGTTTTGTTGTGTTCAATCATCTTTTGGAAAGGGTCACTGTTACATGTTAGTGCTGCGTGAGCTTCCTTGAAGGTTAGACGTACTATGTGATGTCGCAGAAATAGCTGATTTCGGGCTCGACTCGCCAGTACCACTCATACTTGAGTAATAGAGGATGGTTAAAGAAAAAGCTGCATGCGCCGTTAGTTACGTCCTCAATCTGCAATTTGGACCAATTTACCCAGAATAAAATCTGCACATCTTGTGGTAGCTCTCCAAGCCTCCGTACATCACAGCAGCATCACCCTGTTTGGCAATGCCTTCTGCAGCAACCTTGGGGTCGATCCAATCGGGGAAACCCCACATATCCGGTCCAACCTTTCCAAACTCCACCTCACCCGAAGTATGGTTTCGAACGGCCTCTTTGAAGTTGTCGTCGAAATCGCCATCGTTGAGGAACACATAGGGGTAGTGGTACCATCTGTTGAAATGTCTCTCGACAGACTTGATGGATTGCAAGACACCGTCAATCTCCTTGTTTCTCGCTAATATTACAAAGGCAGCGTTGGCTCGAGGTTTGTCGGTGTCAGGCTGGGCGCAGCCCTCTACGAACACCTTGTCGTACTTTTCGCTGATTTTCCTGTTCCACCAGTCAGTTTAGGCCAGGCCGAGACCGGCGATACCAAACATACCGCATCTTTGGGGCAGCGCCTCCTGGAATGAGAAACCCCCTTCCTGGAGAACTGGGGTGGCTAACGAAGAGAATAAAAATAAGGATTAAAACAAGCATAGGAAAAAAGATGACCACGCCCAGAGGTACAGAGATCGTAGAGTTCCCCTTTAGCCGTAGAGGCCGACGGAAGAAGGCCATGCGATTGTCGACAGCCTTGTTGTGTTTCGAATCTCTCTTCTCATCGAGAGGAAGTTGTAGAGGAGGTTTGCTAGGTGCCACCTTGGTGGCCCTTCTGATCAGGTCCATGGCGAGAAAGAGCCTACCGGAGCGGCAGGTTGTGCGATCGATAGTATTCGTAGTCGGGAGGACATGAATTGCGCCGTATCGTGGCGCCTGCGACGACCGTCGAGGACGAGGAAATAGGAGAGCGAGCGAGACCAAGGAGGTTGATCGGTGTTGGTGGATGGGGCTACCGCACGTATGTATTCGTAGGTCGATCGATCTTGGGGCAGAGTGGGACCAAGACGTTAGAATTAGGTACAGTAACGCAATCGCAGTTCAGTTCAATTCAGTCGCTGGAGGAATAAACGGTCGTTGGTATCGTCTGTCGTGTCTCGTCGTTCGGATCGTGAGCCGAAGCAGGTGGCATCACCTTGACTTAGATGAAGGGTTCAAGATCTTGAAGGATTCTGGCTCTAAAAAAGATGTACAGTGCAGATGGACATGGGAATGGAATTAAGTAATGAGCGGCAGGGACCGACCACGTTCCCACGCCAAAGCCAGAGCTAGAGAGCAAAGACCAAATCTTGGACCCAGTACAGTAAGAACCTAACTTACTGACGCGTCGACCGGCAGACAAGAGATGGGACAGTGGGGCAAAGAAGACACCTTGGCGGTTGATAACGACAGACAACCTTGAATCTGGATGGATACTGTATTTGAATCACCAATGAAGAAGGGGGTGTTTGACTGGGCAGCCAGAATAAGAAGAACACAGCAGAGCAAGGGCGAATAGTTCTAGGGAACGGTAGCGACTGGACAGAGACTGACTCTGATAAAATAAGCTAATGGCTTGGCCTCGAAAGGGATGTGAGAGAAGAGGCAAAAGTTAAAAAAAGGGAGAGCAGTACGGATACATAGCATTGAAGCATAAAGTGGTGGGAAGTGGGAGACAACATGATGGATGGGGCCGCCATGGTGAGCCAGGGCCCTATCTCCCATGAAGAGATTGGAGAAAGTCAGGAGTCGACCGAAGAAGTAAAATTCAGTACGTAGTTGCAGCACAATGACTGATAATGGCAGTTTATTCATGCACCTATCCCCGGTTGCATTCAAGATCCCAGGTGCCCTGGCCCAGTAAGTGCAGGCCAAGGTTACAGGGGGTTACGGGCTCGTCCGTACGGACTATCCAATAGACCGCCCTGCTTTTTTGGCTTAATCCAATCAGACATCATCTAAAATGAAAAGGGCGGAACGTTTATCTGATCTTCCGGTCCGCATCTACTGCCTACAGTATGCACTGGACAGTACCAATAAATTCACCTAGAAATCCCCTGTCAGGAGAAGCAGTAATAGAAGAAGAAAAGAAGGAGTGGGTTACTTGGATTTATATTTAGGTTCCAACACTTGTTTATCATTTACCGCCAGTCTAAGTTTTTCAGTGGACCTGATTGATGTTCTGGACAACCTGACTAGCGAAAAGCAAGAAATTCGATTCTCATCTCGACTCGAATCTTGTCTTTCCCGGGTTCCAGCGTAGTAGACCCACGTGTGCTGTGCTTGTATGCAGCAACTATTGCTTAGAACAGTTTGGACTCATGAGCTTCCAAGTCCTCCCAGTCTGGGTGGGTAACAGAAGAGATGCCCTCTAAAGCTTAGGCTGTCAAAATAAAATAATCTAAGAGCGAGTCTAAACTGGCATAAGATAACTAAACTATTTCGTCTCTTAGGATCTCGGGGTTATTTCTTCTGACACCCTGCAGCCGGTGTTTTTGAATCCAGATTTGACGGGAGGATCAAGACAGTGCCCAGAAAAAAGCTGACAAAGAGCCGCAAACCAATCGCTGACAGCTGTGAGCTGAACCAACCATATCAAACCTCCAACTCACCTCATCCAACATTCAAACATGGCTCCTACACCAAAAATCAACTCAAAAAATCTGTCTTACGACAACTCAGCACCGCCATTCCTCGCGGCTCTGCGCGCTCAAGCTGCTGGCGCAACTGGTCCTGATCCACTGCTCGCTGCGCAAAGACGATCAGCTAAAAAACGGTCCAGCAGCGAGGAAGCTGAAGATGTACCGCTTGTCGTAGACGAAGACGGCAATGTCGTGAGGCTTGAAGTCGACAAGGATGGCGTTGTGAAGGATACGGGGGATCATGACCTGGAGCCAGCAACGACGAAAGATGAACCTGCCAAAGAATCAGAAAGCAAAGCTGCCATTGGAGGAAGAAAACGTAAGGTTGGAAAGGTGGTCGGTGGTGATGCTGATGGGGCCAAGGCTGAAGGCGATGAGAAGGAGGATAAGAAGAAGAAGGACACCTCTGAAAAGGAGTCTGTCAAGGATCGCAAGCCAAAGAAGAAGGCCAAGAAGATCAAGCTGAGCTTTGATGAAGACGAGGGTTGAACGATGTCAGTGGCCGAAAAGCATCCCCTCTGTCGTCTACCATACGACATCTGTTCTCATAAGACAGATGGATCTCATGTTCCATCTCACTCATTGTTTAGAAGACATGATCACAACACTTTGATACCCAGATATGATCAAAGCGGAGTTCTACGCAACTTCAGAGCCTCGACGACACGAAACCTGCGAGCGGGGGTACAGCATGCAAAGAACATGCTGATTTTTCGTTTGGCTGAAAAGGCTATGCATACCTCACGTTGCATCGAAGAATTCCCAATCATAGATAATGTTTCACTTTCAGCCAACGAAATGACATCACAACCCGGGCTATATCCAGTATCTTAAAGCTCCGGAAGATGTCACTCAAGCACAAGCTCAATTGAAACATTAAATTAATCTCACGTCTTGGAATCCGTTATATAGTAGTCAACATCAACTTCTGCAAGCTAACTTAGTAAATTGACACAGGGAACAAGGCACCCTAATCTACACAAAACGGCTCCTCTCCCTAAGGCAGCATCACACTCGTCTAATTTTCAGTGGATACTATGGCCCAATCTCCTCAATGTCTCTCGGCGCAATGCATTTATTTGTATCGGTACTCGGGCTTGATGTAATCGGCGAAGGTCTTGGGCTCCTCAAACTCAGGAGGGTGGTGGTGGTGGTGGTCGTCCTGGGGACCAACATAGTCCATCTTGTAGACGCTGCCGCACTCGGGGCATCGCTCGATAGGGCGCTCGCGGGTAAGCTGGAGTCACAATGTCAGCACTTCACTTCCGTCCGTCCAGGGTCCAAAATGTCAAGACTCACGCCGAGCCAGTTAACAGTGTGAGAGTCGACTGGGAAACCAGTGCAACCAGCGAACTGCTCCTCGCCAGCAGATCGGACCATGATGGGGTCCTTCATCGTTCCAAGGCGGGTGGCCTCAAGAGGGCGCATGTCGAAGATGTCGACACCCTCCATCTTACCGAGAATCTCCAGACGCTCGAGACCGGTGGACTGCTCGAGATCGGTGGGGACAGTACCAGGGGCGGCACCAGGACCGAAGAGATCCTCCTCAGTCTGGACCTCTGTATGTGAGCAAGCTTCGTCAGCGAATGTTGCACGTTCACGTCACGGTGCATCGACCGAGGTTACGGGGCGTCATTGAGGCTTCTCCACGGCGGCATTGTCGAATTGGACATACCCTTCAGGACCTTGTAAGAGCCAACCTTCTTCTCGGCGGTGCCAGCGAGAGCAGCGGCCTGCTCGTTGGGAGTGGCAGGGCGGTTGACGGCATCACCTGTAGTCGGAGCAAAAACACTAGTCAGCCATCATACGACGAACGCCATTGGCTGTGGGTCCGGAAAGCAAAATAGAAATGCGTACGGCGAGCGATGGAGGTAGCAAAGGTGCGAGCGACAGCAGGTCGGGCGGCGACGCGGCGAGCCGCGGTGATGGCGGAGCGTTGCAGGAACATTGTTGTTTTATCGGGTCAGGTTTGCGCCTGGCAATGAGGATGACTCGGGGATGGGCTGAGAGAGAGGTAGAGGTGTTGTCGAGGGATTTGTGAGGAATGGGCTGATTTGGGTCGAAGTTGGAACCTGGACCCATCCGGGCAAGCGAATTGACCAATTGGAGTTGCTGTAATCTCAACCACGTGATCTTTGAAAGCTCCGGCTCTAGACCTTGGCTCTTGAACCATCACCAAAGGCGAATCTCGGAATCGTCATCAAGAGCTTCAAGAGCTCCAAACTCGTCGTAACCACCCTTTAAAAGAGACATTATAGCTTGTATAGAACGAGGAACACCCAATTGATCATTCTTAAGCCTCTGAATACATATCCTAGCATATAACATCAATTGCTTAGTCATACAGCACCGTCTTCATCTGTTGTAACTCACTTACCCACGTTCAATTCGGTCTACACTTATTGATGGCATATATTTTCAAATTGGTGGCTGACATGCTCAAGTTAAGGCGACTCTTAGAAGTGAATGATTGGCAACAATAGGTCTAATATTACCGTGCATCGACTCCGTCCATGCCCATGTAGCTTGAGTGTTGTGTAAGTCGTAGAACGAATATTACTCTCAGCATAGCAAAGACCGTCCTTGTTTCAGGTTCATGTATATACCTCTTAAGATAGACTACCCATGGCAATGTTTACTCAATATCTGTGACGATAACGGGCTTGGGTAGACGAGTAAAATTCAAAATGGAGCGCTCTCTAGATTTTACACGTCAGAAGAGAAGATGTATCTGGATTCTGGAGGACATATATTCTTGTTTCGCGATCAATATAGGCACGAGCTAAGAAGTCTTAGAAGAAACAACAGTCTATATAATTCGAAAACTCAAGGTGTGCGGATCAAGCATATGTATGATCTCAGATGCCACGGCATAAATGAACAGACCTTTCTTGTATTTTACACTGCTTCTTTATTTGCTTCACCTACACAAATACTTCTGATAATAAACAAATAAGTTTCAGTGACTACGTAGAGTCTCTCAAAAGATCCGCTATAATCTCTTTGGCCTCACTCTGCACTTCCCTTACAATATCCCCAGCATCACGCACGTCATGCACAAGCCCAACCGCCGCACCTGCATACGTCGCCAACCTTCCCTCCGGTCCCCAGCCCTCATCTCCAGACTTCACAGCCTCATCATGCCTCCTTTTAAGCTCCTCAAAATCAACTCCTGCCTGATGATCATGAAAACTCCGGTTAACAATTCCACGAGGACTATACTGCTCCGGCCAACCCATCGTGCCGCGAAGGTGGTTGTAAAGCATGGTTCTTGTTGTACACTTCGCTCCGTCTGTGGCACGCACGACTTCTTGTTGGTAGCCCTTACTAATGCGGGCTTCGGTGGCGGCTAGGAAGCGTGTGCCCATTACTGCGCCTGTTGCGCCGAGGGAGAGAGCTGCTGTGACGCCACGACCGTCTGCGATGCCTCCTGCCGCGAAAAGAGATATGTCGCAGTCTTGGACTTGGTCTGCGATTTCAGGGAATAAGGCCATTATGCCTAGACCGTCTGTCGCTCGACCGTGACCACCTGCTTCTGCACCTTGGACCACAAGAGCATCAGGGTGATGTCCACTCATAGTAATTTCAACACTTTCTTGCACAGTACCGATTTGGATCCAGACTTGGATGTCAGGGTAAGCTTCCCGTATCTGAAAAGTCCACTCGTCTAACTCCTCTTGGCCCTGACGAGGCGCAAATAACCACGCGGCGCAAGGTTTATGTTCCCTAACAGCTTGAACGGCCGAACGTAAATCCCCGTTCCATAACTGGAAGCCAACGCCGACGGGGAGAAAGTCTGATGGAAATGTGGATGGCAGTGCTGTGGAAGGTGAACTGCGTAGTAATTCACGCACCGTAGCGAGGTCTCTAGATGTGTCTTCAGGCTTTGCCCCAGGACCAATGAACCCCAGACCCCCAGCTTTTGAGATCTCAAAAGCGAGGTGTGGTCCTGACATGACGCGCATCGGTGCACCAACGATAAATGGTGAAGTCATCCATGGGAAATGACTCGCAAAGCGAGCTCGACTAGCCTTGACAGCTACTTGACGTAGACTCATATCTGCCTCCAATTCAGTGACTGTTGTAGGTTTTGAGTTGTGGATGAAGCTCTACCTGAACCGTTTGTTTGATGATGGATGTAAGTTTATCGTCGAGGGCTGCGAGTATAAATGAACGACTAAAGAAACCGCAGTTGCACGTGCTTGGATAAAGAACGTTTGTCCTTAAATATAGAAAGCAAACATTTGATTAAATAGTTTCCAGCAAGAGTTGAAGAACTATTCTCGGCGGGGATCCGAGGTCGTTTGAGTATAACACACACATATCACAAGACCTCACGGCTTTGTTCCGATGTAGCCGATGCAGCCAGAATACCCGACCGTAAGCAGGTATATGATGGCCCTGGCAGCAAGAATATAAGACCCAAATGAAGTCGCCGCAAGTTCTGCGTTAACAATTCTATTTTTAGAGTATTTCAATTCTCATCGGATCAATTCATGGACTATAAATTCCCGATATTTCGACGGAGGGCGTTAAATCGTTCACTCCTGATATAGTCACGAAATGCATCCGAATAGCATCCCAGTGGGACATAGATCGTATTAGAGACACATGCATCTGGTTTAAAAAGAGCAAATTCCCTTTCATTGAAAGCTTAAATCAACACTATTTACTACGCCATTCCCGCGCCATAAGCCCATAGTTGCTAATCTTTGTAAGTTCACCCCAGGCGCAGTGAAATGACAGGAGGGAACAATTGCTGCGCATATTCTGCCAAAAATGTGTAAGACCCAGTAGATGTATAAACTTGTTTCGTGTGCCATGAGCTTTGTGTCGATATGCTGGCTGTTATTCTTCCTCTCTGAGCCGTAATCTATGTACCTCCCACAACTGAACGGTAGGATTTACGAGCTGACCAGTTCGTCAAGCCCAATCTATGCGAAATACGAGTGTAACGAAAAAAAAAGTTCTGGAAGAATGAAACATTAGCTGACGAGCGAGTCAAATGCTTTCAAGTTACTCACATCCGATTGCTTCATGATAAACATTGCGCTCAGTTCTTCGAAGCATCGCTCTCAGAGATTTGCCGGGCTATCTGCTCAGCGCGGAAGCCATTGACGCCTTGGTATGTGCTGGGCTGAGCAGGCCTCTTTCGAACCTTCTCAACCCGAGAGGAAACGGCAACTTTGTTGCGGACAACCTTGCTGTCTGTTCCCTTGCTTCCAGTAACCGCCTTCGTGCTTCTGTCAGTGACTTTGCCTTTGTTGGTAACAGTGCCGTAGCTGTTTAGGCGGTTCTGGTAACCGGCCGACCTGATAATAGCTGCGCGAAGCAGTGGATCCTTGTATGGGCGAGACAAAGCCGTTTCACAGTCCTCAAAGATTTGCGAGAGGATTGGTTTCACGTAGTCTTTACCACTCTGCGCGGCGAAGTTGAGTTGGGAGCGCAGTTGCAGCCAGACTCTCCATCGAATAAAATCGAACGGATCCATCACAAGTTCTCCTTTGTCGCGAAGGATTTGGCAGTCAGAGATTTTGCACGCGAGTTTGTACATGATCTCTTTGCTGCAAAGTCCCTCTGCGGGCAGATGGTGCTTGCTAACAAGCTGGTTAGGATGATAAGATGAGTTTTGTCCGAAAATCTCCCTGATCTTGCGATGCTTGGACACATTGTCTGAATGGATCTTATGCATCTTTTTGGCATTCTTGTTTGATGGATCCAGAATGAGCTGTCCGTGAGCTTCAGCTTTGGTTTTCTCTTCGTTCTTCTCTTGAGCCAGGAAAGTTTCCAGGGAGAGCCATCCCGACTTCCAATAATCTTCAGTCTCCGTGATCTTTCGTACCGGCGTACCGACGAGACATCTGGGCGCGGTGTAGGTCTGACCATCAGAGCTGAAGGCGAACACCTCGTCACATGGTGTCTTTAGCATCTGATTTAGAGCTTCAGATGTGACAGTTCCAAGTTGAGCACGAGGCTCTGAAGAGTCTGACATTTTGAGAGAGACACTAAGTAGTAGGGTAATAGTGCAGCAATCGCGCGTCTCGTAATGTAGGGAAGGGGTAGGGTTCAGTAGTGCTTGAGGTGCCCTTTAGGGAGTAACCGTTAGTACAGGTTAATAGATAGACCACAGTAGAAATACAAAGATACAGTGGTAGAAAGAATGGAGTCAACTTACCAAAGGCTTTAGTCGTTAGCTGCCAGGGATAGCCACTCGCGGCGAGCAGTATGGTAATAAATTAATAGAGGGCTATAAAGTACCCCGTTGAGCGAAAAAGGTTGAGAGTGAAGATGTATGAAAAGGGATGAAGGTTGAGAAGGAAATGTAAAGATTGTTTTGAGGTGAAAAGTGGAAGAAGTTGGGAAGCTTTAGCGGTGCACCTGGTAAATATTAGATTTCGGTGTTGAAAATTAGCAGTGCAAGATAGCTAGCTTCTGGGGCAGGCAGATCGAACACTTACCGCCAGTGATTCAATATGAATTACTAAAGCAGATAGAGAGATTACTGGAGTAGAAGCAGTATATTCCCCCGACGGCTGCCTAGCCTGCCACTGTTTGTAGGAAAGGGGGAGGATGTAGTAAATATGCATCTTTTCTTGCTGACGGCGTTTTAGAGAAGGATACTTTCAGTGAGTAAGAAGTGTGATGCGTCGCTATGTGAAGATTGCACATCAAAGGTCTGTAGATATGAAGTATGTGTAAGTTCGCGCTCGAGCGATAGTGACACCCGTCCAGGGATGTCACTAGCTACGAACAAACGGCGTGTGTACGGCACAATAGCTTTGTGCACGAATTAAAGAACGCCTATGTTGGTAGATGTAAACTCTGAGTTGTGAAAATTGAGACTTGTTTCCGAACCCGTTTTTGAACTGATGTTGCCAGTTGGTGTTGGGGAGTTTGTTGACGAGAAGACTTGCGTGAACACATATAGTACCACAGTATTCTGAAACCTGAATAAAGAACAACGGATTAACTCTACTCTGAGCTCCTAGAATATGAATATATTTACCTTTCTCTGTCCCTTCCACTATTGCGAGGAGTGGGAGTAATTGTCCTGTTGTGGATTTTGATGAGACGATCTTCCAGCCAGCGCCCGAATGAAGCTGATCAAATTTGTTTGATGGTTTGTCGAAGCTAGGTAGATTCGGAAACCTCCATTCGAAGAAGATGATTGCGACGACCCATGGATGATGTGAAGGGGACTGAGACTTAGAAAGCAGGCAGTCCTTCGAGGCGGGTCCTTCCCACTTTGTCGTTTGTGAATCGCAGGCAATCCTTTCTGGAAGGCTCGATTGCAGGAGGATGTATGAGGTTATATTATCATTTCAATTAGGTACTAACTCTGGATAGAGAAACTCCAAGCTTTGTCAAATGTATCACAATGTGTCGTCTACGATACAGCAGCTTTTTCTATCATGGAACAACTCAAGCCCACTTCTCGAGGATGGACCGAAGCTGAGAAACCGCCACCTTATAGCCTCTACAACTTCGTTTCTCTACCTGGCTTCGTTGTCATCGGCAGTATAATACCATCCTGGTAGCCAGTCGCGACATGTTTACCCCTCGGGCTCCATATCAAACTCTCCATTGCGCCTCTACCAGCGCTGAAGCGTGGCCACGAGACTTCTTGTATCCACCACCCATCACTTTCTATAACAGCGTCTTCAGCGTTGACATGTACATAGAATGAGTAGCTCAGACTTGCAGCAATACCTAGATCGTGGCCGTAGCCAAGATGATTGCCGAGCATGAACAGACTGTTACGATCCGCTTCGAATGCGTGGCATAGAATATGTGCATTAGCATCTTCTCTGGGAAGAGGCTTTAATAAACGATAGTATATCAGTTCTCTCCGCTCTGGTATTGATCTATCGGCGTTGAAGGCGGACATATCAACTTTGTACATGTCCAGAATAGGGAATGCTCCATGGCCTTCGTTTGGAAACTTGGCTTTCAAGGCGTCGACGTCTGCTTGAGGACATGGGTCCCATTCATCAGGCCTTCTTGACGAAAGAATTGCTCCGAATCGCTCGTGAGGCGGAATTCCTTGGACTTCGTTGATACTCAGGACTGGTCGTTTGAAAGTGATGATGCTCGTTAAGCAAGGGCTAGCAAGAGGCGCTTCGGAATCTGATACAGGAAATGGCCCCAACAAATTAGTTGAGGATTGACTTGGCTGCCGAGCATGAACCATGCGAGTAGAGAATGAACGGCTTGAATGAATCTCTGATACATCGAGGATGAATGGGCGATCTGAAAGTCCAGGGTTGGTGAACACTGCATGAATGGACTGAAGAGCATAAGTTCTTGTTCGTTCTGGATGCAGGTTTAACGTACATGAATGCCCCTTCTGTTCTCCTTGTTCTCACTTTCATCTTCTTGTTCGACCACACGAGTCGCTGCGAGAGCCGCTTGTGTGTATACGACAGCTCCATAAGCCCCTCTAGTGATTTTGGGCTTTGGAATGCCTGTAGCGTCCCATGGAAGCTCCTGGCCAGGAGTCCAAGCCGGCTGACGGCTCATAAACCTTTGAGTGGCTTGTATTGTGGAAGTTGGGTCTGGAAGCCGGTGTAGTTCCAAGGCTTCTTGGAAGGATAGCCGCTTCCATTCTTTTGGCACGGCCATTGATGGTTATATCCGGAGCAAGGAGCTAGACGGCACTGCTTGAGAGATTTCCACAATGAACGTAAATTGTGCCCTTTCAACTATTCATGGCACTCATTGAAGTTGGCTATAGTTGGTGCTCCATTGATATTGGCATTGTAATTTTGGAAGTCGTACAAGAGGGCGTTGAATGCTAACAACTCCATGCAGGCTGACGATGCCGAGGTCCACCGACCATAGTCCGTAACCGCGGGCCATTCTGATGATAGCTCGTCGCCAACAACATCTGATCCAGATCTTCGTTGAATAGAAATGCTAAAATCAAAATTAATTGCAATTATCGCAAGAATAAAAGTAATACGATCGAAAGAATGTTTTGACTCCTTCTGCATCGTCTCATCTACAGATGATCTGTTGGCTTTTCAAGTCAGCGTTCCTAGCAAGTGGAATGGATAGCATAAACTTGACGGACTGAGTATCGTGAGATGCAGTGGCGATTCAATAGCTATATATTCACAGATCAACAATTTTACCAGGCATGCATTCAATCGTCAAGCATACTTCATGATGTTATCTGAACGCATTTTTGCTGCAGGCACATTCCCATCAACAAGCCCGCTCATCATCGATGCGCCTACAAAAGCATCATGATCGCGAAATACAGAGTAGCTTTGACCAATCATAAAGTTCAAAGTTGTTATCCTCCGTGTTTCACAGGGGGTTGTGGTTGCCTCAAGCCAAGCTAGAGGCGCCTGCCTTACCTAGCACTAGCTAGGACCAAAACCTCCGGCGGAGTCATGACGTCGTTATGGCTTATACGACCATCACCATCATTCTCAGGAGATATGAACCTCTTCTTATCATGCCAACAATCACCACAAGAAGAAATTCACAGAAAATAACACACAAAACTCGTTTACAGGCAATTAAAGCTTGCAGCTTTCAAAATGCTGTCATGTTTTGGCATTTGTAAAGACTCCGAAGAAGCAGAGCGCCAGCCTCTGCTGCCGCGTTACAATGACGACACTAGCTTGCAGACGCGACTGCATGAGAAGCTCCATACATACCAAATGCTACGCGCTATAGCTAAGGGTTATATGCCAAGCAATGAGCAACTCATCATCCATCTGCGAGCTCTTCTCTCCGCCCAAATTTTGAACCCAGAAAGACAGGAATTGAGCCCTTCAGGCCGAGCTCTTGTCAGAAGCATCAAGCTATGGATCACCCAGTTCATCGAGGTGTTGCAGCATAAGAACAGCAAGGATCAAATTCAGGACTTTATCTGGTACCTCACCAAGGCACGTCTGGATGTTGATGTCGCACATATCGAGCAGCGAGCTGCCAGAGCAAAGGTCCGAGCAGATGCTGTGGCTACATACAAGAGCTTGCAGACTATAGGCTCCCTACTCCTGACCAACGCCGATTTTCGAGTCTTTCTGTCTGATCTCAGCACTGTGGGAAGAGAGGTACTGCGAGATACCGCCTTTACCTTGTCCGATGTCTCCAAGCAAGCGGGAGAGGCTATCAAACCCTCAAAGGAAGAGGAAGAGGCCCTCAAGCATACAAATGGCAATGGGAAATCACCTGCTCCTCCTTCCGACCAGGAGCTTAAGAATGAAGTTGCAGATGTTGGCGAAACCGTCAAAGATAGTGCTCTTGAGGTAGCTGATGGAGCAGCACAGAGCATCAAGGAGCACGTCAAAGGAGATGAAGGCGATGCCCTTGTCAAGCGACTCAAGAACACCGTCTTGAATCTTCGAAAGAGAACAGACTATAAGGAGTCTGTTTCGACTATTTCGCTACTTATCCGACGTTATCTTCTTGCATACTCACATGCCGCTACCGCGACAGTTGAAGCAATTGAGGAGGACACCCAGCCCAACCCCGAAGCTGACAAGGCCGTCCACAACTTCTGGCTGTTCATCACTTCTCTCGGCAAGCGAGAGCATTGGGACAACGTCAAGAAGTCCTTCGAAGCTGTCGTCGATGATGGAAAGACCGACCCAAACTTTGACGAGCTTGTGAAGCAGATCGGCAACATGGTACAAGACATGCTTAGCGATCCTGACTTTTTCGACAATATCGAGGAGAGATTCCAAACCTTGCGCAAGAAGTCCAACGAATTGACGGCCAAGTCATCCATTCGTGATGATCTCGATGCCTTGTTGTCCAGCCTTTATGCTGCTTTTCGATCAATCCTGGATGATCAGGATATCAAGAAGCTCATCCACACGACCGAGAGAGTTGCGCTTCTCCTGTCCCCTGCTGGGGAGTACGCTAACAGTGATCTGGTCACCGACACCATCAATATTTTTGTTCCCCTTCTCATCCAAGCTATCCAGTACATACCCATCCCCCGTGTCGAAGTATCGGCCCCTGCTATCGATCTTTTGCTCGAGAACCTTATCCTTGAGCCTGGTCGAACAGTCAATGCCAGCTCATTTTTGCCTTTCCAGCTCAACGTCTCAAGCTACAACGATATCCAAGTAAAGAAAGCACGTTTTGGAACACAGTCTACCATGACATCAATGATGAAGGTCACTGTGTCTGGTCTATCTATCGCGGCTGATGACTTGGGATACTGGTTCCGTCTACACTCTGGTATTCTTCGAATGGTCGACGAAGGTATCGCCGGCTTTCACCTCGACAAACGTGGTGTTGATATCACTCTTGACCTGGAAATTGGTAAGGATCGCATGGAACAAATTGTATCTTTGCGCGACGTCAAGGTGCGCATCCACCATCTCAACTACACACTCAGCAAGTCCAAGTTTGCGTGCCTGGCCTGGATCCTGAAGCCATTCGTTCGACCCATAGTTCGCAAGGCTCTTGAAATCAAGATTGCTGCAGCCATTGCAGAGGGCTTGCATTTCCTTAACAGAGAAATGCTCTATGCACGGGAACGCCTTCGAGCCACCCGCATTGCGGACCCTAAGGACCTCTTGACATTCATTCGAGCTGTTGCAGCACGTCTTGTTCCAGCGCCTGATCCTGATATCGACGCCCGTGTCGGTGTCAAGGCAGGTTCAGGCGTATTCCAAGGACGCTACGCTCCTGGCAGTTTGGTCCAGCTGTGGGAGGCCGAAGGCAGGGATGCAGAACAGAGGCTCTTCGAATATGAGCAGGGAGGATGGAAGAATGATATTTTTGACCTTAAAACAAGGCCTGCTTGAGATCAATTTACGATACTTTGTGTACGACAGTATGGCACGATACGTTCATTAGCTGGTTTACGCAGGCGAGGCATGTTGGAGTTACTGGAGTTTGACTTAGGAAGGCAACGGGGCCCAAGCAAAAGGCAGAGGTTCGGATGGCGTCGGGTGAAACAAATCGTTTATTACCAGTTGAAAGTTCAGGTGACTTTGAATTGATGTTGGTATTTCCAGTTTTGGAATGTAGCGCTCAGCACTATACAATGGGTGAATGCTTCAAGTATCGGTGGCGGAATCGGGCAACGTAGCATCTGAGATCAACATATTTGCTCTCAGCATGAAGTTGGGAATGCATACATAAACGAATGCTACGGCACAAGTACAGTACAGTATGTACGCGCGTGCATTAGGCCCTTGAGATGTGATCACTCATCTTGACCCCAGCAACAGCGACCGCCATTTGCTAAGCCCTACAGATGATCCCCCAGATTTGCAGAGTCGGAGACCGAGCAAATGCTGGCGGAGGAAATGATGGTCTTGGATCTGCAGATTTACCAATGGAGTGGTTTCAGCAAGACATGAGGCGCACAGTCTAGACTCCGTGTCTGAGCATTGCTGTTACGACGACGGGCCATCCAATGTCATACAAATTGGACGGCAGCGGAGGATACGATGAGTTGTTTGGTGGCTGGGCTTGTCACGAGGGTTGAATTAGTCACGAGATAGTCTTTCACTGAAGTAATACACGGGGGGAAGTATCACTTGAGCTGTCAATTCTCTTAAAGAGTCTACTCAACTGCTTTGAGCAGGTCCTAAGAATGACAGAAGATGATCTGACAAAGGGTTGTCAAAGCTCTTCGCTAGGTTCGCTTCATTGAGGATTCCATGCATCACGACTAACAAGTTCGAATTTGTATGACACCTCACGTTTACATATACATACATATCCGTACATTCAAATCTCTCGGCTTTCCTCCCTTGGACACCCCTGACCCCCCCCCCTTTCTGCTGGGTCTCAGCCAAAGAAAAAGCAATTCACCCCCTGTAGCTAATCCTTGAACGCTTGATTCAACCGCCTGACTGACCCCAGGGCGGGGATCCCCGGCCTTTGCCTTGTGGCCTATGAAAACATGCTGTGCAACCTCTGGAAGCTCCCCGGATGGCTTACCCCGGATGTTCATGGATCTTGCTTGTCTTGGTTATTCTCTGTGTGATGGATGATGATGGTGATTCTCGTGAGAGTCTGGATGACAGGCTATGGAAGTGCAGATCTAGCTGATGCCGCGTCTTTTGTGCTCGGTCTACGGATAGGTATGGCTTATAGAAATGAAGTCTTGTCACCACCAAAAGTCTGGGGTGCCCGAGTACAAGGTACATGTTGTTTCGCCCCGGATTTTCCATCGAATTGGTTCAGCGTGATCCTTGCTGCAGGAGACTACTGAAATGTAATGATTTACGCACTACGCTATTTGGTTACTCTTGCTTTGCTTGGCCTGAAGAATCTCCCGACTAAGACGACCACCTCTTCTTCCCCTCTTCGACTACGACTACAACTCCTCCTCTTTCTTATTCTGGGTTTCCCTACTTCTTATCTTTTATCTCTTCCTCCTAGGTTGTGTTCTATATCGAGCATATTTGCCTAAACAGCCGGCTTGCTCATCTCATCTCATCTTACTCCCCGGGCATCTCGCCTAGCTTCGGTCGCGGCTTAAGGCTCCCCACTTTCGCTTGCTGAGCATCACGCCAGTTACTCCCAGCCCCAGCTTTGAAGCTCTGATATATTGAAGAGGGAAGGAGACGGGCTTGGGAGAGTTGACTTATACGAATGGCATTGGCCTGTGGTGAAGTTGCTGCGAATTTGTTGTAGGGCGAGTTGCTGGTTAGGTTGAACTCTTGAGATCAGGTCCTATACACATTGCGGACCATCACCTCCGACCCAGGATAGAACAGCCAACTCGAATTATCACTGATCAACTTCTTCGACAACGCAAACTTGGATTTTTCATAGGTCTTATTTTTTACTTTCCCACCAGAGACCTTCTTCCATCGACGTGGATCTTCAACGCAAAGTTGGTAAAGCGGATGGATCGGACAAAGCAGCTTTGACAGCACGCGGAGCTTCTTCCTCCCCTCCTACAAAGCGAAAGCTGTGGTTATGGAGGTAGAGGCTAATAACAAGAGCTCAATCAATTTGCTTGAGCCGTGGCGTTGCCATACAACGGGCGGTTGTCACGATGATCTCGCTATATCCCCGCTCGACCTTGGCTCGGATGATTTGAACCAGGTACCACGATGTCCTGGACCGGATCCCTTGTTTGAGGCATTGATGGGGCACTCGAGGTGCATAACTGTTAAAAGGTCAGAAAACAACGAGAACACGCAGCAGAGAACGGCCGGGGTGAAGGTTTGGTCATCACAACTGAGACCTGAAGCCTCATCACGCTTCTCTTTCCCATCGTTGGACGAAGCCAAGAAGAAGTCCAGTCCACTGGCTCTCGAGTTTCAACAGAAACCATGCCCTCCCCAAGGGGTCAAACGACGACGCTGTATTTCCGACGTCGAGGGCTTCAACACGGGCGATCTAAGTGTCAAGAAACGCCGACTCCGAGCCGACCTCATCACAAGCCGTCTTTCACAACCCTACTCACAGCCTGCAACACATATTTTAAACAGGGAGGGCCAGGAGGCTGGTGACAAACGGTTCTTGAAGATGGCTACGTCTGTGGACATGACTCGAAGGATTGCACACCTTCATGCAACATCCTTTCTGCGGTTCTCAATAATGAATTGTATAAGAAAGAGACTGGGTCAGGGACAGCCTGCACGGAATCATGAACAGGAAGTCGCGGCTATCACATCGAAAGCTGCCAGCAAGCCCAATTGGAAGCCTCCGATGCTGCAAGATTCGGCAACGAGCCGATCCCTTAGAATCTCGCCAACAGGTACTGGGCTGGCTGGGCCTCAAGGCGTCATCTCATCAACGAAACCACAACTAAACCAACAAGCTCACAAGTCATTCCAACACTCCAAGCCTACATCGTGCCGGTTATCCAAACCAGCAGCACTTCCTCTCCCTGTTGGCGATGTAGCCGCAACGAAGAAGCGCACATCTCCGCGACTCTTTCCCATACGATCCCCAGAGCTACGCCCAACAATATCACTACCTCCCCTAGATGATCTAGAAGAGGATAGTTTCGCATACATGCACCCAGCAGACGACGATTGGAACGACATCGGCGACGATCAGGATAGTGTATACTCCGACTTCAGCGTTGTATTTGGGCAGAATGGCGAAAGCACCAACGAGGAGGACGATAGATCGTATGAGGAATATCTGGATGAACTTGACGGTATATGTTGGATGTCAAGATAGTGATGCATCTATTCAGTGTCACTTCTTTGGAATCATATAACAAAACATGTAAATTATACAAGTATGGCATTGGGCGGCGAGTTGTTATTGTTCATGTTTATATATAGCGACATAGGAAGCACTCCTGCTCTAGGCTTGGGGTATCATAAAAGATTATATAGCTTATGTTATTGCAGTCAACCACCAAACCCCTGGGTATTACATATTTCAGAGATGCGAAGCCTGTTGTCTCTGATAATACTCGTCTCGTTTACAGCTTTGCGCCAAGTTTGGAAGCTCTATCTTTTGCAATATCACACATTGCCTGCATCTCAAGTTAGTAGTGGAAACTTATGGGCATGAACAACCCGTACCTGTAACGCCTCATCGACCTCCTTAGCATAGTCTCCTCTCGAGATTCTAGCCCTCATGTTCTCCATGATTTCCGGCCTTCCTCGCCCATTCACAAAGACGACATAGCGCAGTCCCGGGAACTTTGCTTCATACTCCTGATTCAACTTGGCCAACTCCTCGCCCTGTCCTTGCAGGTTGGCTTGTTCAGCTGCTGACTGTGCAGACTCAACTTTCTTAGCCCCTAGACGGGGGTGAGACCCGAGAATGGAAAGAAGAGTCTCATCTGGATTGGTCGTGGAGCTGGAGGATGCCAGTGAGACAAGACGGGCCTTGCAGGCGTCGATCAGTTCTGGATATGATTTGTATTCTGAGTCTTTTACGACTGGGATGAGAGTTGAGTGAATTGCTGGACTTGGTTCGAATAAGAGGTCCAAAGTCTTAATCTGTTCAGATTCATCTGCCGTACGAAGCTCTTTTGGTGTTGGGAGAGCCATGATGGATGTTGAAGTTGGAGGTTTGGTAGCCAATTATCACGAAGTACTTGGTGTTCACTTGTAAGCATATAAACCAAATCAAGAAGGATCGGGAGGCCACTATCGACACTGCATCTATCTATTATCGGACTACGGAGACATGCGAAACTGCTATTACCGGTGCTCCCCGCGTCAAGACATGCATGAAGATGATGGCTGATAAGATATGACGGAGCCTTATCTTATCACCCCGTGATTCCAAGCTCTGGTCAGTGCACCGGCAAAATCTCGACTAGGCGATTGTCGTCGCAACAGAGCTTCGAGACGACGAATTGCGCTTTACCTGACGACAAGCCATTGAAAGCTCCACGAGCTCAAAATCGCAGTCGCCATGCTTTGTGGAAGTAAGTTGCCCAAGCTCGCTATCTCTGAATAACAGTGCGCTAATCTCTTGACAGTTTCTGGAGAGGCTCCTCAAGAGCCCGTCGTGTCTAAAAAGTCCGGTATGTTGTATCATCAATAACATCAACGCGCAACTAACTCGTCTCAGGTGTTGTCTACGAGAAGCGCCTTATCGAACAATACATCAACGAACATGCCACTGAGCCTGATTCTGGCGAGGCTCTGACCACAGATGATCTCCTCCCTATCCACTCGTCGCGTATCGTCCGACCGCGTCCTCCTACCCTCACATCTATCCCAGCCCTCCTCGCGACCTTCCAGAACGAATGGGACGCGCTGGCCCTCGAGACATATAACCTCAAGGAGCAGCTCGCGCGCACCAGGGAGGAACTTGCCACATCACTGTACCAGCACGATGCTGCTGTCCGAGTTATTGCACGACTCACGAGGGAGCGAGACGAGGCTAGAGATGCTTTGAGCAAGGTCACTGTTACTGGAGGTGCTGCCGATGGCGATCAAATGCAAGTTGATAGCGTGGAGAAGCTGCCACAGGAGCTTACTGAGAAGGTGGACGAGACTCATCAGACGTATGTGATCAATCTACGACTACGAAACCATGGCGGTCAACTAACTCTGGATTTAGACTATCAAAGGGTCGCAAGAAGCGTCCCGTCCCCGAGGGCTGGGCCACCGGCGAAGAGATCTCTGCTTTCGAAAGCGCAACTACGCACTCCCTACCCGTTCCTGATGCCACCGCTCTTAGCGTTGGAGGCGCCAATGCAGCTATCGGAGGTCTCAAGGGTCAAGCTGTTATCTACTCCACTACCGAGGACAAGGTCGAGGTGTCTATCTCCGTGGAGGAGCCTGTTACAGATGCTGCCTGGGCTGAGAACCGCGTTGTCTTTGCGACTGGACAGGGAAGCGTTAAGATCTTTGAGGACGGTAACCAGGTTGCTTCCTTGAGCGAGCATGCTGGTGCTGCTACAGCACTGAGCCTGCACCCCAGCGGCGAGATCATGGCATCTGTCGGTACCGACAAGAGCATTGTCTTCTACGACTTGGTTGGACAGAAGTCTGCTGCTCGTGCTTACACCGATGCTGGTAAGTTCTTTCTAGCTCATTTTGAATCCATGGCTTGCTAACATCGTCTCAGCTCTCACCTCTTGCGCTTTCCACCCTGACGGTCACCTCTTCGCCGCCGGCACCACCTCTGGTGAAATTAAGCTTTTCATGACTAACACCCTCGAGCAAGCTGCTTCCTTTAACCTCGGTGCCCCTATTCAGGCTCTCAGCTTCTCCGAGAACGGCTACTGGTTCGCTGCCACAGCCAAGGGACAGACCATGGTTACCATCTTCGACCTACGAAAGGAGGGAGATGCTGCTGTCGCCAAGGTTCTCGAGACTGGTGGACCCGTGCAATCTCTGGCTTGGGACTACAGTGGCCAGTTCCTCGCCACTGGTGGTGCAGCTGGTGTGACAGTGCAACAATTCACGAAGTCCACCAAGAAGTGGAGCGAGCCCTTGAAGAGCTCCACGCCTTCGGTCTCGGTTCGATGGGGAGAGTCTGCTAAGCAGCTCGTAACAATTAACGGTGAGGGTGTGGTCAGCATACTTGGTTCAAAGGAATAGACATTGGTGGATTTAGACGAAACTACGTATTGAAAGGAGATGGCTGGATGATTCCCTGGTATTCCTGTATTTATAAAGGCCTGCGAACTGGGTCGAAGCAAAGCACAGAAGGTGTTTGAAAATTGATAATTAAGGGTTTGTTTGTTTGGATACCATGATTCACTGTTTAATCTCGGACTCGTACTGAAAGTCAATAAACGAATGCAGTTTGCCGTCAGAGGCTCCCGTCCCGTCAAAATATGAAAGCCCGGCCCAAAGTGGAGCCTAGGCGTCATTGCCCCCCTGTGCAGAAGCCTCCATTAGCGGTCTTAGTGGGGTAATCGCCGCCAGTGCAGGGTCGCTGCGCGCTAAGTCCAGTCGTCACATGGGTGGTGGCAGCGTCGAATCAATTCCATATCGAACGTGAGGCATTCAATTTCAACTTCCTTTTTACCACCCAGCCCAGCAACAGGGACCTTACTTTTAATGCTTACCAACACAGCACCCCGACCACTTTAACGCCTCCTGCGACACGGTACAGATGATTACGATTACTATACACAGAAGCATATATCACAAATGATATATCCTGCGTCTGTTGGAAAAGGGCACCTGGATAACTCAACCCTCGAGCTCATCGCCACCACTCCTTGATTTCGTATTTCGCGCGCCGCTCTTGACCTACGATACACCGTGCTCTGCACTTGCTGCCTCGTGGATGCCCCGTGAACGGCACAAGCGGGCCTTTCATTGCTTTTAACAAATACCGCCGTACATACCTCGATATTTCCGATACGCAACCCTCCATTTCCACCAGCATGGCTGCCAGCAGCGACGACTTGTTCGAACTCGGGGATGACGAGTTGATAGAATTAGACATCACCCCAAGCAGGCCTCACAATGCTGCCGAGCCGTCTTTGTTCCTCCCGAGTCCTTCGGCACCTCCAGCGTTTCCTCCTCCCCGTCCCAGATCTCGCCAAACCGCTCGCCCTAATGCGGGACGCCCGATAAGATCTCGACGAAGCAGAGCGCCCCAACCGCATCCCGATCATCATTTACGCAATATACTGGCACCGGAACTGCCCCAGCCAGCACCCGTCATCGATCTTACAGAAGAGCCGGATTCGCCAGTACAATCGCGAGCGAGAGCCCCATCGGTACAAACGTCACAGAATACGAGAAACCCCCGAAGAACGAACTCGCAACGTATATCGCCGCCTCAGTTGGCGCGAACGGACGGGACATTTGTCGGCCGGTCGGCAAACGTCATTGACCTTACTCTGGACTCTCCCGAAGAAGAGCGGCCTTCACGACATCATCCCCATGCGCGTATGTTTGCCAGGTCCGACGAGCTTATTGAGCTGGAGTTCCTAGCCCAACAACCAATTCAAAATTTTACATTTGGCCCGTTGAGGAGACTGGCTGGCATCCTGGGTGTGGGTGCTGGATTTAACCCGCCTACCCTTGACATTTCACGCAATGCTTTCGCTCGCCCACCTAGTCCCAAGCCACGCATGGATACGCCTCCGCCGGCCCGAGAAGGCTTCACCCGCAACACCTGCGCTGAACCTGAGAAGGAGTCTGAAAGCGTGGTTATCTGCCCGGCTTGTAACGAGGAACTTGCTTATGACCCTACAGGGAGTGTGACGCAGAGCGCGGTTGGTACTACGAAAGGGAAGCGCAAACGAGCACCTGGAGAGCATCACTTCTGGGCTCTAAAGAAGTGCGGACATGTGAGTTCTAAGATCTATCTATATCCCTAAGAGAAACTAACGAGATACAGGTCTACTGTGCCGATTGCTTTGAAAATAGAAAACCCACCAAAACGAAACGTGACGGTGTAGGCTTCCGATCTCCAGACGGAAGGCCTCCGCATGCTGCAGCTAACGACCTCCGTTGTGCTGTTGACGATTGTGACTCCAAAGTGTCTGCTAAAACGGAGTGGGTCGGAATTTTCCTCTAGATCAACTGGCTGATCAATACCCTGCTTGTGCGTTGGAGACTTGGGGCTACGAATCCATGAATAATGAAAAGGAATTCTGCGAGCATAGCATCGGCGTTTAGGACTGTATACCACAAGGCATATTCTTTTTGGGGGTCTAGCTGTGGCGAACTTGGGGCTACTGGGACTTCGCTTTTTAAACCGGTAGTGAAATTTCGTGCTTGACCGTTAAATAGACAGCGAGCTGGTCATGAATAGAAATCCTGATTTTCCCGGACTAAGGTATGACATGTTTGATAAGGAAGTTGTATTCTAAACGCCGTCGCTATGTGATGTATCAAAAAACATGTTCTGCCACCCACACCCGAAAAGGGGGTGATATGCCAACACTCCGGCGTTTGCCTCCGGTAAGTTTCCTAAACGCCAAAATCTCATGGAGCATCTTACACCACCACCGTTATTCTTTATCATGCATGCTACTTCCCGTTTCCGTTATTCTTCTCCATAAGTAGTAATCATCCAAACCGTTCTTATCGTCAAATCATGAGTTCTAGTGCAATATCGTCTACCCAATCTCCGCCGTATGACTCTTGCGAAGCACTAAGCGCAAAAGACTCCAGCGGTGGGGGCTTCTCATTCTCTTTGTTTTCCTGTGGTGGAGGTGCTGGTGGTGTTTGCTTTGGTGGTTCTGCATGCTTTGGGGCGTGCATATTGTTGTGTGATGTAAGTGTTGTTTCAGCAGGTGGCTGCTGAGGTTGTTTTGGCATTTCTATACGCTTTGGTGGAGGGGGTGTGTTAGTGTGAAGTTTCTCGTGTAACAAACGTGATTTCCGAATCGCAGGTTGTGGAGGTCGACTGTGTAGTCCAGATTGTGGGGGAGGTTTGGAAATCACGGGTGGTGTTCCGGTAGCTTCAGGCGGTTTGACGACTTTGCGACTCTCGGTTCGAGCACGCTGAACCATACCAGCTTGTATCCTCGATCTTTCACGTTGTTGAATCTGTTCTAGCGCTGCTGTGCGCCGACTTCTCTGAAGGGCGAGACACATTCGTTCATGCGAGCCAGACGATGTAAAGAAGCGTCTAGGTGGCGGTGGAGGTGTATCAGGGGCAGGATCGAGTACTGGTAGCCGTGGTTGTTCAGGAGACGTTTCAAGTCCCGCATCCTCAAATTCTTCCTCCTCATCTTCTGCAATTGGTGCAAGGTTTAAGACTGCAGACGACACCAAGTCATCATCGTCTAGATCTTCCTCAAGCTCGCGTGCTTGCTGGGAGGAAGAGGGGAAGAAGTCGTCCAAGTTGTACAGGATGGTCTGCGTGCTCATGGGTGGTTCCTGATGCGGTGGGGAAGAAGATCGTGCTTCTTCGTGCCGTGGATAATCTTTTGGGAGAGGTGGCTTGACAAACGTTGGTGAAGCCGGGCGATGTAGGCCTAGATCCTCTGCGTACCGATTTGGCGCCGGCGTTTTGATGTTATCAACTGGCGGTGCCGGTACTGCAGAGTCTGATTTGGATGAAAGCTCGGGGGCTATTTCAGGAGCATGGCTTGTATTGGGTTTTGGCGTTTCCATAGCTGCCTCGATGTCTTCCAATATACCGAGCGCAAGGTCCTCTTCGAAATCCTCGTCCAATTCGTCCTCCATCCCTTCCAGTTCGATTTCTGGTATCAAGTGTTTTTGTGGTGGTGGTTGAGGCTCAACAACTGCTGCGATTTCCTTCGTAATTCCTTCCAAATTATCTTCTTTGGGTCCTTCTTGTGCTGCCGCCTCGATTCTCGGTGATTCTGGGGAAGTCGGTGGTTGAATTTGGGGCCTCGTTTCCATTCCAACATCTCCAAAATCGAATTCTTCCTCGTCCTCATCTTCTTGTATAACATCTAATTTCCGTAGCTTCGTAGCAGGTTGTTCCATTTCATGATCGTTTGCGCTTGTGGGTTCGTCCATTCTGTCGTTATCCTTGTTGGTCGTCGCATCGGTTTTCTCGACTTCTTCTCCTTGCGCATCCCTCTTTTTCGCAGACCCATTCCCTCTCACGAACCAAGAAATCGTCTCTTGACTCGGTCGAACGTTGACAAGTGGCAATCTCTTCTTTTGCTTCTCTTTCTTCTCCGCCAATTCCTTCTCCTTCTTCTTATCCCGCGCAACCTTAGCCTTGGCCGCTGCCTTTTCACGCTCAAACTCCTTCTTTATCCGTTCTTGTTCTGCTTTTTCCAATTTCCATTGCTCCGCTCTCGTGAGTTTTGGCCCCTTGTTTGCGGCTTTGTATGCGTTCCGGACCTGTTTCGACGTCATAGGCCGTGGAGGCGGCTTGTCTGGTGACTCATCCCGGCCCGGGAATTTTGGGATGAGCGTAAAGGTTCTTTGGGCCATTTCGGTGTCGGGAACGACATCTGGCCCAGTTCGCGCGATGGGCTGAGGGATTGGTGACGGTGGTTGAGGCTCCATCGTGAAAGGAACGCGCGGGGATGAGGGACTGTCGCGAAGTGGAAACGTGATCACGTGGGTCCGTCAACAATAACATCGGGACAACCACTTCTTCTTATATAGCTCCAAATTCATTTTAAGATTTAGTTAGGATTTCGACATAGCAATTGGTTGAGAACTTTATCTGATTTAAGGTGCCGTTTGTGCTGTACTAATTGATGTTTACTTCTCAAGAGGCTCAACGGTCGGGTCCCAAGCACAAGGGCTGTACTCATCGGTGGCCAATTCCTTCACTTCCTCCTCCGTAAGCTCAAAATCATACAGTTGAGTGTTCTCCAAAATTCTAGAAGGTGTAACACTCTTCACAAGAGGTACACAGCCTCTCTGCAAGCTCCATCGAAGCAGAATCTGGGCAGGTGTCTTGCCATACTTGTCTGAAAGAGCTTTGACTTTAGGATCGTCAAATCGCTGACCACGCACAATGGGGCAGTAAGCTTCGACTGCAATGTTACGTTCCTGACACCACTTGACAATGTCGGGTCGGGTCATCCAAGGATGCACTTCCCACTGACCGACGGAGATGACTCCTCCCTTGCCCGCTCCTCCGCGCTCCTTCTCAAGCTCCTTGATGTATGCCTCCAATTCGTCTAGATGATGAACACCGTAGTTGGAAACGCCCAGTGAGCGCACCTTTCCGGCTTCAACGCACTCGACGAGGGCTTTCCAGGCACCCTTGCGGGCATCGGATCCACCGTATGGGGCGTGAATAAGAACAAGATCAAGATAATCGAGCTTGGTCTCATCAAGAGCGATGTCTACCTGCTTGTGGGCATTTTCGTAATTGAGAGGGAATTGTCTGGTGAAGATCTTGGTCGTGAAGAAGACTTCTTCGCGAGGAAGACCAGATGCCTGGATACTCGCTGCGCTTGGGCCCTGGTTGTGATATCCTGACGCAGAGTCGATCTAGGAGTATCAGCGGTGAACCACATTGAGCTTGGGCTGCTTACATGACGGTAACCTATCTCAAGGGCTTTCTTGCAAACCTCAGTTGCTTGGTCCTTCTGGCTGAATTACGTGGTCAGTGTATCATGTTTCCGAGGCGTTACGCAGACTTACATCTGGTAGACCTAGGCACCAGAATTAGTACAGGAGCCTACGAAGGATTGAGTGGACAACTTACTCCATAACCGAGGAGAGGGATCTCATAGCCGGAATTGAGCTTCTTTGTAGAGCTGAGAGCGAGTTTGGAAGCCATTCTGAAAGACATATGCAGTTTCTGTATGATGTTGATGATGTTGAAAGCAGTGAGGGGCAGATGCTGCAATGATGATTCACATAAACGGCAGTTGGCAAGACGTCAACGATGTTTTATTTACGATCTCTGGTTGGGCATGCTCGGAGTTCCGAAAGCAGGCGCCAATTCCGTATCCCTGTTATTGATGTAGATTGATAAACTATGTCTAGATTGTGAGTTTATCGCGACGATCTTGTGTTGGCTTCAATGATTGATTCGGACTTCGGGTTTAGATGCGAAAATGTGGGGGCTGTATGTGCGATTCGGCACCGACAAAACTGTCTTTCAACAACAACTCTGCCGATATAACCGTAGAATAAATGTTCATAAACAATTCGAAGTATCTAAAGATAAATTATCAATTCGCAGTACATGTAATAACAAGTCTATGGTATTGAAAGGCATCTAAGATAACGTTATCCAACTCCGAATGTATAGGGTAACGTCACCTGAACAGACATGATATTTCATCAAATCATATCTCATTTCTATATAACCTTTTGTATCATCATTCCCTTAGATGACATTATCCGCCATGCTGGGAAGTTGAAGTTCTTTCTCCTCCTCCTCTTCCTCGCTGTCTTCTTCGTCCTCGTCGAGGCCTAGCATGGGATAGTTGAGGATGGCGGCGATATCACCTAGCATGCTCAAGCGTTGACCACTCTCATGATCACTGCTCAGAACTCTCGCCTCGCCACCATCGTTCTGTACCTTTTCCACCAAAGCGACGTACTTCTTTCGGAGGGCAAGATCCTCACTTCGGAACAATGAGTTATTGATCAGCAAGACACCGCCGCCTGGACCTACGGCACCTTCCTTGACAGCCTTCTCGACGACAGAGGTACCGTACCACGCACGTCCGTCGTCCAACTTGAGCCTATCGAATAATTGATCGACGTATTGTGTCTCACGAGCGAACTTCATATCCTTCATCTTGGAAAGGACTTCTGGACTCTTGAGGACTTCGTTCAAACTGTGAACATGGCCAGAGTTGGAGTGAATCACTGTGGCCTGCTTTGCCAGAGCTGTAAGCATCTTGTCTGCCTTATCCCGCCCCTTGTTGGTGATATACTGCTTGAAGTCCCCGGCGACAAAGCCCGGACTGGCGATCAGCAGCGGTCGTGGCTCAGTAAAGTCCATTGTTCGGAGAAGAGTTGATAATGTCTTTTCGTAGAAGCGGCGCATGCCTGCATCTTGATCCGATGCAAGATCGCGCTTCTTGGGGATCACACTCTCAACCCGAACCTTGAGGACGGTTCGGAACGGTGTGATTAGACAGATGTTGGCAAGACCTTCTTGCATAACCACAGCTGCCATGGCACCACCCTTGTCATCGGACAGAGTCTCTTGGAGAGCAGCTCTTGAGACAGAGTCCCATCCTTCTGGCTTGATAATGGTAAATGGGCGGTTGACCTCGAGGTCAAGTGTATGATGAGAGCCTAGGGTAACATAAGGATTCTCCGCAACGACAGTGCCAGAGACGCGGAGTGATGAGATAATGGGGTCGAAGAAGGTGGATTTGACCTTGATAGCCAATTCCGTGTGAACACGCTCAGAGGCCGTACTTCCCGTGTTTGAAGTTGTGGTCACTTTACGGATGGCATGAGCATGGATGATATCGCTTGGTAGGATGAGGTTGTATGCATGCCACTATCAACAATGTTAGCGTCTTGTCTCAAAGTCACAAGCAGTGAAGACCGGTGGGATCCGGAACAGATAACGGCCCAAGGGAAGAAAGACATGTGGGATAAGGTGAGTGCTGTAGATGCAGCATCCCGTAAGTTGAGATGGGATGAGACGAGGGTGTGACAACGATGGTGGGGGAGGGGTAACGATAGAGAGAGGAACAGGGTCTAAGGTTCAGCTTCGCTAGAAGCCAAAGCTTGAGAGTCGCAAGGAACAAGGGGGACGGTTCTGCTTACCATATCTTCGGGATCCTCGGGAAGAAGAGAGACGGTCTCATCTTCGAGGGTCTTTGGGACCTTGCGCGAGACTAACTTCATGTTTGCTTGTGCTTCTGTGGCTTGAAAGCTGAAATGTGAAAATGGATCTCAAGCCTCGGACCTCGGTGAGTCTAAAACTGCGATAAACAAGAGTTGGCCCGTTCTGTCTGCTTCTGAAGCTGTCTCACTCGATGATGATAAGAGATGGTAGTTGAGTTGATGATGATTATGATAGCGATACACTGATAGGTACCCAAAAACCCAAAACTAAAGTCGGCCTAAGACGATGTTGTGCGGCTAAGAGCTAAGACCAGTAAGGCTGGACTGGTGCTGACTTTGGCTGACCACTTTGAATAAAAAAAGCCAAGACGGGCAGAGCTTGAGGCTCAACGGTAGGTTTGACAGTAAAATCGCAAATAGCAGGTGTGTCTCGGTAGTGTACTGTCAATGTACCTTGGCGGTAGTTGTCTGATAGGCTGGTAGTTGCTCTGAATATCGTGACTAGATCTTGTCGTTGTCGTTGTCTTTGAGTCAGTCTACAAGGATAAATCGACGATGATGTCGTTTGTTCGGGGTCGGTGGTTGAGTATGACCGACCCGACGGGGTTTTGGGAGCAGCCCGTTTGAATAAGAGGCACGGGATTGGTTTGAGTTTATGAGTGGATATTCAGACTTTAGACGATGCTCCACAGATGTCCGATGCATAAAATCCATGGATGTTCGAGAACTTTGTCTGGAAGTGCAGAATGTGGAGTAATCAGACAATTATTGATTGAACTGAACTATAAAAAAGACCGCAGGATAGTAAAATCCGCGGACGGCGGAGGTTCAATGTAACCCAACTCCGTGTCTCTTTAACTTACACGTGAACTTTAGCGGAGTTTGGTTTTTAATTATATGAACACAAAATGGAATGATTTCTTGACTCGACTACATTCGTCTAGGAGGCCTAGGTACAGCGGTCTTGGCAATCCCCTCACTCTTCACCTCTGGAAGACCGGCACCAGATGATCCACGGACGTACGTACAACAGGTACATCATCTTCTTGGCGAAATGTAATTGTACGCACACGTACTGTCCAGGTAACATCGGGTTCCATAGCAAAATCTTTACCTTGAACGAGGGAATTATGGAACAATTACCTGCATGCATCTAAAGTGAGACAAATGCGCGAGAGACTCACTGGTACATTTCATATGCTCGGCATACGTAGTTGACTTTCCGATACTGACCAGGGTCTCGCTGTTTTTTGTTTTCTCTCAAAGCCGTACGAGAATTCGGGTGCCTTGCACTATCGAGATGTACGACGTCAGATCAGGAGGTGTCAAGGATGCGTTTTCTATAAAATGCTGTTCTTGATTTTTATTAGGTAGATGACAAGCGAAATATGGCATGATGACGCAGGTGCTTTTACAGTACAGTATAGTGAGTTTCCCTCTCCATTGCTTAATGACAACCATGACAGGACGTGAAGAGATGACAAGTGAATTAGGTCTTGACCGAAATTTAGTTCAATATGCCAAAAGTTAGAATGCCCATTTACCCGCCCGTAACACGTGTTGGTGTAAGTGTAAGTGCATCGTAGTATTCTCTGTTCCGAATACGCGGATGCACCTCAAGACGGTTCCCCATGACTTGCTTTTGCCATTAATTGGATCTCATGATGAGAATAGCATTCCAAGATATCACCGATTCGTTTAAATCCGAGACATTGTCATGATAAGTTTCTGAAACACGCCACAATTATTTACTGTACTTGTTATCTTCCAGCTCTTGCGGTCTGGATATCATCGTCTTATTCATAGGTCTCTACTACGCCTTGCATCTCATGTACTCCATACTGTGCTGTACCCTGTGTTCATGCCAAGATGCCCGGGTTTGTGCGGTGAGCCACTCCAGTACAGCACCAAGTCGCGGATTCGCATTCGACTGGAGAGTCGACTGTGGCAGAGGCTATCCTACCTAAAGCTTGCCCGTCGATCATTCAGCCTTAGCACTGTAGCCTGCGATTGATTGTCATTACCACTTTGTTACGTAGAAACACTGCCATCAATGCAATAATGCAGTCGCTGCTTGACACAGCCCAGTTCAAAGCTACGCTAGAGAGTTGTCCTGGTGAAAGCCACCACCTGCCAAATCGGCCCTCTGCCCTATGAACAGCCTAGAGAGGATCCTGATTTGATGCAGTCACTTCCCAGATCTTCGCGCTTGAGTCTTGTCTTACCTCATTTGGGCCCCCATCCAATGCCCTTGCCATAACCCCAGACCAGACAAACAAAGCCGACAGCCGGCAAAGGTGTGATACAATTACAGTACAAGACAAAGTGGTCTCTCTTCTCTCAGTGGTCTTGTTCTTGTTTCGCTCAATTCTCTCTCGATTAACATTGGCAGTAACGGCGCAGTCCAGACCAAATTCGGTGCTTACCTGTTTCTTCTATGCCCGAGCTTGAGTGAGGTAGCTGCTGACATCCATCTCTCCATTGGATCCTTTCTCTCATACAACGCATCAGCTGCTCATCCATCCACAGGATTCTCATCTTTTTTTGCCATCCTATTCTCAGCTCTAGCATAAGGCTCTTTCCCCTTTCTCATTCGTAGCCTCTTTCTTTGGATGCCCCTTTCTACTCCTTTCCCCCTTACCTACCTGTTCTTATATCACGCGCCACAAAGAGAAATATCCAACACTATTACCGTCCTGGTCAAGCCTACAGCTCCTGTCGGCCCACTACCTACGCTGTAAGTTCCATCCGTCCTTAGGGGACTCCGGTTGCTGTGCAGCGCCCCAGGGGCTGTCGCCCAGCGCACTACAGCGCCAGTGGCATCCACCATCCCACCAGACCCGACCACCAACCCCGCCAGTGCCTTCGTTTTCGCTTAAGCTGGTTTCAAGAAAGCCAATGCAAAGAATAATTTCTGGTTGCCCTGCTACACTCTGCACCTGGCTCTTTTCTTGAAATTATTGAGTTATTTTATCTTCGACATCCAAAAGTGAAAAAAAAAAAAGGACACACAGCATCCTCAATCTCACATTCCTTCTCAAAGCATTGCCTCTCTTTTGTCGTCGTCTCCCTTGAACCACTGTCCTGTCATAATCCACCACTACTTAACTTGTCTGACACGCCTGGAATTGGACCCTCACTCAGCCGGATACAAACTAACATCATTTGCATATTAGTCCTGTCCTTCTCATGCGAATAGGAGACAGGAGACAAATATCCACCACGGGCCTCATTAACAACACACCAAGTCAACTTTGGTATCTTTGCTGTACTTTTCAGTACCTCTTTTAAAGTACAAGAACGAGATCTGCCTTGAAGCAAGCCTCATCACTCGTTCCCTCCTCTCGTACCTCGCTCTCGGACCTTTCGGATTCGATCTGGGAGCTCGTGAACCCCGGTCTCCGCCACGCCCACCTCGTTCACACCCCCACGAGTCTCCATCTTGCAAGTCCGTCAGTCAGCCAAGACCACCCAGCCCAGACTTGCATTTTGCTCGGAGTCGGGGACGGACTGGACTCCTCCCACAACTTGCGCGTGGCCGACCGCCCGCGCAATCCGGTCTATCTTTTGCAAAAAGAGCGAAATAAAAAAAATTCTCTAGGGACTGGTTGCCCACGCAGTATGGAAGATGTCGGCCTTCAAATCATTTTCTACTGTCCGGGGTGAGGGTGGTCTGTCTAGACGACGCGACTCTTCAGCCCTTTCCACCCTTCCCGAATCTGAGCCTCAAGTGCGCCGCCAGAGCCTCGCTGCTCGTTCCGATTCACAAGGTACGTCTTTTATATATATTTCTTCTTACCCATGCCCCTCCATCTGGTCCTATGGCCAAGTCACAGTACCCTACTATAAGAATACCAAGGCGCATGTCTGCTCTAGTCCGGCTTATGCAGGGACTTATTGCAACAGGAGCTTCATATGCACCTCAGGTTCTAGTCTACTGGCCAATATCAAGCTGCCTATACATGCTACTATATTACTCTGTAAGCTTACGATTAGTCAAAGGTGCTGGTACTTCACTGGACCTCCCATCGAGCAGGCTCTCGACTACACAACCATCTCTGTCCGGTTCCCAGAATGCAAAAGAAACAAAAGACAAGAGACCATCGTTTAAACCGATTCAACCAAGCCCTCCTCCTAATGCTGGGCTGGACCCTTTAAGCACGGTTAGTATTTGCGATCATTAAATATGTAGTTGGGGTGTGGCTAGGTCGACTAACAACGATGGCCAGCAAATATACCTGCGAACTAACAGCAATACTGGAGAGCCTACTATTGCGCAAAGATTAAGAAGTCAAGGCCGATCTGAAAGTGACAACAATCAGAGGCAAAGCTCTGAACTCGGCAATCTCCCCGGTACTCCTCAAGATTCCAGCAAGGATCGAAGGAAAGGTGTATCCTTCCTTAGCCGACTGGGAATGCGTGGAAGTTGGAGAAAAGATGACGACTTACACGACTCCGACTCCGAGTTGGGTGACCTACGAACCGATGGAACTTATGCCCGAGCTCTCACATCCGTCGTCGGTGCAGGCGGCGGATACATCCCACTACACAAGGAACCTCCACGGTACATTCGAGTCAAGGCGCACAACAAGAAAGAAAGAGAGTACAACCATTTGTTCCTCGCACAAGAACTTACAGCCTCCGAACACAAGCACCAAAACACGCACGGCCGAGCGGTAGCGACAGCAGTTGGAAGCAAGATACTCAGAGGCGGTGATGCAATTTGGGCGGCAGAGTTTAGCTTGGATGGACGATATTTGGCTGTTGCTGGGAAGGACCAGATCGTGCGAGTTTTTGCCGTTATTTCGACCCCTGAGGAACGCAAGGCACATGAGGAAGAAGAAGCACAAAACGGTGCTGATGGCGAGAAGCTCAGTGCTCCAGTCTTCCGTACCAAACCTGTACGGGAGTTCAAGGAACATACGGGCGAGGTGCTCGCCTTGAGCTGGAGCAAGAATAACTTCCTACTTTCGTCTTCGATGGACAAAACAGTCAAGTTGTGGCATATGAGCAGAAATGACTGCTTATGCACCTTTGTCCACAAGGATCTGGTAACTTCGATCGCCTTTCACCCTACAGATGATCGGTTCTTTCTTGCAGGATCGCTAGACGCGCAACTACGATTATGGAGTATCCCAGATAAGAATGTGGCTTTTCAGACGTCGTTAGGCGAGTTCATCACTGCTGTAGCATTCTCTCCCGACGGTACTATAGCCATCTGTGGCGTGCTCAGCGGCTTGTGCACTTTCTACACAACTGAGGGATTGAAACTCAAGTACCAAATTCATGTGCGATCCTCAAGGGGTAAGAATGCCAAAGGAAGCAAGATCACAGGCATCCGAACTATGACCATACCCGAAGGACCTGACGCTGGACAAGTCAAGGTTCTCGTTACCTCTAACGATTCGCGAGTTCGAATCTACAATCTGAATGACAAGGTGATTCAGGTCAAGTATAAGGGACTGGAGAACCAGTCGAGTCAGATCAATGCGCGCTTCAGTGACGACGCCAACTACATCATCTGTGGAAGCGAGGATCGCAAAGCTTACATCTGGAAACTTGGTTCCCAGGATGAGATAAAGGATAAACAACCCTATGAATCATTCGACGCCCACCCCGAAGTCGTGACCACGGCTTTGATGGCACCTGCAAAGAGTCGGCAGCTACTAAGCGCATCGGGTGATCCTATTTACGACCTATGCAACCCACCACCCGTAACTTTGAGAAGTTTGGAGGAGAGCACAGCAAGTCAATCAGCCCCTTCCGAGGAGGAACACGGCGACTCGCTACACAGCAACAAACGTCCAGAGGAAACGCCTGCATATGTCGAGCGATCCAGGCATATCGACGGAAACATCATTATTACAACTGACAGAACGGGCAAGATCAAGGTGTTCCGACAGGACTGCGCCCATAAGAAGAGGCAGCAGGGACTGTGGGAGTCGGGTTCTAGGTTGTCGAATCGTTTGTCTGGTGTCGGAAGAAGCGGAAGTGTTATGACCAGAACGAGTGCGAGCAGTCGTGTGCAATCAAGACGTGGCTCTCTCACTATTCCAGGTCCTAACCCTATTCAACTCCAGCATGCTTCCGACAGAATTAACAGTTGGCGGCAAGATATCGATGGTGAGCGACCCAGTCTAAACACCCCAGCACGAAGTGAACGGTCTATGTCTCCCAATAAACCGACACAATCGCCTGTCAACTCAGCCGCGAATTTGGCAGCAGAATCTCGAAAACAACCTTACGCATCGAGTCCGATCACTCGTCCAGCCCCGACAAGTCCTGCTAGCAGTGGCATGTCGCACCGTACCACAATCAGGGCGTCGCAAGACCGGGATAGAAAAAACAGCATCACGAGTCCGCCAACGCCAAGCTTCAGTCTCATCAGCGCATCAGACTCCGATGGCCTGAATGATCGGGAAGGCAGTTTTTGGAATCTAAGCCGATGGAGAAGTTCCCGTCAGAGTCTCCGACACTCCTCTGTGTTGTCGAGCCCCAATGGATCTCCAAACCCGGGTCATACTCGCTCAGGCAGCGAGTTTCTCAGCGTCAGGGATCGATCTTCCCCACGAATGAGCATGGGCGTCAATGACTCGAAGCCAACTCGCGAAGAAATAGCTAATCGACGCAAGTCAGCCGGCCCCAGGCTGACATCGAGGCTATCGGTGCAAAGCGATGACAAAACTGGATTTGAGGAGGAAGTCGACACGCATGACCAGGTCACCCCGACTAAGAAACGGGTGGACTCTGGCGTCGGACGTATTAGCGACGAATCGACGAACTCCGTTGTTTAGCCACAATATTAGAAGATGATTCGGAGTTGATGTATCTCAACAGCATACGAAGGAGTTGGTGTTTTTGGGCTGTTTTTGTTTTCAGGCCTAGGCCGTATACCATCTGGAAAGGCGTCTGATGGAGTATTTGTGTTTGAAACATGTACCCATAACACACTTGGTTTTTTCTTTATCTTGAAGATGAATAACAGGAATCTGACAGGAAGAGGATCGAAAAAAGGTGGTTGGAGGATTCTTGAGAACAGGAGTATGATGAAGGCATGAGATCCGAGATCATAGCAAAGCGAGAGTTGGTTTCTCGCATTACACGGCGTTCAGCAAGCCACAGTGAACATTTACTTGTCGGAATCCTTTTATACAATGCGAAAATACCAGTCAGAAGGACAAAATCACGAAGAGCACCTTTTCATAGTGACATGGGCAATGAAGTAATGAGATCTATTTGTAGCTAACCGATGCAGGCCACCCTGCTCAAATCATCTGCTCATGCGTACCCATAGCCATTATCCTAGGCCATGATGATTTGTGCAATTGCGATGATGTTTGTTGCCCGTCTGGCGTGCCTCATTTCTAGGGGTATCCTTGCGAACCTGCGCTTTCTAACGCCGTTGCTTGTAATGTTTTCGTTCTTTGGAGTAGGAGTTCTGATTTAGAAGTTCTCGTCGGTCTTGAGAGTGTTCTCCTCAGCAGGCTTCTCCTCAGCACCGCCCTTGGCCTTGGCGGCGTAACCGCCGATAGCAGCGGTCAGCTTGGGAGGAACGGCACCCATCAGGTCGCTGTCCTTGTCGCCGTTCTCGAAGAAGAAGAAGGCGGGAATGGAGCGGATGCCGAGTTCAAAGGCAAGGTCGGGGACATCGTCGGTGTCGAATTTGGCGAAAGCGAATTTCTCGGAGGTGTGGTCCTTAGCCTGCTTGTTGAAGATGGGGGAGATGGCCTTGCAGGGACCGCACCACGAGGCGTGGGCCTGGAGAGCAACGTAAGGGGTGGTCTTGACAAGCTCGTCGAACTGAGCCTTGGTGGTGATGTTGTGAACGGGGGAGTCTGCGGGAGAGGCCATTGTGAAGGTTTGTCAAGTTGAAGTTTTGTTTGGTGTTGATGAGAAGTTGAGGGGTTTTGGTGGGGGGATTCAGTTTATATAACTATTTCGATGGAGGGGTAGAAAACAATGCGAGTTTGGATCTACTATTACGGTGGAGGGTGGATACGTTTATACATGAGTGGACAATGGATGATTAGAATTTCTAGAAGCTCCAGCCAAGGTCGCGATTAATTGATTACTGTACTGTTGTACCCGGAAGCGGGAGTCGGTAGGTGATGAACGAGCCAGGCTGTATGGCATAATCAGTCAAATTGAGAAATTTCGGAGGGCGTGGGTGACGTGCGTGGGGTTGTTTCCCCGAGTGCCGGTTACAGTACAGTGAATGGAATCTCAATTACTACCTAGACTAGGTGTAGATGCTTACAAAAGCAGTGTCAAGATGCCATGGACCTGAGTCAAAATGGAGTCAAAGCCGAGGCAAGGGGATGATGCATGTACGGTATTCAATGCGCGTCAAACCATTTGGAATCAATAGTTCCGGATCTGCGAATACGACCGATTTCGTAGATGGGGCGACGCAGGAATTTATCAGCAGCCCGATAGTCTACAGGGTATCACGTTGAAACTAGACATTAAATCAAGGCTGACTGACTTTAGACACACAAGACCTTGGGGGGTTTGAAACAAAACAACAAATACACCAATTTGTTACCAATATCAGAACTTGAATCATATTCATGAATAAATAACCATCAAGGTATAACTGTCTTATCATTCAATTCAATCCATCGCACATCAGCCATGTTTAAACTCTGCGCCGGTAAATCATCGGCTACAGCCCCGCGTCATGGCGGGGTCCCTTAGTCTCCAATTTATTTTTTTCCTGATGCCATGGAGGGGCACCAAATAAAGACGGCGATAGCAAAAATTCAGTCTTTTCGTGGTTTCAAAGTGTGTAGATCACCAAAAGTAATAACTCAACAATCAGCCCGAAATCATGTCGAAGCGAACAGCCGAAGCTGATCACGGCGATGCCCTCAAGGGCGGAGATCGCCCTGAGAAGATGGACATCGACGAGAACACCAAGGATATGGGCGAGTTCGAAGATGAGTTTGAGGACGAGTTTGAGAGCGAAGATGAGATTCTTGAGGCCGGTGTTGATGGACGACCTGATGCTGAGCGCGAGGCCGAGGAGAAGGGTGAGTTACATACTTACTGCGAAATTAAGAACATGTTCTAATGAGGAATTGCAGACGCTATGGAGGTTGATCAAGACCAAGGAACCTTCATCGTCGGACGAAGCAAACTCGAGCCCGGCCAGACGCTCGCTCCCGATCTGTCTACATACGAGATGCTGCACAACCTTAGCACACCCTGGCCATGCCTGTCCTTCGACATTGTTCGCGACAGCCTTGGCGACAACCGAAAGGCCTACCCTGCCACTATGTACACTGTTTCTGGTACCCAGGCCGAGAATGCCAAGGCCTCTGACAACCAGATCATGGTTATGAAGTTCAGTGGTCTGAGCAAGATGGACCGCGGCGACGAGGGTTCCGACTCTGAGGACGACGATGATGAGGATGCTGATCCTATCCTGGAGAGCAAGTCCATCCCCCTCAACTCTACTACCAACCGCATCCGCGCCCACCAGATGCCTAGCCAGGAGGCTGGACGACCCGGAACAACTCTCACTGCTACCATGACCGAGTCCAGCGACGTCTTCATCCACGACATTACTCCTCACCTTGCTTCTTTCGACAACCCTGGTACCACCATCTCCGCTCAGCAGAACAAGCCCGTCTCTACTATCCGCGCACACAAGAGTGAGGGTTATGCTCTGGACTGGTCTCCCCTCAACCCCAACGGCAAGCTCATCACTGGTGACAACGATGGTCTTATCTACGTGACAACACGCACCGACGGAGGCGGCTGGGTCACTGACAACCGAGCCCTCCAGGGCCACACCAGCAGTGTCGAGGAGTTGCAATGGTCACCATCTGAGGCCAACGTCTTTGCCTCTGCTTCCAGTGACGGCACTGTCCGAGTCTGGGACGTCCGAACCAAGTCCCGCAAGCCTGCTCTCACCATGCAGGTTTCCCCCGTCGACGTCAACGTCATGTCCTGGTCGCGCCAGCAAAACCACCTACTCGCCTCCGGCGACGACAACGGTACCTGGGCCGTCTGGGATCTCCGACAGTGGAAGGCCAGCTCAGACAGCCCTCAGCCCATTGCCAGCTTCAACTTCCACAAGGAGCAAATCACCAGCATCGAATGGCATCCCACCGACGACTCCATCGTTGCCGTTGCCGCCGGCGATAACACCGTCACCCTATGGGATCTGGCTGTCGAGCTGGACGATGAGGAGAGCAAGGACACAGCCGGCGTCAAGGATGTGCCACCCCAGCTGCTCTTCGTGCACTACCTCAAGGACGCCAAGGAGGTGCACTGGCACCCCCAGATCACCGGCAGCTTGGTTGCCACAGGAGAGGAGTTCAGTGTCTTCAGGACGATCAGCGTATAGAGTGCATCCTTGCACGTGGGAGTTTATTCTCTGGGAGAAACAACTAGGATAGAAAAGTTTAGACAGATTTCAAGGAGGAATCTGCTATTGATTGAACGGCATATGGCACGGCGTATAATGAAATCTACGTTATTGATTTGATAGATAAAATGAGAACGTTTGCGAATTGTACCTTACACATCCTGTTAAAATCTGTGAACCTCACTAAGTGTCTCCCCTTTTTGTGAACTCGAGATCTCATAGCCTTCATGCCAAGTCTGTAACAGCAAGGGACATTTTAGAACCCTCCCCCAGAGCGCCTTCCGGTTCTTTACTCAGGGGCTTTAGGCCAAGACGTCATTGTATATCGGGGATAAATGAGAAATAAGGAGAGGCTTGCTTTCCCCGATCAGAGTCCTGAATAGCGTTCCCCTAGCTTGCTACACCATCTCAACTGAAGTCCCATTCTAGCCACTACATTAGCCTACCGGTGTACCGCGAGGCTATGCGATAAGTGAGGAAACTGCGGATACCAGTTATACTTGATAAGAACACATCGAAATTGCATCTTTACCTAGAGCTAAGGCTAATTCCCATCTCAGGGTCCAGCCGCTAAGTGACTGACTCAGGAACTCGCACCAAACCAACCTATCGGTAGCGGGTAAAACCTCCTTGCTATTTCCGCTTTCCGGTTCAAAACGGAAGTTTTGCTTTTTGCTTTCTACAAGTGGTGGCGCCATATTGGTTGTTCGTTCTGGAAAGGGGGTGTGACTTGTGAAGCTCTTAGAAATGCGCCTCCATAGGTGGAATGTCAGCTTTGCATCCAAGAATGCTGTGCGACTATCGATATTCTTAAAACGGGGCTGAGAGTGAGAAGCTTTCAGCTGAATGTAAGCTGAGCCGCAGGGTTTTGTATACGAGATATGTGCAATTGTTCTGGAAGATGAGATGAAGGTTCGGTGCATATTTTGAGTTACAGGCCTTCTCACCCTCGTAATGGATTGTCACTGATGGGTGGACAACCAGAGACTTGTGATTGTTTACGGGATCGGAGTACACGAGTGTGGGCAAAGAAACTCTATGCATGAGATGTAACGTTGGACTTATGCAGCTTTCTTTGTGCAACATGCCATGCCATGTGAGATCTAGGCCCAGAACACGCCGTCAAACGTTAACCAATGGCACTTGTAAACGACAGGGCTGATACTTTGGTCGATCGTAGTAGACGTCATGGAATTGAGCTTCGCTTATTGCTCAATTCCTATCATTTGTCATGATAGGCCAATTCCAGATCGCAAGTTGTGAAGATGTTTTCAAGATTAAGAGACTTTGTATTGAATCAGGTCTATAAACGCTTTTAAATGACACCTTAAAACCCATCAAAATTGCGAGCTGTTGCTCTCGACGTTATACAAAAAATGTCTACATTACGTTTGTCGTTCAAGCGCCATGGAAAGGCACATAATTGTCGTTTTCTGATCCCGTAGGACCAGAATGAAAGATTGGCCAAGATTGTGGCAGAATAGCTAAATAGCTTTTTGGCATGTGTAAGAAGTAAACTCCAATTGACCGTTACGTCCAATATCAAGTTTACTTTGAGTTCTCAGCCGTGGGAAGAGCATTCTTCTTGGCCTCATTCTCCTTGACCTTAGCCCAAGCGTACACAATACCGGAAACAAAACCGATGAAGATGGCAGAGACAGATCCGACGGTAACAGGGGCGGCGAAGAAGATGAGACCAGAGACGGCGATGGGCAGCTTGTTGAGAGCACCGACCATAGAGTAGGTGGTGGAGGAGGTGACTCGGATGCACCAAGCGGAACAGTACGAGATGAAGATAGCGGCAAGACCAGAGTAGATAATACCGATCATCATGCGGTTGCGAGACTCCTCGGGGAAGTTCTTGGCCAAGTTGGCGCTGGACCAGTCCTCAGTGACGAGCGAGCAGAAGACAAGGACAGGGATGGTGAGAAGGTTGTTGTAGTACATGGCTGTTAAAAGTTAGCGAATGTCTCATGAGAGAAGGCTTCTCCAGCTGGGGTTGCCATGAGATGTATACATACTGTCCCAGTCCTTGAAGTTCATCTTGTGAATGACCTTGCGCATGCCCAGAACGTAAGAGGCAGAGCAAAAGACGTTCATGGCCATCCAGAAGTAACCGGCATTCAAGGTCGCAAGCGCATCCTCATCACCAGTGGTGGCGCTGTAGTCACCGGAGATAGCAGCACGAATATCGGCCCAAGCAGCAACGACGGAGCTGAGGACCATGAGACCGAAAGAGCTAAGGGCAGTAGGGGTGACTGAGCCACCGAACCAGAGGACCTCGCCATAAGCAATGGCAATGATGGTCAAGTTCTTGAAGATGGTGTAGACAGGCACAGAGAGATACTGCAGAGCCTTGGTACTTGTGTAAATCATACCAACAAGGACGAGCGAAATGGGGTACCCTGACGATATCGCATTAGCCATTGCCCCTCCATCATTGGCAGGAATTGGAACCTACACTTCTTAATGCGATCCATCTCCAGAGGAGCGAGGGACTTGATCAAACCGAACTGCTTGCATGCTGTGATGGCGCCGATACAGACAATTGACTAGAATTGGGACACGAAATTAGACCGCATTCCTGAAACGCGGGGCACTATAAAAACCTACCTGGACCGCAAGATAGAAGAAAGTCAAGTTCCATGAAGTGCCAGAAACAACATACTTATTGACGACGGTCATGGAAATAGAGGAGAGACAGTAGGCGAGGATAGAGAAAGGACCGCTGTTCTCAACCTTGGCCATGAAGCCTCCAGGCTGCGCGGGGAGGGCACTGGTGCCAGGGCCACGTCCAACAAGGGAGTCGTTCTCCTTCTCACCCTCGCCAATGTTGTTCTCGTTGGCACCTTCAGCCGACATGTTGGCCATCACGAAGTCATCATTCTTCTTGTTCTGGTCGGCCATGGCTACGTCGTGGAAATCGGTCGCAAACGGAGAGGTCGTAAAGAGTGGACGAACGGCAGCGAGTCGTTCAACGTTATTCAAGTCGTGACAAGAAAGTGACGAATGTCAAGAAGGGAGTACAATGATAAGCGATGGCGCGGGACAAGAAATGAAAGCTCGGTTACCAGATTAAATCGATCCGGTCAATTGCCAGAGGGCCAGCGTGGATATGCCAAGTCAAGTGGATAGGATAAAGTAGAGGATAAAAAAGAAAAAGACAAAGAAGGGTGTACAACTGCAACGGTACTGTGCGGTGCAAGCCAAGGCAATCAATTGATGCAATGGGAGAGTGAGGAAAAAGGGGGCTTCTGTCAAGTCTTGGCTCACTTGGCCATATTCGATTCGACTAAGCAGATATCCCAGTAAGGGAAGGGACTTACCCACTGTTTTCCTGGCGCCGCGTAAGAGCCATTAAGTGAGTGTGCCGTTTATATGCATATCCCCGCTACCGGAGGGTGGCCGGGGATAGTGGGTTGACGAAGGGTGTCTACATACGTCAAAGCTCGCCCACCGAAGATTTCAAGGTGGAAGGTGTGGATAAGTTCATAAATAGAATGGAAAGGGGCTACAGCGATTGGCAGTTCGAGCTCTGGCTCAGGCACAGAGTGTCGATATCCAATCCTTGCCAAGACACTTTCATGGCGCGCGTGGCGTACTTTGAACGCATCCCTCGAATCGCCCGAGTGGAGGACTTTGGGGACGACGGCAGTAGATGTACTGTGCTGTCACTGTACTGTGCTGTAGCGTACCTAAGAAGATGCACTAAGCCAGGAGATTGACTAGGATTGTGATGGGGGGTCACATCCAGTCCATTCTTTTTTATCTGAGGCCGAAGGACGTTTCGAGATGCTGTCTTTAACTTGACCTTCTCTCTTTCTTCTCTTCCATTTCATCATTGTTTTACCCTCTCTCCATCTCCCCTTGTTTCTGCTCTTTCCCTACCATCCCGTGATAGAGATATCCGGGTGTTACGCTCCTTAACCTAACTTTAACCTTAACTCTACTACATTCTATGAGTTCATCATGCTTCCAGCTATGAACCGCCTCGCACGCATCGCGCTAGCCGTGGTTGCTGTGCTCTTCGTCTTTGCTATATTGGTCTCGTACCAAGGTCCCGAGAGCTTCAAGGACCATTTACCAAGCACAGACTGGCATTGGCCTTCGAAAGGCGAGAATGCCACTATTGACGAACCCTCGAAGCCTACAGACGCTGCTGGCGCCGTCGGAGCCGGCGAAGAGGACGCCGAGGATGCAAAGGACCCTATCACCGACGTCTCCTACGATTTGACAAGAGCCCCTACACCCGGCTGCGAGAACCTCGTCAACGACCTTCAGCAGCGCCTCATCCACGCCTACCAGAAGAGACTTAAGGGAATTCGCTACGCCAACATCTGGGGTTACCTCGAGACGGAAAACAAGGGTGATGCTGCCATTTGGTCTGCACAGCAGATTCTGCTGAGCATCCTTGGTATCGAGACTATGGAAGCCTGCCGGTAAGATCTGTCTGTCTCACGTTGAACAACATCAATGATACTAACGTGATACAGCTTCATGTACAAGGATTGTGACATTGAAAAGTTCCGCAGAAAGCTTGAGGAGCATCGCCCTCACTCTGGTATCATCATGGCCGGTGGTGGTAACTTCAACGATTACTACTGGGAGGACCAACCTTCTCGAATGAACATGATCAAGAACTTCAAGAACGTCTCCATCCGAGCTTTCCCCCAGAGTATCTTCATGACCAAGCCCGACAAGATCAACCAGACTCGCGAGGCTTTCACCCAACACCACGACTTGCAATTGGCTGCTCGTGACAAGCCCAGCTACGACTGGCTTATGGACAACTTTGGTGAGACTGAGGGCATCCAAAGCGACCTTGTTCCCGATATTGCTTTCATGTGGGGTAACCGCTCCGACTTCCGACACAACACCAAGAAGACGTAAGTTTACCTTGATCGAACCTCTAGAAATAAGCTAACTCTATCCAGTCACGACATTCTCATTCTGGCCCGAAAGGACGCCGAGATTTCCGAAGGTGACTCTGGCAGCATCGAGTTCGGCGAGGGCAAGATCGACCTTGGTGGCAGCATCGGCAACGTGACATACAACAAGGTGGACTGGAAGTTCACCACGACCCCCGAAATCGACGACGACGGTGATCGTGAGGAGGGAAAGAACCAGCGTGCCTGGGCCAAGTCGGTTGCCGGCTTCGAACTCCTCGGATCCGCCCATTTCGTTATCACTGATCGTCTTCATGGTCACATTCTCTCTACTGTTATCGGCGTGCCTCACGTGTTGATGGATAGTAAGTTGGGCAAGAACCTCAACTTCCATAACACTTGGACGCGCGACTGCGAATGCACCAAGATCACCAAGAGCATTGACTCCGCCTTTGACGTAGCCCGCATGTACTTCGAGCAAGAAGTCAAGGACGGTCTCAGGGCTGTTGAGGATAGAGCCGTTGATTCTGCTGCAACACCCGTGCCTACTCCCAAAGTTGAGGCTGTCGCCGACAGCTCATCATGACGAGCTGGTTCCTGAAACCAGATTTATGTTTTACTAGCTGGCATTGGCGTGTTTTTACTATTATTACCATTGGTGTTTTTCGTTTCGCATTAAACAGTCGTCCCAACCTAAGTCGAGGGCATAGACTGTTATCTAGAGGCCACTTGTTGCCTCATCTTTTCTTGTCATGATAGGACATGGTCATTGCATAGTTCGACTCATTACATGGGTATCTGGGGCACTGAACGGGGAAAGGGACAGGGGATACCTTGCACGGCGCTACCATCTATTGTTAATTTCGTCACCGCATCTTAGATTTATCGTCTCTTATCACCGTCATGTCTACCTGCCGGTGGAAAAAGCTTGATGAGAGAGTAAAAAGGAAACATAGCAACCATTCATACATACATACATAAATATCCATTGGACGATGGATCAATGATACGAAACTGTACAAAAGAAATACAAATATAAGACCAAGCGAAACAATACAGTGAACAAAAATAACACAAAACAATGATCACGTCACTTTTTCGAGGTCTCCAAAGCCCAAGTTTTACTTTGACGGCCACATCCGGACCCAATATTCGCAAACATGATTGAGACAAGTACTGTACCTTAGACCTACCATTTGTTGCCAAGCATTTGCCCTCCTGGGATTTCTAAAGCCCTTACTCAGGTTTCACATAATCAGCTTTGGCGGAGACGATTGCCCATCTTCATCAAAGCGCTGTCCACTTTTCCTGGTCTTTTGTTCAAGACGGGCTGCATTTAAATCGGGGCTACAGGATTATGATAATGCAACGCAACACGACGCGACGCAACACAATAGCGTAACCCTGATTGCCTGATTGATAGACAGTCAGCTTCCATTGCTAGCCTTGTTGTTTCGCCGCTTACTGGCATGTCGTAGACATTGAGAAAAAGGGAGGACGGAGGCAACATGTGCCGGAAACTAAGACCTTACCCGTGAGGTTATCCGGTATCAGAAGAGTTGGCCACCGACAATCCAGAGGACGAAATGATCTGGTCATTTCATTATTTATCAGACTAGCATTTAGGATACTTCATTTTGACGCCCTAAGCCTTAGAAGATAATTTATCTGTTACCCACCTGCTTGCTTGGATCGTCCCTTGAAAGCTGAAACACTTAGTGGTGATCCTGCCTCGGGGACCTGGCCACTAAGGCGACTTTACTGTATTATCACGCGGAGGATAGGCTGACCATCTCTGCCATTAAGAGAAGGAAGATGGAAATTGGACGCAACGGCAGAAAGAGTGAGAAGGTTTATGCATGGCGGCATCAAAACCTTGATTCCCGGCCTTGGCCTTGAGCTCGCTTGCGAAGAACCTCTTGGCTTCATCTGCACGTTGGTGCTTTGTATGTATGTGCTTCAGTACAGAAACTCAGTGAACTGACTACCTACCTACTCGTTTCAGGCTCTATACATTACTCGCGAAACCATAAAAAGAGCCGAGTTGACTGAATCGAAAAGAACCACTGTCCTGGTGGTTGCAGCGGCAATTAAACAAAACACCCTAGAAGCACATAGACTTAAAAATTGGCTTATTTGTTTGAGTTTTAGTAAGGGGTGGTCACCAGCGAATGGCCTCTGGCTGCAGGGAAGTTACCCGCTATGGCAAGTTAGAAGCGGTCCATAGCGGTAATGTAGCTTGATCAACGCCTGTATTCTCAGCGTGGGGAGGGTGGAGGTGCTACGTCACTATTGTGTTAAACCCCGTTCATTGCATATCCTCTCTCCCGGACTCGACATGGATAGATGCACCCCTCAACAGCCAAATAGGCGCTACGCTAGACAGATTCCATCGCCATCTCCAGACGCCTCTTCTCACCTCATCCACTTTGCCTTGTCACAGCCGCATTCTTACACGAAATATCGGCCATAGCGATACATACCTACCATGACCAAGTGACTCAACGCTCATCATTGCCAAATTTCCAGGGCCCCTCGCTGGGCGATGGCGGTACTTCGGTTGTGATTCAAGAAAAAGCTGGGAAACTGGGGGCCCCAGGGACCGAATGGAGATTCAGTGACAGGGAAAGACATGACCCTTGAGGATTGTTACTGGATAGACTCCGACGAAGCCAAGATTGAAGCAGCGAAGGGTTAAGGCTAAAAGGCGTGGCGCCAGATTTCGGGTCTCCAGTCTCCTCATGTTCCCTGCCATGCTAACGCGTCCGATCCATAGTAAACCCCCTTTTCACTTTACACCCATGGGCAATTGGCTGCCCACTTCCCTTTCCCACCACTCCGTGTTCTCTGCATTGTATTGCATCTGCACTGCATCTCGGGGCCTGTCTCGTCTTGGCTCGGAAATAGACTACTGTGCAGCGGGATCGATCAACAAAACCTCCGGCTCACCCATCCAACACACGCCGTTTAACCTCCCCTCTCTGAAAGAGTTTCTTTTCTTGTCCTTGTTCTTGCATGCTTTCGTCGTCCGTATAGAGACCACGAATAGACCCTTGGAAGCTTCGCCTAAAGCAGCTTCAGACATTCGTTTACCCACTTTTGGACTTGTTGTTTCTTGTTTATACACTCTTCAACTCTTTTTTCTTGTCTGTCGTGTTCAATCCATTCAATCAATTCATATTCTACCTACTCAGTATATCTTGTCGACATAACATAATATATCGTCACAATGGCTGCCGCCGAACAATCCCAGGTCGAGAACCGACCCCCGCCTTCACGAATGAGAGTCGCCCTGGTGGTGCTCTTCCATTCATCATGCGCTATCTGGAGCACTATCCTTTCCAAGTCGGCGCTCAATGGCGTTGAGGCTCCCGTCACATTGCTTGCGCTGCAGACAACGATACAGGTCGTGTTACTCACTATTATTGGTGTAGCAACAGGATGGGTCAAGCTGTACCGACCTCTTAATGTATGTGATCTCACAATACCTTCAATATGAAGGACATTCTTACTGACAAATACCCAAGGCTTGGATTGCACTACTACCTCTCACGGTCGCTCGCCTCATCGGTATCTTGGCCAAGACATACTGTCTTGCTTCAGTTAACGCCTCCGTCTACCAAATCGCCCGTGGTCTCCTCTTGCCGTTCACTCTCTTCCTATCGCTGTTGGTTCTCCGACCTCGTCCTTACTATCCTCCCATCTCCCTTGTCGGCTGCGCTATGGTCATGGCTGGATTCGGAACTGGTATGATGGCCGACTACAGCCAGATGCTCACTTCAGGCAAGGGTGTTCTGCTCGGTGTCGGTTCTAGTTTCACCACCGCCGTCGAATCCGTTGTTGTTAAGCGCTTCCTCGGTAAGAGCCAGGAGGGTATGTGGCAGATGGTCTGGATGTCTAACTGCATGGCTGTCCTCTTCTACATCCCTCTCTTCCCTCTGTCGGGCGAGATGGCCACTATGAGCAGCCTGTTCACCGTCGAGTCCATGGACATCGCCCGCCAATTCCTCAGCTCCGCCTGTTTGACCGGTGTTTCGGCTTTCCTCCTTACCATCGCCACATTCATGCAAATCGAGGTTACCAGCCCAACCACCCACATGATTGTCACCGCCGCCCGAGGTGTCGCCCAAAGCTCTCTGGCTGTTGTTCTCCTCGGCGAACTTCTTACTGCCGACCGCGCGGGCAGCATGGCTCTTATTCTTGCTGGAAGCGCCCTCTACGGCTGGGCCCGCGACCGATACCAACAGTCCAAGAAGGCTGCTGGCAGCTACCAACTCCTTCCTCGCGAAGAGGAGGGTCGCGCCGAAATGGCGGATAACAAGGAAGCCAAAGACGTCAAGTCATAAAAGTTTCCTCCGCTATATATAACTACGAACACATATATACCATCTCCTTATATTTTTCCTTTTCTCGCTTTTGGGTATGGCGGCTTTATCATGACAGGTGTTTGGATGACAAGATTTTTGGCATACTATTTTCACAGCTTCTATATACCTTAGACATAGAGACGATTTACTATGCATTCTGGGGTGTATTTAGTTTAGCCCTTTCTCCCTCAGCAGTGCGCAACGAGGGAGATACTTGCAGATAAAAAATACACATAAAGATGTTTTAATTTCAGTCTCGCCTGGTGACGTTGCTTGTGGAAGAATGGCATTGACCATGGTGCTCAGACCACAAGTTTTTAGAGTTTGTTGTTTGCTCGAAAACCCGACCCTCCATTGGTGGCGTCGTAATGGCAATTCTAGAATGATTAATGATGCGCGATTTCTCTCTTCCACATCCAAACTGCCGGATCCGATGGCATCACGCAAGGGAGATAGAAGAATGCAGCCTGCGGGAGCATGGTTTTTGAGACTCCCGCCAGCCACCCGACACATAAATTAAATCAAGACACTCAACTCCGTCTGACATCACTGGAATGCAGGAGGAAATCTGGAGTTTAAGTGGTATTTCATAGTTGTATTTTTTGCTTTCTTTTTCCTTTTAATGTACTTGAGAAATCGTATATTAAGAATGTTGTTTGTTCATGCATGGGTGATAATAAAATAAAAACTCTCGAATCATAGAGCCGCTCATCCTTGATTCCCGATCATGTGAAATGGTGCCGCGTAATTGTACAGTTAAAAACAAGATAGCAAAAATCCCCAGTAAAATCATGTCTAGTTGCGCGTTTACCCTTTCCCTAGTTCCTCTCGTACTTCTCAAAGGCCTCCTCGATCCAGGCCTTGGTGTTGACATGGTTCTGCTCCATGAGGTTCTTGGCAAGATCCCTCACGGCTTGTCTTCGCTTGAGGAAACCGTCTCGGTCGTCAATTACGCGCTCGATAACGTCCATCTCGCCCTCGCCCGGCTTGGCAACCCAGGTCACCTCGCGAGGCAGGTAAGAGTAGGCTTTGAGAAGCTCTTCTGACGCCACGATGGGAGCACCGGCGATCAGAGAGGCGGGGATAGTGGAAGAGGCCTTGCGGTCGAAATATGTGTTAGAGGCGAACGCAGGGAGAAGCGCGAACGACTTGGAAAGCAGTGTGTAGAAGTCGGGGTACGAGAGACCCTCGTCGAAGAAGACTTGGTTCTTGACTTGGTCGGGAACGGGGGGAGGAGTGCCGTGTCCGATAACATGAAGGCTGACATTCTGAGATTTATGGCCTTCAGACTCCTCACCGGCCTTTCGAACGACGCTGCCGAGATGGTTGAAGATGCCGTTGTAGTCACGTCGGCCAGAAGAGTAATCGCCCTGGAGAGACAGAGAAATACCAGGCTGCAGATCAGGATCGGGGATCTGAACAGGGAAGACCGGAGGAATAACTCGGGTGGTGAGGTTAGCAGCCGTGTGCCACTTGGGAATGGTGTCGTTGAGGAAGAAGTCAACGGTGTGCTGGCTCAGACCGACAAAGTCGACGCGCTCGTGCTCAGCAAAGCTTCGAACAGCCTGGACGTACTTGCCCTGGGCCCATCGATCGGCGTGGTGGATCGTGCAGAACAGATGGGTGCTAGCGGTCTTGAGAAGGTTGACGATAGGATCGGCGCCGCGGTCGAGATCAAACTCGCAGGTCGTGGATACGAGAATGTGAGGGGGGTTCTCTGTGACGGCGCTGGCAAACTTATCCCACTTGTTAATGGTGATGTTGGCGGGAAGGCTGAAGTTGCCCATGATGTCCTGCATGCGGAATCGCTGGTTGGCGAAGAAGACTTCGAGCTGGGAGCCTTCTTGGCCACCGAAGGCGTGCATGAGGGCAGCGGCAACTTCGTCGTGAGTACCGGAGGACTCTACGAGCATGATGCGCAGAGGGTCGTCGGGGTTCTTTGCGGGTGCCTTCTTGGTGTTGCCCATCCATGAGGAGAGGACGCCATCGTCGGTGGTGAAAGGAATCTTCCAACCGTTAGGAGGTCGAGGAATTGATGACCAGGTGTCTTCGCGGAGGAAGACAAAGAAGACGACGAGTGCAAGAAGAACTGCGACCCAGAGCAGCGAATAAAATCGCCGAGGTAGAGCGACGGCCATTGTTGTGAATTATTTGGTTGTTCCTTTTTTGAACTTTGCTTTGCAAGATTGAACGAACGATTGAGCTTGATTGATGGATGTTGAAGGAGAGAAATATCAAAACATCACAGCCCTCGACCGGCGGGAAAGGATGGAGAGGAAGATTGAAAGTCGGAAGTTCGTTTCAAAGCGGCGACAGAAAAGAAGAGCCAAGAGATATTTTTTCGCCTTGCCTGTGCTTACTGCGAGGGGGGATGGGGAAAAGGTAAGGTTGGACAGGACCAAGAACCAAGAACCAAGAACCAGGAGGGGGGGAATACGGATAAGACAGGAAGAATTATGAGGATAAGGTAGGAATAAAGGATGGATAATAGGGGGTCACAGTACTAAATGTGACGCGCAAGCGGGGCTCCAGCGGTACTGGAGGAGAGTCTGGACTGGACGGACTGACGAACAGTGGGAGTCGAGTCGAAAGGAGCCAAAAAGTTTGTCGTTTGGATGCAAGAGAGCGGGAAGCAGCGTAAGAAAAGGAAATGATTGCATATGAGAATACGCCTCATCCAATCCTTTGTGATTATTTATCCTATCATGGATCTCCCGTCGGTACTGTGCCCAACTATCTAATCTTTAGCGGTTTGCGCCAGCCACCCGCCCGCTCTCCTTTCTGATACTCTAGACGCAGGTGGCTTCAATAGTTTAGTTTCCGGGCATTTAAGCCAAAAGCGATGATCAGAACCCCAAGATTGGGAAACAATAGAAAGGATAAAAAGATCAAGGATCGCTGTAGGAAAACCTTGGTAATTGCGCTGCGATGGAAGGTTCAAGGGGGCGTTGGCTTAGGGGCCCACGGGGGTCCCATCGAGAACCCTTCAGGGGCTGGGCAAGCGTAGGAGGCGGGCTGCCACAGAAAAAGCTTGGTATAGCCCGCAGGAAAGTTTGGACCTGTCAAACCTTGGATGGCGCTACGGTGCAAGGTACAGGGCTTGTGCCAGTTCGCACCATCGCGATCAAGCCAGGAACTGATCAATACATATATCTCGAGTGCTTTCCTCGCCTCGCTTTTTGCTTCGCCTTGTAACTTGTTTCTAGTTATTGTAATGGTTTCTTTCAATCACTCCACCTGGAAAGTGATACAAAAAGCGTCGGAGGCTTGAGACAGAATCTAAAAAGAACGTGTGGCTCTCATATCATATCGACAAACCACACTAGAGATGAAAGACACGACCCAGGATCCATCGCCAAGCTCTTTAGTCGGAATCCGGACTACCAAGGCTGAGAAACTTCAATTAAAGATAGTGCTTTGCTATCCGTAATTACATCGATCCAAAATGATGCTGTCAGAGACTTTAGAGCTTGGACTGTTTCATCATTTATACCGCACTCGAAACCTATAGTCGGGATGCATCGCAGGGTGTCAGAAGAATTGATCGTCATAAGTATAAGAGACGAAACAGTTTAGACATCTTATAGCAATTTACGCTACTTTACTCTGGTAGCCTAAGCTTTAGAGGATATCTCTTCTGTTACTTACCTGGTTCTTCATGATATGGATGTTTAACTGTTTCCAACGATTCGTACCAAGGGCTTGGATCCGCTTGGCTAGTTTTTCACCATCAAACTACAGCGTCAAGATGGAGAAGACAAGCCAATAGTCCTACCTACCTATCCATCGAAATAAGGGGCTCAACCACCAAAGAAAGGTCCCAGCTAGATATTTGCATAGCTTAATGTAATGAGTGCTCTCGCCTTGTATGCTGATAGAGGCATTTTACTCCGACCGTAGGGCTAAGGCTACAATCCATCGACGGCACAGAAAAACGTCCGATTGTTGCTGCTGCTTCCTTACTTGTGCAGATCTAGAGCAACTCCACGAATCCTTCCATCTTACGCAATGATATTCAGGAGAAGCGACCCAATATTATACAGTTGCAGCTTACAAGCTTATCAGACAAGGTTATTGGGTCTTTGTTGAGCTTAAACTGTCGATTCCGTTTGAGCGTTGAAGATCTTTGTCACAGAGTGTCTCGGTAAGCAAGGTGATACAAGTTACAACCAGAAACTTGAGATGACCTCTTGTCTGCGCTAAATCATTTCCGTCCCTTGTTCATTAAACAACGGTCCGCCCCAATTTACCCGTCACCCCTTTTTATATTAGATGTGTGTGGCCAATGGAACGTAGCCTCATCCTTATTCGCGCTTAGATTCTTTAAAAACTCGGTGTGATAACGAATGAGGAAGTTGATCTTTGAGCGGGATTAACTAGCAAGGGGGGAGCCAAATTGGCAGCCGTTGTTGTGAAACTTGTTCACTGCTTTTTTCCATTTCATTTTTTCGCCTTCTTTCCCCCTGTCAGACTGAGAAAAGCACCTAATCTGCATCTGCACCATCTGTAGACTTGGCAGGCATGGGGGGTTCAAAGTCAGATGGCGCTACCTCTATGCGGTGTATAGTGATGATCTTCAACAGAAGCATATGCGCATATGCGTAATTGATACAACCACTCTCTGTTTTGGATCCTGTCAAGATACAGTGCAGACTGCAGCACTGTAAATTCTGTGGCAGTTCTGCTACTGCTTCGCCCTGGCAACTTGTGTGGCTTGCATGCACTTTGACCACTAGAAAACATCCCTGACCCTCTATAAAAAGGTTCGTGTCTTTATTTGGCTCGCGTCGCCACCGTTTGCGGCATCTAGAAATATCTGCGCCTTGTGATTGGAGGACCAACAAGATCTGGCGCAATCACCAACGGCGGAAGCGAGAGGCATAGTGACGACTACTGAGAGGAGAAACATTGTGCGTATCATGTTGTTTCTACGGGAATATCACTGAATAGTGGATGTTCGCTGGGAGACCGGGTGAGGCGTCTGCAGCATTCCAGAAGACTGCAGCAACGCGCGGTGTCTTGTCTTGTTTTATTCGTCACGATTGATCATGATGATTCAATGCTTTTTCGTCACCTGATTCAACACACTCTATCCAGATAGAGGCATAGCTACACATGTGGGTAACAGAAGAATCGTCCTCTGGAGGCATAAGAGACGAAATAATTTGGTCACTTTATGCTGGCTTAGACTAGCACTTAGGCTACTTTATTATGGACAGCTGCACCAACTGAATCTACACTCAATTCAGATAGAGGCAGTAAACACTCGCTAGGCGGCCGCTTTCATCTCCAACCTCGTATTACTCGGCTTCTCGGCCGAGTTCTGGATACTTCTTGTTTATACGGAATTCCTCACGCCAGTCCCACAGCTTCTCTCGTAATCAACCCGCCGCCATTCTTAGACAGCCCGCATGGTCTGCGTGTATAGACACTCGTCATCAGACCGCATGCATTCGTTCCCAGGGAATGATATACGTCCCGCTGTCAATGTCCGGGGATAACCCGGCGTAAAACTTCGTGTACGAAGAACCACATGGTCCCCTCGTACGAGCGGGTTCTGCGCTACGTCGTCGATGCCTTCGTTTCCCTACCACCGGCGACTGCCCAGGCGTAGTTGAGCACGCGATCTGGAGAGCCCCTCGAGGTTGATCCTTTTAGTGGGAGACCCCTGGTCCGTCACGATGCTCGTCTAGTCGGTTGGTCGGCAGCTGCTATACGAGATTTTGATATGAGCAGAGGAGTGTGGCTACGCAGTGAATTTACACCATTGGTTCTAGACCTTTGGCGGTTCTGGTTCCTCGCGAGACGCGATAGCCGCCGCACCAGTCCAGTGGAGTAACTTGACCTCGCTTGGATATTGGGAGAAGGGGTTGCGTTAGTGATGTCTTTCATTGCTTGCATATTAGAGCCATGTATGTAGTCCTTGTAAGTGAATATGGATAGTAGTGTAAGTGTCCTGCGAACCTGAGGTTAAGTATGCTGTAGCCCATGCTTGTATGAGATCTTGCGGCGCTCAAACCCACGCTTTAGTTACCTCCTGTAATAGTGAACACTCTTTCATATTGGAAAAAGGTATGCACTTTTGCCATTCGTGGTATAAGTGGGAAAAGTTAGACGTATGAAGCTTTAACGCGCATATTTTATTCAGTATATACCGTTCTAAGAACGACAGTCTAGAGTCAAACAAGCAAGCCATCATATCTATCTTGAGGCTATTCATAATAACCTCTTTTCTATCTATTAAACAAAAGAAACATAGTCCGTATATCCAATCTTTAACTAAAGATAGTACTGTTACTTCCCATACCAGGGCCGAATTCCATCATACCCAACAACGATCTCTGCCTCTAAACCACAAGGACTGAGAAGATCACCAGGATTTCCAGACCATGAGTGTCTATTCTATCTCAACATATGTTCTCATCTCTCTGTAGTATGCAATGCCCACTACAAGAAATCCCAGTTCCAAGTCTCATCAAGATCCATCAGAGCCTCCCAATCAACCCCGTCACCATCTCCGTTCATGTTAATCTTCCCAAAAGAGTCGCCCTGTCCAAGATCCATACCCCCACCTGACTGCTCCCAAGAAGGAAGATCATCGGACGCAGTACCTAATGCAGTTGACAGTCGTTCCACGGACAAAGCACCATTGTCTGCTGGTGGAGAAATATGAAGTGATGAGTCAAACGTCGATGTGTCGATGAGGGGATGGTTAACTGGTATCTCAGACGATTCTTTGCCCGCGTTGTCGAGCATCTGTTGTACGTCTGAGTTGACACGATCGCCTCGTTGGAGTGTATGCTGTGCCTTATCGCCTTGACGCTTCAGTTCTTTCTCACGATGTCGTTCTGCCTCTGCGTATAACTCCATGAGTGATTTCCATAGATATCCTGTCCTTATATCCTTTGTCGCTGTATCTTTCAACGCATTCGTAGCAGCCCATGCATCTTCCAGTTCGTGCGTCCAGGAATGGTGGGAGACTTGACGCAAGAAAACACCCATCGCATGCCATGGCATCTGTCCTTGCAACTGCCATCTCCACTTCACCCATGAAGGTTCTGACTTGAGGAGCTGCACGCAGCGAATGACTTCAATAGACGGGCGGAGGAGTTCATCTGTTGGTTCTTGATCTCTTGATTGGCGACGGATGACGAGCTCAACTTTGGCGAAGAAGAGCTTTGCCATTGTTCTGATGAAAGAGTCCCATGCTAGGTCTTGCTGAAGGTGTTGGAAATAGGTTTTTTCGACCTTTTCTTTCAAGGCGTTGAAGAGGCCGAGACGTGTTTCGATAGAGCTTGTCTTATCTGCCCGAATTGCTTGTGTGAGATACCATAGCTCGCAACGAATGAGGCAAAGAGTTACACCTGTTGAGCCCTGGTCTGGGTTTGGGATCTGTGCTGTTGAACCGTCTAGATCGATGTCGTTTGAGTTGGTGGGGAGTCCTGTGCTGAAAGATGCGGGTGAGATGGATAAGTCAGAAGCATCAGGTCGTCGACTGGCTGAATCTATGAAGCAGATTTGCCACCATAGGCGACGTCTGGTTTCTCTTTGAAGCTGGTTGTATTGGTTCTCGTCGCCTTCACGATGAAGACCCGCCCCCTTCGCTAATCTTAGAACCAACCCTGTCAACGGGAAGACTTTATCTTGAGCGCCGATGTTGGGCAGCAAAGATAGATATATGACCAGCGCTTGAACAACAGTGATGTCCTTGGTCGATAAAAAGTTGGCGCGTGCAAGTGCTTGCTCTGTACCGAACTGATATCGCTGTAAGAGCTGACCCTTGGGTGTGTTGAAGTTGAACGACACCGTCTCCTCATCCATAGACGTGATCGCCGCAAGTGAGATGGCAAACAACAAAGCTTTTGTAGCAGTCCCACACGAACTGAAGTTTCCCTTTAATTCCTTAATAATCTTTTCCACGGTCGGGATATGTAAGATCTTGATGAAGGGATCAACATTCTCAACATAAGCCTGCCAGATGAACAGCATCTGAGAAGGCATGGGGTTAAGACCGTCGAGAGCTTTGGCGAATTCTGCACTCCCAAAGACAAAGCCTAGATGGCTAAGAGGTGCTGGCTCTCCGTTTGTAGATGGTTCAGTCATGATTGAGTCGTCTGAGTAGTCTGCTACGTCGTGAACAGCTTGGAGAATATTATCGACCTATAATTATTAGCGAGGTGCTCTGAGTGGACAAGGGAAAGTCAAGTTACCTCTGAGCAGAATACAGTCCAAAACCGATTCCCAACGTGAAGTCCTCCGTCTTTGTCAACGACAAGTCTTCCGAAATCCTCATTTTCTTCTACCTCTTGTTCCTCGGCCGAGTCAGTCAGTTGAACAGATGACGTAGCCCAAGAAGAGTCTGTACCAGAAGCATCCACAGTTCTCTGACCCATCATCACCTTGGCCCCATTTTCATCCTCTACCTGCGCCGCAAGCTCTGTAACGACTGATTCGAGACGTCGGAGACGGCCGAGTAATTCTGATTGCTTCTGCGCTGGTGTTTTTGAGTCCGGAGGGAGGCGAGAGCGGCGAGGAATGCGACCTGTTACCGGGAAGTGACATTCTATATTATTTTTGGTGCAATTGGAACATGGATCTTTTCTATCGCACCGGATTTTGCGATGGCGACAGATTACACAGCTCCAGATTTTGAGGCCGGTATCATTTTGAGAGGTTGATGATGATCGGTCCATCGGGGGTTATAAGCTCCGACAATGAAGGTCTATCTAGTAGGCTGCGACAAGAAAGAGGCTACAATTCAGCTGGGATATGATATCGGTGCTTGAACTGAAATCAATTGAACTGAGTTCAACGAGGCTTGTTGCTGTATAATCAGCTTATCAGGTCGTTGAGGAGAAGACATGCGGCCGATCGGGGATCGGCTACGGACACGGCGTTCGGACAAGATCCTTGTCGCCGGACGCTGCTCCTCCCGAGTGCGAGTGGACGTACCGAAGCCGCTAACAGGAATACAAGTGCTTACACCAAAGATGAGTGGTTACTATTGTATCTTCCAATAGACCAGTCTCAAGGATAATCACAACTCCAGCACCGACACCGAGCATTTATATTGTATATAAGTAAGATAGACAGAAAGCAAAAGCTATATACTGTAAATAGCACCATTCTCACCTCTCAGATCCTCAAAATGTCAAAGACAGTAGTAATCCTCGGCGCAGGCTGGGCAGGCCTTCCACTCGCTCACAAACTCCTCAAATACACCCTCCCCAAGATCCCATCCCTCAAAGTCATCCTCGTCTCACCAAACTCTCACTTCTTCTGGAACGTCGCAGCTACTCGAGGCATCATACCCGATGCTATCCCCGATCAACAACTATTCTTACCCATCGAGCCTGGCTTTGAGCAGTATTCTAAGAAGAACTTTGAGTTTGTCCTTGGGAAAGCATATGGGGTTCACCCAGATTTAAGCACTGTTCGTGTCATCTGCAATGACAGCTCTGGGAGGGAGATCAAGTATGATGAGCTGGTTATTGCGACAGGCTCATGTCTAGCTAGTGGCCTTCCATTGAAACCTATTGGGACGCATCAAGAGACTATATCTGCTTGGAAAGAACTAAAGGGTCAAGTCGGGAATGCCAAGTCAATTGTTGTTGCTGGTGCTGGCGCAACGGGAAGCGAAGTTGCTGGAGAGTTGGCCGCGAGATATGGTTCATCCAAGGATATCACCCTCATCATCAGCGGCGATCGACCCCTTCAAGGGGCACTAGACTCTGTTCGAACATCCATTGAGAAAGATCTCAAGACTCTTGGTGTCAAGCTTATTTATAAGACACGCGTCAATGAAGCGAAGAAGAGTGCAAATGGTCAGGAGACGGAACTACTCTTGTCAACAGGAACGATCCTCAAAACAGACCTTTACCTACCTCTCCACGGCATCAAACTCAACACATCTTTCGTTCCCCCTTCATTCCTAGACTCAGAAGGGAATATCAATCTCGACGAGAAGATGCGGGTTGTCGGCACAAATAACATCTGGGCCATCGGCGACGTGGGCAACATTGATCCCAAGCAATTGACCATTACGGACAACCAAATCATCCATCTCGCAACAGCCTTGGACGCAGTTCTTACAGGACAGACTGATGTCAAGAGGTATGAGCCTGAGACTAAGAAGATGCTCTTTGTGGCGTTGGGAAAGAAGTATGCGACAGGGCAAATTGGGAATTGGAAGCTGTTCTCGTTTCTGGTGTCGTGGGTCAAGGGGAGGAAGTTGTTTGTTGATACGGCGGAGGGGTATGTCGGGGGGAAGCATCTGAGGCATGCTTCCATGTAAGAAGTGACTATGTCCATATGTTTCTTTTGTTGTGTTATGGCATTTATGTAATATCATGTCTTCCTGTATAGAGGCCAGCTCATTTCTTGTCAACGAGCTTGCCTAACCTTTCTTATAGACTAGTTTGAGTAATCAATGAATTGCATGAACTGTAATATAATGCTAAGTCAGTGTTATTCTTGATATCAGACCCCTTCGACTGATCACAGATGTTCTAGAAGACTCTTTCGAGTATTCGTGGCCAACTCTGGGAAACAGGATTGTGACGGAGACTTCCAAGTCAGTTCTCCACGACCGCGCCAGAGCTTATGGATTTGTAATTGATGAATGAGAGAAATACTACCTAAGCTACTCTTTGATACACTTTAAGGGTAATTATTCGTGACTGGGGCTGCGGTCAATTGACCGTCAGCGAATACGCTCAAATACGCCAGAATACGCTACCGCAGCCAGCGTATTTCTGACAGGCGCGATGAATACGCCAATTGACTCCGCCAAAGCTTCGGATAAGCTGTTGGAAAGTTCTTCTGGAGATTTAATTCTGACGCCGAGATCTTATGCTTATTCAAGTTCCGAGATTGGGTTGCGGACCGCTCTTAGACTGCATGCGTGATGCTGCGTATAGGGCGGATGCTGACTGTGGCTCAGAGCTTTGTTTTGTCATCTACACAGTTGATACGCGTTGAAGAGATGAGTTCGGACATTTTGGATGAGCACGAAGCTGCTTTGTATGTGAGAGATTGAGTATATAAGTCAATATGTGGTCTCGTAGTTGTCGTTCAAACAAGCAACTCATCACTCAACAGCTTTCACTCAGCCAGATCTACAACTCATTACAACTGCTACTTTCGCATCTCTACGAAAGACTCAATTACCACTTCGCAACCATGCTTTCTCTCACCAAACTCTCTGCCATTACTGCCTTCCTGGCCTGCTCGCCTCTGGCGACTGCAGCTCCTCAGGTCAAGGACAATTCTTCTGAGGCCAGCCTGACTACCAAGTTGAACCAGGCCGACAGGTGATTATGCTCCCAAGCCTCTGCTCAAGACATCTCTAACAAACGGATAGTGTGATTGATCGCTACAAGCTTCTCCCCGAGGACAAGGATTTCCTCTTCAGCTTCAACAGCACCCCACTTGGCATTGCCAACAGCAAGAGCTTCCCTGCTCTCACCGGAGCTGGTCTCAGTCTTGCCCTTGCCGAGATCCCAGGTATGCATCCCTCTTATGCTATAATAACCCAATATTGACTGTTTAGGCTGCTCCATGATCACTATTCACGCCCATCCCCGGGCCGCCGAACTCTTCGCCGTGGTCTCCGGCCAAGTCTACACCGAAGCCGTCCCCGAGAGCTTCGTCCTCAACAGCGAGAATAAGCCCCGCGTGATCCGCAACGAGATCGGTGCTGGCGAAGCGACAGTCTTTTACCAGGGCACCATGCACTACCAGATCAACACCGACTGTAACCCGACTGTGGCGTTGGCTGCCTTTTCGTCTGAGGACGCGGGCTTTACTGGCATTGCAGCAGGACTGTTTTCTGTCAAGGATGACGCCCTGGTCAATACTTTTGGGGAGGTAATTGCAGGGGAGGATATTGACAAGTTCAGGGAGGGAATCTCGAAGCAGGCGGGTATGAAGGTTGATCAGTGCCTCAAGAAGTGTGGGAAGCAGAAGCGCCAGTTCTAAGTGTTGGCTGGTAGCTGTTGATTAGTCTGATGGTGTTTCTCTCTCCCTGTCTCTCTCTTTCTTTCTCATATTCTATATTCCATCTATGGAGTACAGAACCAACTTCTTTGACCGCAATTGGAATGACTTAGTTTAGGTTTTCGTTTAAAACCAGAATATTATTGAAGGATCATGCAGTCTTGACTCGCAAAAGTGGTGTCAGCTAGGATCCGAATCCTTCAAAGGTCACCGTTCCATCACAACGTCATATTAAATTAAACAGGGTATCATGCCCCATCATAAGGCTGACAGGAGCTGGATCCAATTGAAACCGTCACATCGCAAGATGCTCAGCCCCTTTTTGCTTAATTATAAGCTTAAACTGAACCCAAGCTTCCTTGGCTGGACCCTCCATTCCTATCCTTCCAGCCCTATTACTGTATCCTCTCAACGAAAGTCAACTCTCTATAGCTTACCACAACTTGCATCTATCACTTGTAGGTCTTGTCACTTGTAAGAATATTATACGATTTACTAATTCAGACTGCAAAGCTCTGCAAACCACACACTCTTGTAAAACTACACCATGGTAAACCAACAAGGCCACGCAGCTCAAGTGCTGAAGATGCAGCAGGATGAGAATAAACCAGAATACGATGGCAGAGAACGAAAGAGATTCTCAAGCGTGGTTCACGCATGGGCTATTCTGATTTTACAGGTGGTTGGGTGCGGCAGTGTGTTGTCTTAGTATGTAAGGTTGTTGCATGGAGATACATTGAGATTAGTGTTGGGTGCGTTGCTTTGACGATGATGCTATTATCGATGAATTGTATGATGGTTCTGCGATAGCTTTTATTGTTTTTCCTTATTGAAAGGCTCAACAATATTTTCAGCTGGACTGAATGATGCCGCAGTCCACTGTACCATAAGTTTTATACTCATTCATGACCCAGTAATAATTAAATTCCCTCTTTCCGAATCAGTTGCGACGGAGTGACTCAAATATCTGAATATGGATTGTGGCTTGCGATCGGATGAACTCGTCGCCGACTCGAGCGGAAGCAAAGCGGAAGCTATTCGCAAACAAACATGGGTTGTTCAGCTTACCCGGGTAGAACCGGACTCGTCTAAGTCACCTGGTCTACACTTTGACCTGAAGGATTTACGGTTAATTATCTTTCACCTGATGAGTCAATTTACAGTACGAGTATAAAAGCCAGTTATTTCACCAGATAGCATTGATTAGTTAGCAATTGAATACATGCATATTCACCATGGCATTTCGCAAAATACTCACAACATCCTTCGTGGCTGCAGTCACCGCAGGTGGCGTCTACAGTTTCACAGTCTCCCGACGAGTTTCATTAGTCGACAAAAATCTTATTACTCGATCGACAGATATTCCAGAGACTTTCAAAAATTCAAGGTCTGCTGGAGAGATTGTCAACGCGAGAAAGCATGTGTATCACTCTGACTGGCGATGGATCACACTCGATATTCCCGCTGAGCATCATGATGTGTCCGATGAAGTTCTGTTAGCCAAGTTTGTCAAGGGTTTCTTTGGGGGTGCCGTGCTTAGACCTGAGCGATTGATTTTGCAAGCGGCTGGACTTAACCTCGTTCGATTTTCAAGTAAGTATTTGTTGAGTTATGCGAGTGCAGGAGTTAACCTTAAATAGAAGAGGCACCGGTTCCGAAAAAGACGCTTTGGCACTTGAAGGACATACCAGAAACAACAGTACTGCCTGTCAACTCAGTACTATTCGGAGTCTTCCAAGTCCTCGACTCAAAGATTGCCCACCCCAAAAATACCAAAAATTTGACTAAACCCAGTGAAAGCTACGTCGACTTTGGCTTCGGAAATGATAGCATGGAATTTGCTGGAGTTCACAGGTTTTCTGTCGAAAGATCGAAATCAGACGATGGTCAAGGGCAAAAGATCCAGCTTCATTTTCAGCACGTTACATGCAACCCCACCGTCAACAAGCCTTTGAGCCCGCAGTTTATGTTGGGATTTCATGAGATGTATGCTGACTATTTATTCAGGGATGGTATCGCGGAGATAAAAACATGGATGGGACAATCTATCAGTAGATAAAGTATCAGAAAAGCAAACAGACTTTCTCCCTTCGGACCTCATGTATTGACAAAGACTCTTCCAGTCGATGTCTTCCCTCTCATCGACCCCAGGTTTCTATATTGAAACAGTAGGCAGAGGACCCTCAGGCAACTTGCTACCAGCAATATTACACTGCCTAAACAACCTCACCTCATCCTCAGCAAACGCCCCAACCACGGAATGAATCAATCCCCGGTTGTGGAAAAGAACGAAATCTCCTTGCTCCCAATCATGAGGATAAACCCTCTCAGGAGAAATGCCAGGTCGCTGAAGATCATGAACCCGCTCTCGCACCTCAGCAAGATCCTCGATAACCGTACCATCAGCAAGATGCAGCTTTCGCACAGCTGAGGGGTGCACCTGAAGAGCTGAACGGCCTGTAACAGGGTTACGCCAGCACATGGGGAGAATCTGGATCTTGTCTTCCTCAATAGGAGGGAGCTTGTCAAGCGGGATTTCTTTTCCTTCAGACACCAAGCCCAGAGCGTCGGAGCGGGACTTTGCACCACTCATCCACACGTACGGATGCGGAGCATATTCCACTTTCGTGGTGCGCACAAACTCCTTATCCGCAGGCGAGAGTCGGTCGTACATGGCGTAACCAGACACAAAGGCTGTTGTACCAAGTGGCACAGTCATTTGCTCGTCTGAGCCATCGTCATAGACAAGAGTTTGCTTGCGACCTCCCGGGACACGAACGGCAAGGAGGGATGTAACGACGGGAGGAGCAAGGCCGTACAGAGCAGCGTCAATGTGCCATCTGTAGAACCGTGTGAAATCCAGATCTTTCTCATCAGGGATAGTAGTAGCGTGGAACGTCCGGTGATGGGGATGCCTGAGCTGGATATTCTTCAGACCTTCATACTCTTCCACAAAACCGTTGCCGATAACTTGGACTTGGGGTTGATGAGGAATAGTCTTGAGATCAGGATGAAGAATAGAGCGCTTCGCATCAATAGTCTTCCCATGGCCGTACGAGCCTGCAGCTTCAGGATCGAATCGCTGAGTGATTTCGTACTGAGCTTTGGGAGAGACGTGGTTTTGGTTTTTGAAGACGAGGACTTGATGGGTGAAGAGGGCTTCACGGATTACGTCAAAGTCGGCATCTGGGAAAAGTCAGTGGTTGATCATCAAAGTAGAGTTGTATGCCTTACCAGAGGAGGTTACCGATTTCACGGGTATTCTCCCACTATTTGATGCTTCAATTGTTCACTGTGACTCATGTTTTTATCTTACCGGTGATGTTTTCGATGTCGGCGTTTGAGACGATGGCCCCGAAATTTATGGACGACTCAGCGGATGCAGAGATGGGCGTGATGGTTATTTGAGATGCCATTGTGTTGGATGTTTGATACAATTTTGAGAGAATATTAAACTAATGTCTGGACAAAGCTTGATGAGGTCTTTTATAGCATTCTTTGTACTCCATAGCTAGAGCGGGTCGCGGCGGTCGCCTATCTTGGTTATCTGTGCCACTATCTCAGCATCGGCGTTCTTATCTTTGTTGTATCGTAATCTCTTATCGATGTCCGTGATTCTAGCTGACACGTAAATCAACGATACTTTTATACATTCATTTGGGTCGAATCCCTTCAGGTTATATGGCACCTAGGCTTGCAGCTCAAACTGGTGTTGTGCAAGGTCAGGTTAGAGTTGTCCGGTTTACTCGTACTCGTTAGTGACACAATATTGCCCAGTCAGCAAGGCTTGTGAAGACGGCTAGGCTTGCAGACACAGCTAGACTTGCAGCTTCCATTGTAGCGATATGATTGAATTTGTCCTTGCTATGATCACTGATTGGATTGTTTTGAAGAGTGAGACCCACTCAAGCAATGTACCTACCCTGTTGTGAGTTGACATTGGATGCTATGGCAGTATGGCTCGGTATTTCTGTGAGGCAGTTGGCATTGTTAGAATGTGCTTGCTAGATAGCAACTCCAATTACACGTTGAGCATATGGCACGGTGGGACTACCACGGATGTTTTCGTGTACGAGAATAACAAACTCTCAAGTCAACGTCACATTTGCCGCACAGCTGCAGAAGGGCGGTTTTATGATACTCAACAGACGCCTGCTTACAGAGAAAGACGCAAGGAATAACGAACATGGAATCTCCAATCTCAACAACGTGGCCTTGTTAGTCACTCGTGCAATGGATGGTGCAATCGCACTATCATCCGTTTCAAGAAATAGTCCAGATAATCATCCGCTTCTCGAACGACTTGGCGACAGGTCAATGTTAGACAGCTTCCATTTTAACAATAACGCCATAATCAATTGACCTCTCTAATTGGTCGGTTTGGCGTTTTGGTTTCTTAGCCTATTTCGTGAAGGTGGTAGGAGTGGCACTCCGTGATATTGTGCCTTGAGCACGCAATTCGATCCATACCCCAGATCGACCAAGACACGCGTTGGAATAAGGCGTCATACTGTAATGCGGGGAGAGTGTGACAAAGCTGGGGAATGAAATATATATAAGAGGAATTTATCACCTGTGAGTTTTATTGATTAAATCAAAGTAATTCTATAACGTCTTCTTGATCACTTATACCAGCACATCACCACCAAAATGGCCCCAGGTGCTCTTATCGACGAGACCTCTCACATTCCTCTACCACAAGCCAAAGATGCTGAAGCGCCTCGTGCTATCTTCCCTGATGGCATTCGTACATCAGGTCAACATCCTCCTCTCTATAACGCTCTGAAATCCTACTCTCAGTTCCCAACGGAGATTACAGGGCCTACGTTATGGAAGAAAGAAGACTATGAGAATAAGCCTGAAAAATGGACTCATCCTTTCACGGATGAGGAGATCCAGGAACTCAGTGATACTGCTGATGCTTTTATTGCAAGTGGCACACCACTCACTGGCATCTCAAAGGTACAAAAATCAACTTCATCCTATCATCAATCTTTCACTAACACCTTCAGTCCAACTTCCCTCTTCCAAACCTAGGAAAAGTCCTCCAAACCCTTAGAGAAGACCTCCTCAATGGTAAAGGATTCATTCTCTTTAAGCGTTTCCCAGCAAACCAATGGAGTCCCCTCAAGAACGCAGTAGCATACATGGGTCTCGGCACATACATCGGCTACTTCGTCTCACAAAACGGTCTAGGCCACGTCCTTGGCCACGTTAAAGACGTAGGCGACGACGCTACACAAATTGATAGAGTGCGCATCTATCGTACAACAGCACGACAATTCTTCCACGCCGACGATTCCGATATCGTCGGTCTTCTGTGCGTGCACCGCGCAAGAGAAGGTGGAGAGAGCGATATCGTCAGCATCCACAATGTCTGGAATGATCTCCAGAAGAATAACCCTGATGTAGCAGAGTTGCTTACACAGCCTATCTGGTACTTTGATCGCAAGGGAGAGACGTCAGTTGGTGAAGAGGAGTGGATTCGCACATCGATATTCTACCTTGAGAATGGAGGTCAGGGGCGTGTTTACTGCAAGTGGGATCCGTACTTTGTGCGATCTCTTACAAGGTTCTCTGACAAGGGGATCATTCCTGCTTTGAGTGAGGAGCAGAAGCGTGCTATTACTGTGTTGGAGGAGACGTGTCAGAAGTTGGCACTGCATATGATTCTTGAGGTTGGGGATATTCAGTTTGTGAGCAACACCCATTTGCTCCACGCTAGAACGGCATACACAGGTAAGATAACACCCCCCTCTCGTGGTGATAACCAAGAGATGCTAACAGTGTTAAGATCACAACCCTCCTACTCCCCGAAGACATCTTCTTCGACTATGGCTTTCTACACCAGAAACAGAAGGCGGATGGGCTCTTCCTTTCCACGACAGCAAGGAGAAGAAGCGAGGTGGAATCCAGGTTAACAATAACGCACCCAGATGTCCGCTGGATGCGGAGTAAGCATTGTTTGTTTCTAGCTTAGGGATGATAAGTTCATGATACATTTGGACTTTGGAGTGTTAGCATGTTATTCTACTTATTAGCTTAGTTGAGCTACTTATAACGATTCAATAATGAGAGATGATCGTTTAATTACTTCAAAACCTAGATCCAATTATATTAACAGTGACTGTAACATCCAGAACTTCTATCTATTTACCCAGTCGAATCCAATAGTCCAATCTTTTCACACACTTCCATGAAAACCCAACGCACCAGTTCCATACTGTCTCTAATAAGGTGACATCAACCTAGATTTTAACCTTGCCACAGCAGGTAAAGAAATCTTGCCAGGAGAGCGACCAAAATAGCCGCAATGATAGGCCACACATTCATTGCCACAGACCAATCAACATCGTCCAAAGCATCCTCAGTAGCAGCAGACACCAGATTCATCGGGAAACCAGGAGGGTACAACTCCCTCTTCCTCTGGGCTCTTTGAAGAACACGCCGAGCCTCATTCTCAATGCTAACAGTAATGCTGTGCTCCCCATGCGAAGGACTACGCACGTACAACGTCTGACGCGGCTTGTCATACGTCCACTCCACATTCGTACCTTGAACACGAAGCTCGTGCTTGTCATAGTGATACGCCGGGATAAAAATCTCGGTCAAATGAGCTTTTTCGTCAGTGGATTCCTTGGTAACTGTACTGGTCCATGAGTATTGGAAGCGCAGCGTTTTGTGGTTCCAGTTTGACTTTTTGGGAAGACCTGCTGTCTTCACGGCGTACGGACGAATGATGACGTCGAGAACACGACCGCCCTTGTAAAGCTCGTCGTTCTCATGCGCTTCATTCCGGTAGTCGGGCTTTATAGGACCGTTGTCGATGATGTCGTCGCCGTTGATGACGGAGAAATCCTCCTTGTTCCATCCGTCACCATACGCAACTCTGTTGGCGGGATTGAAGTTCCACAGCGTGTAGTTGAGTTTGTTGTCTTCCATGGCGGAGATGAGACCGTTCATCAAATCGCGTTGCTTGTCGTAACATCCTGTGCGGAAGGCCTCTGCATTGTTGATATCATACGAGACGCCAATCTCGCCAATGACCATGGGAACTTTGCCCAGCGATTCTATTCCATACTTGACAATATTGCCTAATTGTCTCTTGTAATTGCTTCGCAGACCTTTGGCGCCGAAATAAAGCGCATTGAGAGGAATCATGCCTCGCGAAAGACCTTGCACATTGACGCTCATCCATGAATGGCACTTGTTGAACAGAACGTTAAGGTCGTAAAAGTGCGGCGCATACACCAAATTGTCAGGGCGCGGTGATACGATAACTGTTTTCTCAGAGTAATTTTGCCGACGCCATTTCTTATTGTCGGGATCCTCCGTGGGCCATGGCGGCATGAACTCGTTGGGAATGGGCTCGATGAAGCTCATCGCTCGCGGTGTCTTGCGCGCCACACGCTCCGAGAACTTCTGCAGAAAAGGCGCATAGCAGTCGTTGTACCACTCAATTGGCTTCCCCTCTTGGCCAGGGCGATGGTCAACCTCAAAGTAATCGTTATCGCGAATACGCGCGATCTTCTTCTTGTCATCCCACTCCCAGACACCGTGGGCATGCCAGACGCACTCACCAAGGCCTCGTCCATTGCCAATTGGCTTCCCATCGAGCGACAGCCATGCGGAGCGACCCTTGGGGTCAATACGAGACTTGTGGGAAGCACGAGTTGGCCAGGGCCATGACTTGACCCAGTAATCGACTTCTTGTGCGTAGCCACTTCCGAGAGCGAGTGACTGCGCAAGGGAGGGGCAGTGGCCGATATGTAAATCGGTATCGTAGTTCCAGCCGTGGAAATGGTGAAGATTAACAAGACCGCGGTGAGGCTCGTTCATAGGCTCAAAACCCATGCATGCCTCGAGATGGCCTACTTCGTCCGCAAGTCGTCCAAAAGCTTCAACGCAGGCGTTTTGAAGCAACGTTTGTACCGATACCTGCTCAACGTCGCCTGGCTTGCGATAACATTTAAGGTTGGGGGCTAAAGCATCGCCTGCCCAGAAAACGGTCGCCATTGTAGACGCGGCAAGCTTCTGGTATCCCGAAGGCCAAAGAAAAGGACCTCCAGGTTCTTTGGGATTGACAGGCTCACTTGCGCGCTTCTTCTCATCCTGGCTGTGAACGTATGCGGCGCCCGTATCGGTGAAAGACTCAATGTCTAGGCCGACTACCTCAAACGTCCAGCCGGGCGCACCACTACCTCCACTATACCGACTCCAAACATCTTGATGTGCGCATATAAAGCACTTAATACCATACTGCGGCATCATCTCAATCAATTGGCGCAGGTAGGCGATGTACTCAAGATCCAGATCCGTCTCTGGATCAGGCCCCGCATGGCCCAGGGATTCCCAGGTTACGAGCAACCTCACGAAGGGTGTACCCCAAGCTTGAAGCCGTCTAAAATGTAGCGGAGCATCTTCAAGTGGGAAAGGTCGCCCTACAAACGTAACGATGCGATGTTTTTCGTAGAAATCATGATCCAGGTGAGACAGACCATTTGGCTCAGTAGGCAGTTTAGAGGCGCCTGAGAGGTTGAGTCCACGGAGGAAGATGACGCGTCCGTAGGCGTCGATGAAGTGTTCGTCTTTTATTCGAATTGAACCACCTAAAGCGGCGTCCGAGAGGTCGACTGCTGCGTGGACAGACATTATGGGCGTAGTTGAAGCTGAGAAACGGACACGGTTCCAATTGAGTACGCAACCAAGCTCAGGCAGAACAGTTCAGTTGAGCTTTGCTGCACAGAGCTCACCTGGGTAGCTGGAGCTCCACTAGAGACTTGGCCTCTAATTAGCGAGTACGGCCTCGGAGCATCATCGAACCAGCCTCGGTGTTTCACGCGCCAATAATGGACTTTGACTGTAGAATAAATGTCATCATATCTTCATGAATTAAATATGAGTCTCCGTAAATCTTGAGTAAATGTTCCAGTAAATCTCAAACGCTGTCCGCTCAGAACCAATTGTGCTTCATGATGCCCGCTCTATGCTCCGCCACGCCATCAATGCTCCAACACTCATTAAGGGTCATTTTCCTGTCTGTCCTTTTTGTTCAACATAGCATAACTCATTCTGCGAGCGCTGTCGCCCCAATCTCTTACCGAGATTCCCGGTGAGCGTCCTGTAGCCATTGCGGTCTTTTCTTGACTAACATCGCCCTCAACGCCGAAAGAGTATTGCCTCTCGCCACTCGGGTCTGCCACGATTCCAAAGCCGATCTTGCGACTCTTGAGTTCAGCTTCTTGCTCCCATCGCAGCTTATCAAGGCTGGACGCCCTCGATGCGGCGAGGATAGCAGAGAAGCTCAGGCTTCGCATGACAGCGTTCTCCTCCATTGCCGCCACACCTGATGCAACCGCGAGGATTGTGATACCCATAGAGAGCGCATACACAGCCCACAGTTGCGCATAATTGTAAAAGAAGCAATTCCTTTCTTGCCATCTAACACAAGGATAATCCAAGCTCTTGCCATTCTTTCCTGTGCGACTATTGACCGTGCCAGAGTACTCAGAAGGCTTGGCAGCCCACGAAACAGCAGACATCTGTGGATTAGATAGAAATGAGATCAATATCTCCTCGTAGAACTTCTGGACCTCGAGGGGAAAGTCCTTGACGGGAAGGTAATTACGGCGGTCGACAAGTCTTGTCAGGAGGACCTTGCTATTGACGTTGAAATTCGGCATCGTGGTGGTGCCGTTCAAAATTGCACGTAGCTGGGATCCTATAGCATGATATGCAGCTGTTAACCGGTACTTCGCGGTGTCCTGAGGACGCACGTAATTTTCTTCAGGTTCCGCCATTGTTCGATCCTTGAGCCGTCTGTCGGGATCCTTTTTGTCAGGTAAGAAGGTTGTGTCAATCACTTTTTTGAGAAACTTGCGCTCCGTCACATTGTGAGACTGAACGCCGCCAGTGTAGTTCAATTCAACCTTGTAGTGGGTTTGGTAGTGCTCACACCCAATGATGGTAGGTGTGTAAGCCTTGTACCAGTCACCTACATACGGCTCTGGGGGCTGAGGTTTATCTCTGTCCTCGACTTCAGCATAGCCAAACCACAGGATGGGCTCAGTTCGGAAGACGCCTAGGTTTTTGGGATACGGCCGTTTCTGCTTGGGCCTTCCGCCAATCTCAGCATCCTTGATTTGCGGATTCTCATAGTCTCCTCGGGTGAGCATTGCATAGTATGTGAGGTTTCCTAATGGTGCCAAAACGGTTGTATTGAAAGGGCACGTTGCATCACCGAGCTTCTTGACTTCTTCATTCACATTTGAAGCCAGGGTTGTACACTTGTATCCCGGACCAGTAAACTCAATGGTGTAGGAGCAGTTCCAGCCTACACCGCAAATTTCTTCTGGAGCTTTCGGGCGCATTATAGCTTGTTGGACGTATGCAGATTTGAGAGCAATGGACTCGTACTGTTGGCTGCTGGCGGTGAAATAGTCAAAATCGTCGGGGTCGTTTGTGAGATTCGTGCCACTCAAAATGGTCGAGTTCCAAAGGGACGCAGACGTCTCGAATAATCCAGCAACCCGAACTGCGTCTCTCCAGTAAACAGATTCCTCGTGCGTGAAGTTTAAGGTGCGAATGTTTGCACAGGTTGTTATGTCCTCCTTTCGCTGCGGCCTGACTGTAAGAGTGTAGGATGTGAAGATGACGATCAGAGGTGACGTCCAAATAAAGATGGTCAAGGCCATGGCGAACTTTGCATTCACCCAGGCTTCCCAATTAAGAAGAGCTGTCAAATCTTCGGATGCTGCGAAAAGCGAGTCGAGTGTAGCCAGGGTAAGCATCTTGCGACGGATCATCATCAGGACGCGCTGGCGAAAAGCGAGGACGACGGCGTTAAGAAAACATGCTTTCGATAAGAACGCCAGAAGGGCACCATATCGAAGCTTGCCCTGTTGGTCTTTAACGACTTCGCCATGGAGGCCTTGGTAGTAAAAGTGGTGGCCTATAGCGAAAGCTATTCCCGACAAGACAAGAATGTACATGCTCCATGATGGCTTCCACTCATGGATCCACCAATGCCAGAACTTGGGAGTGTGCGGAGGGGTCTGTGGAGGGGGCCCTTGAGCACCCGGGGGCATATTTGGAGGAATGTTTCTTTGACCATCGCCGCCCATCAACAGTGATGCTTGACTATCCTCCCTATAAGCCTGCGGTCGTCCGGAACCCGGCGTATGAGGCATGGCTGGTTCCCATATTCCTATCCCTAGCGGCGTTGAAGCGCCATAGTATGCTGTGTCGGTTGTATTCTGTCGGTGCAGAAACGGTGCATTGACTGTCGCGCGCTGGGCGAAGGAGGTCGTGGAGTAATCGGGAGAGGTATACGGCGAAGGAGATTGTTTGCTGGCGCCTATAGGCTTCCTAGCGATCGAAGGGCTCGTCGGCTCCCAATTCTCGGGCGGTGATGCTGAATCGCGGTGGGGGTAATCCCTCAGTTCCATGGTGACGGGACGATCAGGGCAGACAGTAGGTAGGAACTGGTGCTGGAGAGCGCTAGGGCCCGTTCAGTAGGGCCGTTAGTACCCCGCAGTGTCTTGAGCTTAATACCTGGGACCCTGAGCTTGTCGCGTTAGAGGAGGGACGACTACTGAAACAGTGTCGTATCGCAGATGGTCGAGCAGCGACAGTTGGAGAGAAAAAGCAGAGAGGGAGTGTAAAGAAGAAAAGGAAAAAAAAAAAAAA